GCCGACGACGAGGATCGTCGCGGCGAGGGTCTTGCGCAGGTCGACGGGGGCCTGTGAGGGGGAGGAGGGGGAGGGGGAGTCAGCGCGCACGGCACGCGCGGGGGCGGGGGCGTGTGGGAGCGCACCTTGAGGAGCGCTTCGAGGATCACCTCGGCCATGCTGCTCTCGTCGATGTCGCCGCCCTCGAAGAGCACGTCCGCCGCGCGCTCCCTGATCCAGCCGGGGATGACGAGCGTGCCGCGGCCAGTGCCCGCCTGCTGCGCCGCGGGGGGGTCCACGCGCATGTGCAGGTCCGTCGCGGTGGAGTGGCGCGTGTACATCGTCGCGAGCGCCTGCAGGTGGCTCTCCCCGGGGCGGGGCCGGTCGGGGTTGACCTGCGAGTGGGAGACGACCGAGAAGCCTGAGGACGCGGCGTGCTGCGAGGAGAAGTTGCTGTCCATGTCTGCGGAGACGCGGGAGAATTCGGACTCGGACATGGCGGGGTCGCTCGGGGGCAGCTCGAGCTCGAGCGACTCGTCGCCGGGAGACATCAGCTGGGACTCCGAAGTATCGAGCGCCTCACCGACGAAGCAGCATCGTGTTTTGATTTCTTCGATGACGGCGTCCGTAAGTACTTCTTCGGGAACGCGGGTGGAGCGACTCGCAGCGGGTATGTTTGCCGCGGCGCTCAGCGAAGATGGAGGAGGCAGATACGTCCCGAAAAGCAGTAGAAGAGCCTTTATATGCGACGATAGCCGTGCACCCGCAAGGGGCGTTGTGCGCAGCTGGGAGAACAGCGGCCGCGACGAGAAAAACTGTAGAGAGGGCATTAGGCGACATACTTGTGAGCTGCATTGAGATCATACGGGAAGCACGGTCGACTCGAGGTGACCACAGTCCAGCACGAGCCCGGTTATTCTTCCCGCTGCTAGCAGCGACAGGAGGTGGCTCGAGGCAAACGATATGGAAGGGACCTAGGGGACCTAGAATAATCAAATTTTGATGGCCTGGGTACACATAAGGGGTACCTGGAGGTTGTCAAAGAGCACGCGCGCAATGATCTCTTTGATATGCAAGGGCAACAGAGGATGCTCGACCAGAATGACTTTGCGCGACTTGGGGTCCGTCATCAGCGACCTTGCATTGAGGCGTTACGGGGAAACAGCACGCAGAGGCAAAGAACGACGTACTCGTGAAAGACCACGCGCAATCTCGTCTGTATTCTCGCTTCCAACAGTTTGTCCTCCTCTTCCCGGTCTTCCAGCCTGGACGCACGGTTCAACGTCCACAGTGCGGAACCGTCCTCCCGAGCGTAGAACACATCCCTGGGCCTGCCTTCACCGCTGAAGCCTACCTTCCATATGCGTGAGCCAGGGTCGATTATGACGCGATCCTCAGTGCCATACAGTGAATGTCGTCGCGTCGTCTGGTAGTGAGGAGAGGACTGGACGGTGTGCGAGGAGGCGAGTCGGGTGGTGTGAGGAGTGGTGATAGAGGCACTGGGATCGTGCCCTGTTTGTCGTCTTGGAGTTGTCGGCACTGTAGCCATTGGAGATTGAACGAACACAAAGACGAAATGCGCCGCGGCAGGGCAGCTCGACCGCGTGCGGAGAAGTAATCAGTAAGATATTATAAGCCGAATAGTTGGTATTCTTTGTAATCTTATATAGAATGTGATTGTAATGGCGTTACACGCCTTGCCCACCCTCTTATAGGCCTCACGCGCACGTCCTACCATCTACAATCATGTGTCGACTCGGACATCTTTTCAGCCGTTTCTTCTGTAGTGGTGGTCTTGTAGGTATTGCCTCGCAGGATAATATGACACCGCAGATACCTAATTCTGAAACAACCTCTTACCTTTGTCCAACATGCTCGACGCTCGACTTCCATCACATTCTCCAGGTTGGTGTTCCTAGGGAGGAGGCGATTCCGCTAGGGTCATTAGTGGAGATACTATCAAAGGCAGTGCAATGCCGTATGTGTCGGCTCATCAAGACGGCCTTCCAGCGAACGTGGCTCCTGGATAAGCAAGATCTAGCAACCACAGACCTTGCCGGCATCGAGTGTGCACTCTTCGCGATGGAGTGTGGCTGCTTGAGGGATCCTGCGCCTCCAATGCGAGACCGCTGCCATCGCCTCTTTATCCTCCCTTCCGATAGGCCGCAGAAAGTGTACGACGTCATGCGCGCAGCGCAGTCAGGTCTTACCCTCGACATACAGCTTTTGGAGGAGGATGCGCATATCTTTGACAGAAGCAGAGAGGTCCACGGCAGGAAAGTAAGTGACACTGTTGATATTACTCTTGTTAAGGAGTGGATAAGGATGTGTGAAGAAGAGCACCGAGAGGTTTGCAAGGTGGTCTGGTGGCGTGGGGCAGACGAGACGCTGCCAGACGGCGTACGTATGGTGGACGTGGTCACTATGTCCATTGTTCCAGCACCCCCCGCTTGTCGTTATATCGCGCTCTCCTACCTCTGGGGCGGTGTTGGCGAAGAATACCAAACTACTCAGGCTAACATCTCGGAGCGTGCATCACCAAACAGCCTCGATACATGCCCCCTCCCTGTTACTATTACAGACTCCATCCTTCTCACTCGCGAACTTGGCGAGCGATATCTCTGGGTAGATGCCCTGTGTATCATTCAGGACAGTGCAGAGGACAAAGCACTGCAAATTGAAGTGATGGAGCTGATCTATGGCAGCTCATTCCTCACCATCTTCGCAGCTGGAGGTCGCAACGCCCTCCCTGGACTCCGACCGGGGACTCGGGCCCAGCGGCAGCACATAGAGGTGGTTCAGGATCTCCATTTTGCAGTCCCATTGCCGACGCTTCGAGAGGTGTTGGCACAATCCATTTGGGGCACGCGTGGCTGGACGTACCAGGAGCTTATGCTTTCTCGTCGCCGCCTTTACTTCACCAACCAGCAGGTATATTTTGAATGCGGACAAGAGATTTGGTGCGAAGACGTTTTGGCAGAAAGCAAGCGCCTTCCTCGCTCATACCATCCGCTGAGGAATACAGGAGGCGGAAACTTTACCTACCTGCGCGAGCCGCCCAGCTGGCTCAAGAGAGACTATACCCTCGGCTACATGACGGCCATCGGCCAGTACACGCAGCGGAAGCTTACCAACGAGGCTGATGCGGTAGACGCGATATCGGCACTGACGAATGCAATGGCGAAAGGATTCAAGCTCGCCGGGGGTGTCCCATCGCAGGCATTCCGCTACGGTATGGCGGTCGTAGACCTCAATCAGGCGCTTTTGTGGCAGCCCACGGCAGGCACGCTGCTTACCCGCCGCTGCATACCTAAGGGGGCACCGTGGCCGTCTTGGTCATGGGCAGGCTGGTGCGGTCCCGTCCAATATCAGGATGTCTGGTTTGGAAGTCAAACCCCACATTTGGTGGAGACATTGATCGACAAATGGTACATCTGGGACGGATCTAAGCTGATTCAGCTAGACGTACGCACAATCACATTTGCGACCGCGTACCCCGAGGAAGAGGGAGGGCTCACGAGATATGTACCCCCATGCGGCCCACTGAGTTTGGAGGACGGCAAAGTATCCAAAGATGGAACACTTGTATTTTACACAACTGCGGCGAACTTTACTGTTGAACGTGTGCACAATGCCTCCGAGGGCATGGAGAGTGCGGACGAGCAGTACGCATTATTCGCTATCCTCGCTGTCAGTGAGTCTCGCTTGGTCCAGGCTGGACGCATATACATGCCCTCATCTACACCGTCTCCATCATGCCTACGGTTCGCTGTTCTCTCTCGCACGAACGGCATAGTTGGCATATATGACGAAGACGTCTATGGGAGCCGATACTCCGGATGCTACCTCTACGTGATTGCATTGGGGGTAGCCGGGAGTCAGGATGAAGATCAGCGTCTTGGGATTGGCATCATATTTGAGAAGGCCTGGCTTGCTGCCGGAGCAAAGGGAACATCTATTTTCTTGACATAGTTCGCAAAGTTCATCGAATCATGTTACCTGATGTTGTATTCTGACATGAGCGCATGACCGGTCCTGATGATCGCTCAACACCGAGTCCAAGGTGAATTCCCCAATCATAAAAGTCAAATTGAGTGATATATCGTGCACACATCGCAAGTACTGTATTATTACAGTGACAACCCACCAATGAGCAAATCCATATCTCCCAGGACAATGTCCTTAAGGTTATAAAAGTTAGGCGTACCGAACCCAGTTACTGGATCCCAGCCAATCGTAGCCTACATCACCAACGGGTCAGCACATTTTTTATAGTACGAGAGCAGGTGACATCTCACGTTGAAACCCTCCGTTCCACAGCCCGGATTGCTGCCACCGACTATGTCGTTGAAGGCCTTGGGTGCGAAGGCGCCGGCTGCGTAGATAAGGGGGTTTAAGAAGCCGAGCGGGGGCAGCTTCTTCGCAAGCCGAGCATCGTTGAGTAAGGACACAAAGCCGGAGAACGTAGGTGTCGCAGCAGACGTGCCACCAATTTGGCCCAGCTGGCCGGCGTAGTAGACCCAGAACCACTGGCCTTGCGCGGAGACGTCAGGAATGCCCTGCGATTCATGTTAGTAGGAATGGCGGTCCATGGCATTAATGGGACCTACGCGGCCGTACCTGAGACGCGGTCAACTTGTTAGCCACAGATGAAGCACAACGTCTACGAAGAGACTCACGGGTTGTAAAGCCCCTCGTACGTTCCTGGAGCGAGCTTACTCAAATATTCGGGTACAGCGACAGCTTGGTAATCAGGACGCGAGAACTGTATCAGTATGGTAACCGTCATCACTTCGTTCTCGTTTGACAAATGAAACCAGATAGCTCACGTAGTTGCTGAAACCACCACCGGAGATGAAGTACGTCTCCTCGGGAATGTACCAGGTCGCCCCGACGGAGGTGACGCTAGAGTGTGAATCATCAACATCAGCAAGTTTGTGCTAATGTTCCAGAATACGTACTAAGGACAAGACGCAGGGAAGCCGGGAATGAATTTGGTCTCGTTGAGACCATTGTTGGTATAGCAAGTCTGAGTCTCGGGGTTCGCGTCGCCGTCGCCGACACCGAAGTCGCCGGATGCGAAAAGGAGAGATACACCACGGGCACCTGTGTTCACGGTTGCGATGAGTTGATTGATATTAGTTGTTTATAACAACTGCGTACCAAGCTGCGCGAGGTCCTCACAAACTCGCTTAGCATAGCTCTCAGGGACTGAGAACAACCAAACTAAGTTATAGACATTCTATGGGATGGCATCAGCGCACCTGTCTGCTCATTGTCGCCGTAGCTAGTCGAGATGGTCTGGGGAGGGCTGGGGTCGCTAAGGATGTAGTCGAGCCACTGGAAAGGAATGAATTATCGGCCCACGACATCCTCACATCTGTGTACTCACGTTGGCGTACGGCTCGTTCGTGTCCGTCGGGGTGTCATCGTCAGGAATGTATGGAGGCATCCCTCCAGTCGTGTAGAATGTCCCGGGCGTGGGGTACGTTAACCCAAACGCGTACTGGGTGTCTGAGTCATTTCGCTAGTCAACTTGGTCTTAGTCTCATAATAAACAATCACCTACCCAAATCCGCTTCAAGACCAGCAGCGCTGAGCGTCTGGTTGTTTTGGCCTCCTATACAGTGCTCATCAGGTTAGCACCTCGGATCGCGATCGATCACAGAAGACCGCACCATCGATGTATACAACTTCAAAACTGGAACTCGCCGCATCAGGAACGAACATGGCGGTGAAGTTATGGAAGTCCTCGAAGTTGGCGTACTGCCCGAGATAAGCGGTAATACCAATTTTGTTAGCATTCGTAGCTGACGGCGTGTATCCAACACCATTGTAGAGCTCCTTCAAGCAAGTAGGCGTGATCGAAGCGTTGCAGCTCGCGTTGACCTCGCCGTTGTATGCGGACGGGATGGGGATCCATGGCTGGCTCAGATCCACGGACGGACGCTCCGTGTCAGCATAGTGGTATGTCGCCTTCATGCCTTTGAAACGACCGAACATCGTCGTAGGTTGAACGACTTCAATGTGTTCGTGCAAGTGTTCAGGCAAGCTGTATGAGGTCGTGCGGACCATGGTATCGCCACTCTCATCGTGCAACCAGACGTGATATTCCTGATAACATCACGATGAGTACCACTGGCGGCGCCGCATGCGTGCACTATGTACCAATATAAGAAACTCACAGTGTCGAGCATCTTCTCGGCTAGACTGACAGGAACCTTGATCGTGACCCAATCCTTAGCGGGAGAACGGGTCAGGTCGTCCGCAGAGATTCCGTGCGATGCCAGCCATTCTTCTACGAGCTGAATGCTCTCATCGTGGGGTGCAATAAGCGCTTCGACCTCTTCCTTCGACAAATGGTCGCCATAGCGTTCGTTGAAGGGGTCGCTGTGAGACGGAGCATTAGTGGACGGGTAACGCGTACGCTCGCCTGTATCTGGAAATACACGTACCTAATCTCATACAAGTGCTTCTCGAGCTGAGCGAAGTTGGCCTGCGGCAGCCCAATCCGGAGGTTGATGTTATGCTCAGCGGAGGCGGGTTTGACCTTGGTCCATCCTCGAGGGGGCGAAACCTGTTCCTTGAGCTTCTGGGCGCAGTCGCGGGGAGCGGCCGCAGCAAGGGAGCCGAGCGTAAGCACAAGTAACGTGGAATACCTCATCCTGGAGGAGCAGGAACCGTGGCAAGTCCGTGGTCGACATCGGTGGGACGCGTCCTCGCGTATTTATATAGGCGTTATTCTGGGCATACAAAATGTCCAATAACGGGATCAAAGGCGCCATATATCTTCTCACACTCACCTCGCCATGCACTTATCTGCTGCATGCCATATAATCTTGGCGTTCTGTTTTTGCTGCTCGGCTCCCCTCAAACAACACTGCCACGAGACCGCGAATTGGTTGGTGTTTGATTTGCTCTGGAATTATAGCGGCAGTCTTCAGGGGTCCTTCATCTGTGACATACACAATAAGTACATTGTGGAGCGTATATGGGACTGGCTACCGTGCGATACGCGTCTGACTTGATCAGACGAAATAAGCAGGACAGCTGCAGCTAGCAAGATCGGCGATCGAGACCAGTTGTTATTTCAGGTGTTTTGAGCCTCCAAGAGATTGTCAAGGGACTTGATTCGACGATTTTTTCACGAAGTAACTCAGCGTGGAGTGACTTGGTGCAGATGGCTCAAATCCAATCGATCACGCAGTCCCAGGCCACAGTGGTACTAATGCCTGCCGCTGGATTGGTTCAAATTCTAATAGTGAGTTTGACGCAGCACACAAAAAAATTGTTGTGCTGCTACTGTCTCTTCCGCCTCGCCGCTCGTCAGACCAAACTAACAATTTCATGCGACTAAGTACTTGTTATCACTCTCGAGTATAGTACTTATGGCTCTCCCGAGACGATCGTGCCGAGATAGTGGACCTCTGTGGCCCAAAACGCTTCCAGTCGGAACTTTGAATGTACTCCCTATCTGGAAATTGCTCCAGAATGGGTATCAACAGCCACCCTGGCCATAGCTCTGCAAAATGCCCTTTAGGGGCCGGCGATAGGCCTATCGATATGAATCACGGTAGCTGGAAACGGTGGTCGGATAAAAGTCACTGGGGCTATAAGTATGTAAAGCATGTGTTTTGCTTCATAATCTTTTGCACAAGCAATCGGATAGTCCCTGATAGTCCATATGCTCAGCGAGCACACAACGTCATCAACCTCGAAATTGATGGCATTGTGGGACCTGGTAACCATTTATGATTCTCCGGGCGTTTACAGTATTAACTGGACATTTAAAGACGAGAATCTAGATGCCCCCAATTGGGGCAACATTAACTTTCTCCGAACATAGCTGGACATGTGGGATGTGAATAAGCAAATACCCGCGGCAGGTCAGAGCCACATGATGCCTGCGGTCACGACTCGCCGATGACAGGACGCTCAAAGTACCAGACTGGCACAATACATTTATTTCATGTGGGCCCGGTCTGCGCATCAATCAATCATACAGCACAGACATCTTACAGGTTGCCCAGCACAATCTCCTTCAGAACACCAAAGTTGGGCGTACCCCACCCAGTGACCGCATCCCATCCGATCGTAGCCTTTCACGGGTATGAACGAAGTAAGTCAGCAGTCTCGTCGAAATTTATCGCTCGGAGAAAGACTTACATTGAATCCCTCTGTGCCACAACCAGGGTTATTGCCGACGGTGATATCGTTGAATGCTGATGGCGTGGATGCTCCGAGCTGGTATAATAGAGGGTTGAGGAACCCAAGCGGGGAAAGCCCGTTTGCTAGGCGTGCATCGTTGAGTAAGGATATGATGGCCGCGAAGGTTGGAGACGACGCGGACGTTCCTCCGACCAGGTACTCGGCCTCGTCCCAAAAGAACTCGAAGAAGTTCGATTGTGCCGAGACGTCGGGGTAGGCCTGTCATCACTCAATCACCACCCGTACTATATCACAAGCTGTGCCTACTCACTCGTCCGTTCCTGCCAAGAAGGTGAGCATAACATTGCAATGATCAAGCAGCAGAACCTACGGATTGTAGAGCCCCTCATATGTGCCTGGGGCCAGTTTCTCCAAGAAAGCGCTGACTGCAGCGTCTTGGTACGATGGCCGAGGGAACTACGGACACGCCAGTCACTGTCACTGTCGATGTCAACAAGTGGGTCAAGTTTTCCTGCTTACATAGTCACTAAAACCACCTCCGGATATATTGAATGCAACTTCAGGCACGTATATTGTACCTCCAACGGCTGTAACGCTGCAGCGATATGAGGTTCTGTTCACATAGGGGAGACGAGTAAACTCACTAAGGACAGCTTGCAGGGAAGCCGGGTATGAATTTGGTAACGTTTAGTCCATCATTACTGTAACAAAGCTGAGTGGCTGGATCTGGGTCTCCGTCGCCAACACCTCCGTCGCCTGAGCTGAACATGATGGAAACGCCTCGAGCACCTGCATTAGGTGGTCAGATAGAAAACCACCAAATGGGATTATAGGCGTACCGAGCTGCGCAAATTCTGCGCAGACGCGCTCGGCATAGCTGTACGGCACTACATAATACTTAAAGTTTGAGATAAAATGCTATTAATACAGAGACAAATACCTGTCTGCTCATCATCCCCATAACTAGTGGAGATCGTCTGAGGAAGATCTGTGCTATTCAGCACATAAGCAAGCCACTACAAACAATTATGCTCAAAACTTGAATATCCGAAGTTCTAATGCAACATACATTCGCATAGGGCTCGTTGCTATCTGTGGGCTCAAGGTCATCTGGCTGGAAAGGAGGGCTCCCTCCGGTCGTGTAAAACGTTCTCGGAGTGGGATATGTCAATCCGAATGCATACTGAGTATCTGAGACGCCGTGAGCTGACACGTTGTTTTCACGCAAGGACATTTGGCTTACCAAGATCGGCCTCAACGCCTGCAGCAGATGGGGTCTGATTGTTTTGGCCTCCTGTATACCACTAAAGATCAATGCATTCTAGAATCAACGAGTGGTAATCCATACCATTTATGTAGACCACGTTAAACGATGAGCCAGTAGCAGCTGGGACTAATGCCTCGTTGAACATGTGGAAATCTTCATAATTTGCGTACTGCTCCAGATACCCGGTGACAGCAATGTGATTCCCTCCCGTCGCCGAGGGTTCGTATCCCACTGCGTTGTACAGCTGCTTTAGGCACGTGGGGGTTATGGTCCCATTGCAGCTTGCGTCAACTTCTCCATTATAGGCAGACGGGACCGGAATGTAGCCGGGAGTCGTGTCCTGGGCGGCTGGCACTTCCTGGATAAAGCGATAGGTGGTCTCCATTTTCCTAAACCGCGAGAACAACGTAGTCGGTTGGACAAGATCAATATGATCGTGTAGGTGCTCGGGGAGGCTGTATGAAGTGGTACGAATGATGGACTCTCTGCTCGCTTCGTGGGTCCAGACGTGATATTCCTAGGACACACCTTAGTGGGGTAAACAGCTTATACGGACTAGGAATGCAATACAGTTTCCAACATCGTTTCCGCCAAGCTGACCGGAACCTTAACGATGATCCAGTCCTTGGCGGAGGAACGGGAGAGCTGGTCTTCAAAAATACCACTGGAAGCAAGCCACTCGTCCACCAACCGGAGGCTGTCCGAAGGGGGAGCAATGAGGTCTTCTACCTCTTCTTTGGACAAGTGTGCGCCATATCGCTCATGGAGCGGGTCGCTGTACCACACGCGTCAGCCACGAGCCGCCATGCATTCTTAGATACGCCACGGGCCATACCTGATCTCGTCAAGGTGTGTTTCAAGCTCGCGGAAGTTGGACTGTGGTAGACCGATGCGCAGCTCAATCGTGTGATCGGCCGGCGCAGGCCTCACTTTCGTCCAGCCACGAGGCGGGGAGACGCTTTCCTTCAGCTTCGACTTGCATTCGCCAGCGGGAGCGGCGAGCGCACGCGAGCCGAGTACGAGCAGGAGCCACGCCGACGAAAGCCACATATCGGACAAGGGAAGGCTGGGAGCCAGCGTGCTCGTCGAGGGATTAAATGGTAAAGGGCCCTCGTGGTGCCATCCCTGTTCTTGATCAGGAGGCCTTGTGCTCACACAGCCGCCACTGGATATGAATACGATTTCCCAGGGTATGTGTCAGGACTAGCAGATCTTTCGTTATGGCTCAAACAAAAACCTGCGAAAGTCCGTGAGTAGTTGCGTGAAGCCTACCCATTTATGAATAATGTAGGATTATGCACAACAACTTGGAGTCATTGGGACCTCCATCCGGATCGACTCCATCACGTCAGATGATTTACTGGAGCCGAATGGTATTAGATGTGAGAAGGTGAAACTGTCACGAAATATCACGTAGTTGGATTACCCACGAACAATAATAGAATGCCATTGGGAAGGGAGCACTACAAACGTGGCTTCAATGAGTACTGATAACCGGCGAAGCTTACTTTCCACTGATACTATCCAATCCAAAGTCGCCCACACTACCACGATCTAGATCAAAGAAAGGATCGCGCATGCTGCCAGTTTTAGCGCGCCACAACTGGGTATACAATGTCTTAATCTTCTGCAGCTCTGCATCGAGTGCTGCTGTCTTGCTTGCTAGCGCAATGAATGTAGCGTGCTGTGCTTCGAGGGTAGACGTGATTGCTGTGACGAGGTCAGGCGAAGAGGAAGAGGAAGAACACAAATCAAATCTCACCCTGTGGTGTGAACTGCGATTGCGCTGCCGCGGAAGACAATTTACGCTCGATTTGCTGAGACATGTTGTGATACATGACGCTGAGCAACTGGTGTTCTGAGTGCACTTACCTCAATAGTTTTCTGGTACCATCTTAGACGTTCCTTCATTTGCTCAGTTACTCGAGCGAAGAATCTAGACAAATCCAACTTATTACTGGCTGCATGTGGATTGAATGAACTCACTCCAGTGGAAAGTCAGCATAATTCTTCAAATAGGCCCCATGTTGTTGAGGATTTCGGAACCCGTCAACGAGACGAGTCGCAACAATAGTATCTTGCACTGTCTGGTCAACTTTAATTTTTAGATCGCGTGTGTGGAGCACGTCAGAGTGAAGAGTCGTGATCGCGCTGACGAGGTCCTACACTTACTTTAGTAAGCTGTGTGTATGATACGGCATGGGAGACCAGGGCTGACCCACTTTGTGTACACTGCGAACACCGTCCTGGCCTTTCACTGCTTCTTGCCCTACCTTTCGCTGCTTCAAATCGTTACTAATTTGTATTCGGCCTTGGATCAATGCACTACGTGGACCCAGATTAATTGGGAACAGTACCAGTCAGTGAGGAATCCACGTACTCGACATTTTCCAGCGTCTTCTTGATTTCATCGGGGAGATCATTGAATTTGGTCAGCCTCGTGAAGGGCGGAGGTCCACCAGACTGATTTCCGACAAATGATCTAGTTTTGATAAATTGAAGGGTAAGAGACTTTGTGTGATTAGATGCATTCACTTACTGCTGCTGCTGCTGCTGAGGCGCTGGTCTACCAAAAATAGAACCAGAACCAGTGGCGGAAGATCCAAATGTTGATGCTCCAAGGCCTCCCGCAGCTTGTGTTGGCTGACCAAGGAGCGGATTTGATGTGCCCGAGCCCCAATTGCCGAACCCGGTTGAGCCAGCCGCTGAGGTCTGCCCCAATGTTGATCCTGTGTTCGTGTTTCCCCCAAACGCGCCCAATCCGCCCGCTCCCCCCTGCTGCTGGCCTGAGTTAGTCTGCTGGGCTTGTGTGTTGCCGAATAAAGAAGACCCAAAAGTACTCTTCTGTTGCGTATTCGTAGACGGCTGTCCAAACAAACTTGCACCAGGGGCCTGCTGCTGGGAGTTGGTAGTCGACTGGCCAAAAAGACCGCTACTCGCCACCGGCTGTTGCGTATTTGAGCTAGGTTGGCCAAACAGACTCGTGGATTGGGTTTGTTGAGGCTGTTGTGTCTGCCCGAACATGCTTCCGTTGCCGAAGAGCGGATTTCCTTGGGTTGGTTGCGATTGTTGCTGCTGGTTCTGGTTTTGTCCCAGTGGCGCCCCGAACAGTGACGTTCCCTGAGATTGGTTCTGGTTCTGTGGCTGCGAGCCAAGAGCACCAAAGGTTGTGTTTGCAGGCTGCGAGCCTCCAAAAAGAGGATTTTGTGTATTGGCCGTGTTACTTTGACCAAAGGTAGACGTCCCGGCAGGCTTAATGCCAAAAGCCGCAGCACTACCGTAACGAAAGCTGAAACCACATGCATAAGCCAGACAATTTACACGCACCTGCTCGCAAAAGCCATCCGCGAGTGTGTTAAAACTGGATGTCGAGTCTACTGGCTTGGTCGTATCCAACCGCGAACTCCAGGCGGGCGCGACGCTAGCGTCTGGTAACGTGTGACACGCGCGGTGGTCACGCACAACCACATCACGGGTGGCACACTCGAAGCCTTCCTTAGCGACACACATGTACATTCGCCGCTTGCTCAGGATCTTCAAGTTGCTTGCTGCGCCGCCTACTCTGACCCGATGTAATGGGCATACCTTGTCGCCTCCGTATGGCTCGTTATCAATCGTTGCCTGTATTTTTCCTACGTCGTCAAGGACCCGGGGGTGTGTCCCCTGGCTGTGTCGGGGCGGCGGCGCGGACTCACTTGCTCAGGCCACCCGTGCCATTCAGCCACTGTGCGCCCAGTTTGTGCCTTGCTGTGGAGAAGTGATCTGATTCAACTCAGAGTGTCTATTCCTTTTTTGCACTGCTCCGTGTCGTTTCCAGACTCCAATAGGACTGTAGCTGTTTCCACAGCGGCGCCGGCATCGCCATATAGGCGAACGATGCGGTACGTACAGTCTGTTCTCGTCCCTGAAGCTTTGTATGTAAGACTGAATACATTCAATCTATAGCTGTAATCGTCGAAAGTTAGCTCATGCCGGCTGTAACATTCAGCAAGCGTCTGTCGTCTTGGACACCTGGAAGAAAAGCCAATTTCTGATCCGCCTGCGGAAGATAGTCGCATCCCTGACTCGGACTAGGTATTGCTATCTTCTAGAGGCCAGACTGCCGTGAATAGTACTCACATCCATGTGACTCACGTCAATGTCGTGCACATGGAGCATCCAACACAATTCATACTCTATGGTCGAAGTATCTAGGCTCTCTGGATTCTCTGACGACGGTATCAGCAGCTGGAACGTGTCACGACACGTCCTTTGAACTAAAGTTTCCAGCATGCAGTGTAGTTAACTGATGCGGCTCTTCAATTGACACAGCCCTAGATCAGGAGTCATAGTCTCGTTCCTCGACACACTCATCAAGAGTTCCGAGACGGTGTCAGCCCACATAGGACCACATACATCCATCCTGACATCTTTGCATCGCTGCTTGGCTTTCAGGCGGGACGCTGCCATGTGGCCCACATGTAACTGTCGGCAATGTCACCTCCGACAATCCTCGGCGTTTTGCCTGATGCTCCGACGATGCTTCTCTTTGGCTAAAACTTTGTCTAGTCCTTCGTGGATCCAGATCTGTTATTCTATACAAACACCCGACGCTGCGTGCGTAGTCTGACAATCTTGTTGGGACACGCGGGCCTGTAGCCCCGGTAAAGGGCTTTCCGGAGCCGGTGATCTGAACACCGACGAGATCCTAGAACTTGCGCTCTGTATTCCAGGACGGTCTTGCCCCCAGAAGAAGTGCCGAGACCTACGGCAAAGTAAACCAGGATGTCCGTGCGTTATTCCATGATTCAAGGGCCAAGACCCTGCTCGCTTGCACCAAACTTTGATATCTGCAGTGCAGCAGAGACCTAGCGCTATGGCCGCGACGGCTCCTCCATTCCTAATCCGAGCTGCAATTTGCGATCAACGCGTACTTCCTTGTTTCGAATCTCAATGCGCCGGTGCTATTCGTGAATCATACCAATACGTTCAGTGGGACGTCAAGTTTACCTCTGCCCTCGTGCACAAAGGTGCCGTGATTGTATTGATGGGCAGTGAGCAACAATACATTATATTTCCATATACACACCTTACCTTGTGAATCGCAGGTTACCAGCGTCGCCCAGCGGGTTCTCTATGAATTGCAGCTGATCGCAGTCTCGATTGTCTAGCGTGCCGATTGCCACGTTGACACAGCTCCGATCCACGATTTGTCTCCCTTCTGTATTCTCCCGCGTTAGGTGCTGACGCCGTGCTCATGGCGCATGCCGATTCGGCCGAGTTACCCGATGTTACCATGTAAATCACAGATTCTTCGACTTCTTGCGCCCAAAAGATTTCCCAGTCTAGAGTGCGAGGACGCGTCACTGCTGCTGTCAATAGTTTAGCAAAGCCGCTCAACCATTACCAATTCCTCCTGCGCAGATTTCTTGGGACCTGCGTAATTGGAATATGGCCCGTAACTAGGGTGATGTCCTGCGGTTTGCCGGCTCGCGGCCGCTACGAACTGCCCATGCGCTGTATGTTGTCCCGCATGTATGCATCTGGCCCAACTTCGGAAGCTTACCGACAGTATCAACAGGCTCCTAGAACCTATCATATGTCACCGAAGCTCTTGAATCTGGTCTTACCGTATACGGTGTGTATGTAACTCCTGATCCGGGCCTCTCGAGGCTTGAGCGCACACGAAATTCAACCGAGAATTTAGGCGTAGACACCCTTGTCACGCTAGTATATGCCGTTTATTCGTGATGTCACTTCATCGCCACTGCTTCGTTTCATACTTCGGTTCTGTCCGCCTCCGTTAAGCGCCTCTATCAAGTCGCCTTCGAATGGTGAAACACGTCTCGTCGCATTTGAAAGTATTACATAGTCCGCGGCGAGAACAGTTACGGACTTTCCTGACGGGCCGAAAAGCTTGCAACAGCTTCCGTTCAGATCGCGCTGGGATGGCCGTGTTGGATCGTATAAAAGCACACTGCTCGCCGTAGCAGATGCATACATTCACAACCTCTATACTACTCCTAAGTTACGATTGAATTATTATATCAAGCAAGACTAGGCCTCGTCGTCACAACAGCATAATGTCTGGTCGCGATCAGGTGAGTCGTCATTGGCTCCTACATCTGTATTGCGCACTCAACAAATGAGATAGTCTCAGAAAGAAAACAGGTTCGACGACTCTGATAGTGAATCATACTCTCCCAGGACGCCACGTAGGACTCCTATGGCATGCCAATTTTGTCGAGGCAAGGTTTTTCCTTCGCGAATCGTTATTGCATTCCTGATGCATTATTCACAGGGCGTAAGATGAAATGCGACGGTCGCCCTATATGCGCCAACTGCGATCGACGTGGTATTGCGTGTTCATACATTCCTGTGTATGTCTGTCAAAATGGGTCGTGACTTGTCTAACACGAGTGAATTCCTTGCAGCTCTGCGGCTCAGCGATGAAGCTACTACCCTTTGTTTCTGTCACTTAACTGACACTCCCTTAACAATTTGCGCGATTTGCGTCACCAAGGACTTCTGCTCTGGATCTATTCTCGCGTGTTTTCTTGCTATCGTGCTCACATATTCTACGGGCCTCCATTTAATCCTGCCAGTCGATATGTAGCTGTAGTCTCCCGTAGCTCCTCATTTTGCATCCATACTTCCACTCTAATCTGCTTTGGACTAGTATTAGATTATCATAATATATCACATGCATACTGCATGTGACATGTGGTGGTATGCAGGTCGGCCTCGCGTCAAGTCCGCTTGAGCTTCAATGCTGGGCCCGCGCCAGGACATCTTGTCGTAAGCTAAGCGCTGGCCCTGCACAATCTGTAGATAGCCTTCTCTTCGGACAATCGTTCCAGCATGCGCGGTGAGAACACAGATCGGAGCGTTTCAAGCTCTGGGCCGTGCACCCATGTGCCTGGTAAGTGAACGTGACGAGAGAATTATGATAGATGAATCCTTGATTAATTCAAGTTGACAGTTCATGCACGCCTGTCTCGGTCCAACTTCTGATATTACCGAAAGAACAGTGGGCGTGCTAGACACAACCCTCTAAATCCTTGCACTTTGCAGCTACCGAATATCATCCACCCGATGGAAGAAACAAAGAGCCGAAGCCGGACAGATACGGGAGAATTGCCTGATTATTCCAGTCTGGCAATGCCCCATGCCGAAATGATCGAGCACAAGTATCATCTCCAAGACAGTAAAAGTGTTGCTTGGCTGTGGCTTACACTAAAGAGCCGAGCCAAAGCAGCAACGCAGCTTCCTCTGTACTACGATGCTGATCCTATCGCAGGTGCGATCGAGGTCAACTTCGATAAGGCGAGCGGTGTGAAGAGGGTGTCGATTGCGGTGAGTTATTCTGCCAGATTGCCTCTAAGAAATCTACCCGTACAGAGCGGAACTTGATACGCTGATATCGCGTTCGTTTTCGACATGTACGCCGCACCAGGTTGTGGCTGGCGTCACTGCTGTCGGCCAAGAGGATGTCAGATTTCTTGAAATCTCCCGCGACGTGTGGAACGCGAAGACTACGCCACCACCCGCGAAAGCTGCGGGAAGACAGCTGTGGCAGTTTTCTCTGGCCCTGCCGAGCGAGATCTCAATGCCTGGACAGCGGAAGACGCTGTCAACGATGTACAAACTGCCGCCTAGCTTCTCCGAGCGTGCCAGTCCAGTGTACATCGACTACAGAGTGGTGGCTACCGTCCATCGCGGGCTGTTCAAGTCGAACCAGACGTGCGTGTCATTCGCCAATTTGGTTAGGCTTTTGAGGCGATGAAAGCTGCTGATGGGAGGCACTTCAGCCTCTCTACAGGGCTTGTTTTCTTGCCAGTGTCGCGCTCGGAAGCTCCACCTCCGTTGCGCGAAGCGGCATATCGCGATGGCACTGCACTTATCGGTCCCGATGGGGATCCTGAAGGATGGAATGTGCTCCCTCCAGCAAAATTCACCGGAGCCCTTTTCAATACACGGCAAGTCGAGCTGCAGTGTGTTGTACGCGCGCGCTGATCTGCCTATCAATTCTGGCACTGACAACTGACATCATTGCGATAGGTCGCCGTCGCAAAACCTGTGGGAGACATTTGTTCTATGGCAATACCATGGTGAATCTCACGTGTTGCATAGCTATCTTTCGCAAGAGGTTCCGCAATTCCTCTCTTCGTTACCATCTCCAGTACGGACGAACAGGCTTTGGACCTTCTCGCTTCGCCAGGTGCAGTGAAGATATACCTGATACGCTATCGTGTGCTCGGAACGCATGCCACTGAAGACAAGTATTCGGATCATAGCAGCCACGTCTTCCATGAGAGGGTGGGTGCCGCCTACTTTTGGCCATCGACAGAACGAGCATCTGGAGACCGAGTGCGCATGATGCAGGGCGAATTGAACGTTGAGGTGTCGTCAAAGCCTTCTTTCATTTTCCCCGAGTTTTCTCTCAGGGTAAGATCCCCGTGTCCGTTTTCGTCGTGAAGGATTGCTCATTGATCTACCCGACCCTGGCGTTAACATTTTTTCGCGTTGGACACCACACTCACATCAATGGGAACTGCCGTGCGTTTTCTCAGTACAAGCTGGCGCTATTTCCACCGCATGCTCCCGGGTTCTCTTCGAAGCTGACTGCGGATAAACCGCTAGTGGTGGAGGAAGTCACTGTCACGACTGCCGAGGCGGCAGGGGTGTACTCTCGCTCATATGCGCCCCCCGGATATATGCAGCCCGTAGATCCAGACTACAACAACACTGTTGGATATCTGGAGAATGGGAATCAAAGGTATGATTTACACCATGATCAAATGTCCGAACCCTCGGTGATGTCCGCATTAGATTTATGCACCATGGAGGTCACGGAGGCATCTAGGTTTGGATGGTCTCCCTGGCAGAGAAGCATTGAATGAGACCATTTGATACGATCCCATGTGGTGTGGACGTTTTGACATTCGAAGACTATGTCCGGTCGTGATATGGTACTATATCGGTGGAAATTAGGTCACGACTGCGGTACAGTGGCACTCCCCGCAAGCTGTTGTCATGATTGATATTCGGAACATACCTACGCTCATTCATGTTTCCATTGTCCACTGTACCGAGGCCCCAACTATTTTCACGGATCATGCTTTGGAATTCATACAATTTGTGCCCTGCAAGTCCAGGCTTTCGGGTAAAACGCAAGCAAGGCTGGCACCATGCAAGACACACTCGGCACGGATTATTACTATGTACATCCCCGCCCGCGAGGCTCGTGCATCTCGGCTTGGTTTAGGACCGCGGCGGAGGAGGATGACGACCGAGCCTTCCTCCGAGGCGATGATATCACGTGAAACTGGGCCGGTGCGTCTATCTTCCGGATTCATCTGCAACAGTCTGAGTCTCACCGACGACGAGACACACGGAAACTGCGAGCACCGTCCATGATCCTTCTGCGACTTTTATCTAGTTTGTCTGTATCTGCATTGCGTTGATTCGAGACTCTACATCTACCGTTCGAAGACATCTTTCCTTGTATAGCCACGGACTCGTGAACGCCTACTGAAGCTGCAAGGTCGACGTTGCATTCTCCTACAGCTCCTCACGTTCTATAGCTATGACCTCTTCCAAGCCAACTCAACTAACGCCATTCGGATATGCTCTCGCAGGCGCACTCGGTGGATGTTTCAGTAATGCGTATGTATGCATGCAACCTATCTTACACACCTGACTATACTTTGCCATGTTATGCAGCGTAGTGTATCCTCTAGATGTGTAAGCACTTCGCATGTGCGCCATCATTCAGCTAATTTTGGAGTTGCAGTGTAAAGACCCGTGTTCAGGCCGCGACGGGTGACGACAGAGAACGGCGGGGCATGATATCACTCTTGCTGAGGATCCTGAAAGAAGAAGGACTTTCGGGTTTCTACAAGGGGTTCACCGCTACCATGCTGAATACCTTCTCCATGCGTGAGTTCTCTTCGTTTCCTTTCCTTGCGGGCCATACGGCATATGTGGTACTCCCGCTAGCGGAGAACCCTGTCAGATGGCCTGGAGGGCAATCCCAAAAGCTGCTAGTACCGGAGCTTTTCATCACGTTCACCACACAAGTTACCGCCTACGCTCCGGTAACGCGTTACCCTTTTCATGCTAAACCGCGTCTTATGCATATATGTGCAACGGCGAGCATCAACACATCACTGTAATCCCACTAGCTTTCCATGTCACAGGATTTCTGGGGTATCAATGGGTATTGAGCCCGAGCTCAGGATGCTAGCGACGTCTGCCAAGCGGCGGTAGCATCCTCAGTCATGGTCACGTTGCAAATGTGTTCGGCTGATGTCTCGCAAGCCTACCCCTCGAAGTATTGATCGGATGCCTGTTATGCCTGGAGGCCGGCATTTGTGCATACTTGGAGAGGAATTGCAACCAGTTGTCCCAACTAGCTTGGATGCACTGCCGAGCAGTCTCATTAAGGCCTCTTCTCCGCACTTGCCTATTTTCCCGGCAGTAGGTCTTGCACACATCTATCAACCTTGTGGACGGCACAGGGTTCGGTGGATGTAGTGTAAGTATCACTTCTCCTGCAGATGTCGGCTATGGTCGAAGTGACAGGTACTATAATTGTGTGCCCTTGCTCTGTCCGAAATCTTCGCACCGGCATTTATTTTGGAACTTGAGGATGCTCATGCCTCGATGTCTATGCAAGCGTGTTCTCTATCGTCATACCGCGTACTCGAATCTCCGCTAACGATCCTCACAGAATATGCTTATTTCTTCTTCTATTCCTTCGTCCGCACGTCCTACATGAAGCGACTATCCACACGGCTGCCTAGGGGCTCGAAAGCTCCGCCGCTCTCAACCGCTGCGGAACTGATTCTTGGCGCAGTCGCAGGCGCGCTTGCCCAGATATTCACCATTCCTGTATCAGTCATTGCCACGAGACAGCAGATTGGACCATCGTTGAAACGACCCCGAAAAAGCGATGTACGACTCGACCAAAACGACACGGATGTAGAGAAGGGGAAGATTGAAGATGTGCACGACGACTCATTCTTTGGGGTCGCGCGTGAGATCATCGAGGAGGAGGGCGTTGGCGGCCTTTGGCTGGGTATCAAGCCGGGGCTAGTACTGACGGTCAACCCTGCCATCACATATGGTGCGTATGAACGAGTGAAAGGCGTTCTTCTCCTCGCGCAGGAGAAGACGTCGGGAGCAAGTGGTTCTGTGAAGCTCAGTCCCTGGACTGCATTCGTCCTTGGCGCTTTGAGTAAGACACTTGCCACTGTTGTAAGTGTGCGAGCAGATCATCGCCAGGGCTTGGACTGATCCATGTATTAGGTCACATATCCATACATCATGGCGAAAGTACGAATCCAAGCTCGCACAGCGGACAGCGACGAAGTGAAAGGAGATCACCCACCATCTGCTAAATCTACATACCATCATGCTCATAGTAAACATGTGGGCGCGTTGAATATCCTCGCCAGGGTATGGCGCCAGCAAGGTTTCTTGGGATGGTATCAGGTGAGAGCATATTCAACTTGTCTATCACGCTATTTTGTATTCTCGGCGTGCCGCGTGCTCTTGTCCCCTTTCCCCAGAGTGACTGACGAGATCTCCTTAGGGCATGGGCGCCCAGATAACAAAGGCGGTGCTTTCTCAGGCACTACTCTTCATGTCCAAGGATCAATTTGAACATTGGGCTCTCGCGATAATGGTCTTATTCTGGAGGCTACGGCGGACAAAGGCGTAGTTATTCTCGTCAGATGACAGTACTAACATTTCCCGGTGTGATTCTTTCTTAATCAAAAATTGCCTGTGTCTTACATACATCAACTGTTGTGGATGACCCAGTCTCTGCTGATCTGTTAATACCTTTGGTGCCTCAATATTCTTTGCATGTCGTTGCGGAAGGGTGATCAATGAACATGAAGGAGTGATCAACGTATCGCAAGTGTCGACTGCACGGTGTGCACACGTACGCCACAGCCGAAATTCAGTCTGCTTCGAGAAGGTCCAAGAGAACGAGCCAAAAAAGAGTACAATTGATGAGAGTAGAATGCTATGATGACACAAAGTCTTGCTGATGGTTTGGGGGAGTCATGCAGGAAATCACAAAAGAGAGGGCGGAAGGAAGATCTACAGCGAGACAGAAATCTCGAGCTCTCTTCCCCGTGGGCGTTGACCCTTTCACAAGATTCTCAGAAATCGTCGCAACCTTCCTGGTCGAGCCTAAATATTGATGTCAGAGGAACCGAGATATCACTTCGTCTTCTTGTTGGGCACGAAAGGCGTGGTAAGGGCTTGGAGCTTTGTGAAATGTTCATCCCCGAACACGCCCGCATAGTTTGATCCGATAGTCAAGCCGATATCAAACTCCACCTGGTTGTTATAGAGGGGCTGAATTGTAAAGAGCCCATCCCCTTCTCGACTTAGAAGGCCGAGGTATTCACGAATGGCCGGGAGCGAGTTCGGGCTATAGAGGAAATCAGCAATTTTGTCGTTCATTTCCTAAAATGACTTTTCGGTAAGCCCCAGTGTTGCATTAGACATGAAACCCGACTTTGCGGAGCCCAAACTGCGCCAGACGTCATGCAGAAAGTGGACACGGGGAATGTCCATGAGCGTTAACGTTCCGTGGTCAAATCTCCAGCTATATCGCGTCTCGGTGGTTTGAGAGTAGAGGACCGGAGATAGGGGCAAGGCAGGTAGCAAATAAATCAGGACCCTCAAGTGATTGTTGCGAGAATGGACGAGCTAAATCCTGCCGCACGTGAATGGATGTGAGGCATATATATACACACCTCATCTCGAAATGTTTGTCCGTCCGCAGGAGCAAAAAGGAGGTTTGGTCACGTTAATCGGGCGAGGTTTGAGACATTAGAATCATCAAGCGGTCAGTAGAAAATGAAGATGAATAAACAGAAAATCATAAAGGCTGTATCAGTAGGGGTCGATGGGGCTGTCGCAAAACAGTTCAAATCAGAACCGGTCGCGCGGCAAGAATCTTACCGTGACCGTGACTTTGCTGCCGCGGCGCCGTCGTAAGGCTCCTCAGGCTCGTCTTTCTCGATCCACAGGTTGTCCTACGGATGAGTATTAATCCGAATTTTCCCTCTGATCTTGACATAAGACCATCGACGGGGTCCGCCGCACATCTGACAGATGGCAGGTTTTCCGTTGTCGCGCAGACAAGAGCAATATCGACCTATGGCATTGCAGGGCGCGTATGGTCTGTAATTTCGCGTCATAAATTTTGAAAAATTCAGATTCTGACCGCATCCTACGAACGTATGCTGTAGGGAAGCCTCGTATGCTTTGCTTGCCTATCTCGATCCGTCCGATCATCGGGCAGGCATTGAATTCGACCCTGTACCATTCACGCTTGCAACCTCGCGTCCGCCCTCGCAGGGACTCGTCGTAATCGAATTAGGATCAGGGACCGGCCTCGTAGCGTCTCGATTGGCAGATGGATTGGTCCCTGAGAGGGATTTGCTTCTGGCGACAGACCTACCCGATGTCTGCACGCTTTTGGGATCAAATCTTGCCGCAAGTCCCGCAGCGTGTGTGTGTCCGCTGTCATGGGGGAATTCAGACGACGTGCGCTCCGTTGGGTCCTTGCTCGGCGTGTGCATCTCCGCCGGCGAACTTGTGGTGTCGGCGCGATTCCCGACGCATATCATATGCAGCGATCTAGTATGTCCGTTCCAAATTTGCTAGTCGAATGTCGTCGTTCCCTGTGCACAGGTATACTTCCCTGCGCTATTAGCGCCTCTCCTCCGGACACTATTACACCTCACCACTACTCCCTTTCTGTCACAAAGCGGAAGTGGGCCCATCCTCATCATCTCGTACAAGATTCGGAGTCTCGCAAAAGAGACGCCCTTCTGGTCCGCGTTCGGACTCTGGTTCTCGTTCTCGCCTGTGCTTGTCAGAAATGTAGCGATGCATGACTCCGACCGGACGGACCGGACGTGGAGCCGATTCACACCCACAGCGGATGACGACAAGACCTTTGTATTCGTTGCACACCGTCGTGCAGAATCATTGGTTTGGACAGTTCCGGAAAGTGACGAGGAATTGCTTAGAGGCGTGGGTGCATATGGAAATTCAGGTAGCAAAGCGGATGATACATTCGAGACAATACTATTGATGACAATGGAATCCATAGATACGTAGGTATGATTCATGAATGCATAGGAAATTTTATACTGCTAGTACTCAGCCATCCTGCATCATTTGATGGTATTCTAAGAACTTGCGAAAGCCTTCCTTTGTACTTCTGCAGCAATAAAGTCTTCGCATTCCACATGGCTTTTCTTGACATCCACGAAGTACAGAAAAATAATGCTGAACATTCCCCTAAGTGAGGCAGTGAGTTGCATGAGAATGTCTGCCTATCACTATTCCACTCACAGTGAGAATAGGAACACGAATGGGTAGTTGTCATTGTTGCCGGAGGCAGTGATAATAGCCGACGAAACAAAGGGTCCTATGAATGCAGATGTTTTACCAATCTAGGTGAGATTAGGTTTTAGGCGAGGATCTGATCGAAAGTATCGTGCAAGTCATACCACGGAAAACAAGGCAAAGAACAAAAACCTGTCGAAAATACCATTAGCAAACGAAGATGTGGATGCAATGATCATGTACATTTGCGGCATAGGAGAGACTTCGCTGATCATTGTCTGGCTGTACGCATACCAGGGACAGACCATCAAGCCATAGTACGCCTGGTAAAGCCTGATGACGACGCAATTCAGTCACAAAATCTCGCCAAGAGACACTGACTGACCATATCTCCCAGACGTGCTTGAAGCCAAATTTATCGGTGTGAATTCCTATCATCCCCCATATCGTTAAGATCTGATGAATGTCACGTTGACTTTGATGACCGATAGGCTACATTGAGGGAACTTACAATGATCCAGGCGACGTTGAAGCAGAGCATCTAAGGCGACTTTTCAAATCATTATTGAATATGTGTCGGGACAGCACATACCGCTTTTGTTGAAATACGGAAACGCTTCTGGACAATCCAAAACAAGCTTTACAGGACAAAATTAGTCAGATTCTCAGTCAGGGAGCATAGTACGTACTAAATTCCCAACGCTTGTGTAACAATACCGACGATGAGGAGCAGGGTCAGCTGCAATGTCGAGTAGGACACGACGCTGTACCACTCATGTTATCGTAGTGAAAACATAGCTCAAAATTAAATGCGAACCTGTTCTGCAACGTCCCTATAACCGTACTATTTGACACGTGAGCATGATCATTATTATTACAATGATAAACACGTACACGGTAGTATTCAAAACATCACCCCTACGTCAACCAGATTAGCCCAATGAAGAATCCAACCTCATTTAGTAACGCACATGAGAAAGTAGAAAATGAGGTACAGGAATGTTTGCTTAAGCTTCATGCACTCCCGGAATGCAATATACGTCTGCTTGAAACCAACGGTCAACAATGATGTCTGGGGAGGTAGCGCAAGACCGGGTCGCCGCTTCTCGAGGAAGAACCAAGGTAGTGCGCATAGGACTGGAGTTGGTCATGTTGGGTGATATAATTTGCGTCTGTAATACAACACTCACGCCAGACGCCGCCAGAAAAAGCAATTAAGACGCTGAACGCTTTAGTATTATTTTCAGTGCTTGCTCCTGCGTCCAGCCCTTTTATGATACCGACCATCACCGCGAGAATGAGAATTTCGCCCACAGAACTGACAGTAAAGGAGACATTTGAGATCCTATTTCGCGAGAGAGATTCAAAGTTTTCGTGATCATCCAGCCTAGAAATCGGGCACGTAAAACAACACAGACAATTCAACGAGTGATATGGACGAACGTCTTCTTTCCATCTGTAACATCAGCTGCAGACTTTTTGACTTCAGGGAGGTCGCGGGCGAGTCCCGGGAACGCAGCAGTCCAAAATGTCAGTGCACACTAAGAACCATGAATAGGTTGACTTCGCTTCTACTTGATCTTTCAGCCTACCTGATATGTGATTACTAGCTCATGGTTAGGACGCCTTACAACACTGGAAATCGTCTACACATACGGCCAAGGATATACAAGGCAACACCAGCTTGCCATCGTGATGGGTCTTCTACGCCTAACCACGCGAAGGATACAGCGACAGCCAAGATCGTGAAGAATATGGTGATATTCGGTCTACCAGCGAAGTTAACGTCGCGGTCAGGATGTTCAACGGATATCTTACCTCCAATAACCGTAATCAGCCCAGGCTCCAATCAAGAGCAGCACCACAGCTTGGAGGGCAAAGCTTATGCCGTTGGTCAACAGGACAATGGCATTCACTATACGTGGTTCATGGTGTCTTCAGTTCCTCGGACCTGTACAATATAATAATGCGGCGCACCGTCGCGGACACGGCCCAAATATGGGAGAACACAGTCTCCAGCACCACATGCTACTGTGAATGGAGGATAGCTTGGGTCATAACCAGCCAGGTATAGCAGGTTCTGAAATTGCGAAGGTCCGAAATTGAACCCAGACAATCCATTATTCCCCTACAGTACGAATTAGCCGCTGCATGTGGTTAATATAGCAAGAACACATACGATGTAGTAAACGTAAAACGCCCATAGTTCCACTCGCCTGGTCGTGAATTTGTCGTGTTTAGTGTCCACATCATCCAAGGAGCAGTCTACGTTCGCATCGTCGATCACAACATCCTCTACGGACTTCTTGGATTCGACCTCTGACATTCCTGAAGCCCACAGAGTGGAGGTCGCGTAAGGGTTGAAAATTGATAACCCCCGAATTCAGCGCCATTGTTGCGAAAGTTATAGATAGGCACAAGACGCCGTACTGATGACGACGAGGCAACGAGGTCCATCGGAAGTCTATACCGCGATCGTATTCAGTGGCAGCGAGAGTGTAAGTTAACAAATTGTGCTTATGGTAATAATATAATAGCCTATGAACTAGTTCTATGCTACAAGGCATAATTAGCTTAAAATTGCAAATCGACGTCAGTGTGCAGAGGACCCGGGCTTGTCCGACCACCAGTCTCTACCTCGACGAAGGCGGCAGCGTGGACAACTGCAACACCCAACGTGCTCCATGAATCGCGCGCTCTCTGTCTCGAGGGCAGTCGGAACATCCTCAGGAAGGGTTGCGGTAAGGGTGACACGTCGCGTGAGTGGCTTCGGGCTCTCACTGTAGACTGGGCTGACAAGAAATACAGCGGCTTGCGACAGAAGCTCCGGTTCAGCCGCCTAAGAAGAAGAGGAACATACTCCGTAGATTGGTATTCTACACGACCGCCGCAACCGCAACTTTCTACGTGGGCAGCGCGTTTGTTGCGTACAAGTACCCGCCGTACTATGACGTTTTCATCGAGAAAGTGCCGCTAGGCCCGGTGGTCATTCAGTTTGGTGAGGACCACGATTGGGATACCCTTACACTTCAGAAAATCATCCATTCGAGCAAGAATGCTGCTGGATATATTCAGGGACTCGTCACGGGTGAGCGGGACGGCGCCAGCACGCCCACGGCGCTTGAGAAGACCAAGGAGGCTGTGGATAGGACGAAGGAAGTGGTTGCGCAGAAAGCTCAAGCTTCCAAGGCTGTTGCTGCGGAGCGTTATCAGGACTCCAAGGACCGCCTGAAATCTGTGGCGAGCTCACTGAAGACTGGTGTGAAGAAAAATGAGGATCAGGCTCTAGAGAAGGGTTCCAAAGCTGCAGCAATCGCGGTGCACCAGGCTGTGCAGTTCTCTGAGGGTGTGGAGGAGCTCGTACGCAAGGCCGAGGCAGCGCTCACAGACAAGTCTGCAGGCACATCACGAGAAGTGACAACGACGCCTAGCCAGCCTTTTGTGCCACTGGAGGTTTCAGCACCTCATGATACTGAAGCCAAGGAACCAGCACGGAATGGCGTCGTCTACGATGCCCCATTACCCATTGGTTTTGAGCCTCCACCTGGCTTTTCTCGTCCCAAACCCCCCAAGTCCACACCTGCACCAACTTCTGTTCCAGCCGAGGTGCCATTACCTCCTTTGCCTCTCGTTGCACCCGCGGTCTCCGAATTCAGCGTCTCTGAGCCCGTTATTTCCCAGCTCGCTTCCGTTATTGACAACCTCGCTTCATATCTCAACGCAAACCCTACTGCCGCAGAGAAAGCGCGAGACATTCTGGATGCTGCGAAAGTAGACTTGACAGCATTGGCGACCCGTATTGAGGCCGTGAAGGAGGAAGAACGCCATAAGCTTGAAGCTAAGCTGGACGATCAGACGCGAGAATACACGATCAAACTACTTGAGCTCGAGATGGAGGCTCAGGATAAGCTGGATAACCAAGAACAGGACTTCAGGAAGTTCTTTGACGAAGAGAAAGCGAAGTTTGTTCACGCTTACCGGGAGAAACTTAATCGTGAGCTGCAGACACAAAGCGAGATTATCAACGAACGGTGCGTCCGTTCATCTTTGTTCGTAGGAGGTATTTCAACTGAAGTAATCACGCAGCTTGAAAGAAGAGGTTGTCGCTCAAGGAATCGAGCTTCAGCGCCGTTGGATTCGCGAGATCAAAGTTCGCGTGGAGCAGGAGCGCGGCGGACGTCTCGCAAAGTTAGACGAGCTCGCTACTAACCTCAAGCGCCTGGAGCGCATTGCTCTCGATAACTCTGTCTATCTTGACGAGAACATTCGCATCCACGCCCTTTGGTCAGCGCTCCGTGCACTGAGCAGCAGCATTGATGCATCGGTGAGGAAGCCGTTCAGAGAGGAGCTGCGAATTTTACGGCACGTTGCTGTGGCACGCGAGGATCCTTTGGTCTCATCTGTGCTCGAGAACCTTGAGGCATCAGACGTCCCCGACGTTGGTGTAGAACCATTCGCAGACCTTGCGACATGGTTCAGCACCTCGGTCGCTCCCGCCGTGTCAAAGGTTGCGCTAGTGCCCGATCAGGATGCTGGTCTTCTTTCGCATCTTGCATCGCATCTCGTATCGTCCTTCACGTTCCGGAGACAGGGTCTCGTTTCTGGAAATGATGTCCTCAGTGTCCTTGCTCGTGCGGAGTACTATATGAACGAGAAGGACCTCGATGGTGCCACGAGGGAACTCAATCAACTGAGGGGAACGGCGAAGCTACTTATGTCAGATTGGCTTGATGCTGCACGCAGGAGGCTGGAAGTAATGCAAGCCTTGGAGGTGTGTCCACGTCTATCTATATAGGTATTGGAACTAACGAATTGCTTGTCAGGTCGTACAATCACAAGCAACGTTAGCATCTCTACTTGTTGCTCAAGATTAAAACATGTCCATATTGGTAGAACTATAGCATGGACTAGACTTAATTGTGCGGTGTGAGGTGTGTAAATAAGGTACCAGACTTGGGCTCGGGTGAGTGTTTTGGTCACTAATTACTCCTTATTGGACGATACTCCGGACCGTGCACAATGTCCGAGGGCACCAACCCGTTGCCCGTAGCCATATATCGGCTGAGACTTGAACAAGTTGTGGTAGGTGGTCACGTATAGGGGCCTGACTATATCGCCAGAATTATGAGAGCATCGATATACAATGTGCATGTATCACGGAACCATTCGATGTCAGACACATACTTCATTCGCTGCAATGAAACTATTTGTATAATCCTACGCCTGGGAGGGTCAAGGTGAGTCAACTATTGTTTCTCCACAGCCGCCAAAATCTCTTTCCAATCCGCACTTGCTCTACACATCTCTCTGAACACCCCGCCTTGTTTGGAAAGCAAAGCACGAGGGGTATCAAACTCTAGTATCTCTCCGTGTCCGAGAACGAGGATGCGGTCGTAGTCTAGCACTGTCTTCAGTCGATGGGCTATCGTAATAACGATTGCACCAGCGAATTCTTCACGGATTGTCTGCTGAATCTGATCGCATGCCAGTGAGAATCCAACGACAAGGTCTACCGAGAGGACATACTTGATCATCTAGTTTCGAGTCGATCTGTGACGTTGCTTCGTCCATAATCACTATGTTGCTTCGGCGAAGCACAGCACGAGCCATGGCTACCAGCTGCCGCTCGCCTGCGCTGAGTGAGCCCGTCTGACCAATGTGGAGATCCAAGGACGATTCTGTTTTCGTCGGCTCGCTCGCAGAATCGTCCAGTAAAGACTTGAGATGGCATCTTTCCAAAACTTCCCAGCACTCTTCGTCAGAGTGCTCTGCGAATGGGTCAAGGTTGCTCCTGATCGTGCCAGAGAACAGCGAAACGTCTTGACTGATAATAGTCTAAAGAGAGCAAAATTTAATTGTCATCATCCTCCAGCTATATTATAACTTACAACATGCTTCCTCAAATCATCTAGACCTAATTTTGCTATGTCAATGTTGTCAATACTTTGCCACGGGCTGGTCAGTGAGAGTACAAGAGCGGCGGTGAAACGGGATATACGTACATTATACGACCACTACTAGGCTCTATCATGCGTAATAAGGAGAGAGCAAGAGTAGACTTCCCTACATAGATCGTACTTAGCCAAAAGGACACAATTTCACTACCATAAAGGCTCACCTGAACCTGTGCGGCCAACCTGGCAAGAAGTTAGGATTCAGCGGGCAGATTTTGTAAGTAGATCACATACCACTCCAATCTTCTCGGAGGGTTTCACACTGAACGATACGCCGTGAAGGACAGCAGGAAGTTCCGGGGCATATCTAACCACCAGATCTTCCACGATAAGCCCGCCAGTACTTGACGGCCAATACGCAGGAGGCGTATTTTCAAGTACGACAGCGGGCGCCTCCTGAGGTACACCTAAGTACTCCACGATACGCTCAACAGAATTGAAATCTAGCTCTAGCTGTGCGAGAACCCTATGAAGACGGTTATGAATCGCATACTAGCGCAGAGAACAGTCACAAACTCGTACTTTACCAATACACGCGAAGCTTCAGCAAACACGCCGGCTTGGACAATAACCAAGGCCGCGAATCCAGACGAGACAGAGCCCCAAAGAGCGAACAAGGTCGTCAAGAAAACGACAATGGACCCAAGACCTGAACCAAACAGGTGGGGAAAAGCTCACAAAGCCAGAAAGAGGAAAGTAGGAATGGACTAACAGTCGTATCGCCATTGCAGCCAACCGGACACCAGCCACTGAATGATATGTAAAGGAATATGTTAGATTCCTCAATGCTAGACCAAGTTATTGTGTGACCTACGTATACGTGATCGAACGATTGAAACTTATCGACGCGCTTGTAGAATCTATCCTGGTATCTTTCCTCCATACCGAATGCCCGCACATGAGACAGGCCCCTCAGCAACTCGTCGAACCCAGCAAATGCAGGAGATAGAGATATTGACTCGAGTCGCCGTAGATCTCGCGAGGCGCGGACATACAGGGGTGCAAGTCGAATATACAACCATGAGATGATAAGAGCGAATGGGGCAAAGGAGGGCACTACCCATATGATAACCGACAACGAAACGAGGAAGTTGAGACATCCAGATAAAGCAGCCCTGGCAGAATTCTGCAAAGCATAATCAACAGTGTTGATGTCTGAGGTAAAACGATTCAAGATGCGCCCTATTGGTGTCACATCGAAGAATCGCGACGGGGCACCAGCGAGTTTCTGCAGCATTGAAATGAAGAGAACTCTGGATGCTTGCAGACTTGCGTAATAACCGAGTGATATATAGGCGATGACAGAAAGCGCCCCGAACAAGCAGATCACCAAGAAGATTGCCAGCCAGGGTTTCACGTCGACGTCAGGTGGGGGCATTTGTTCCCAAAATGCGCCAGCTCGTTGAAGGACTTCTGCCACTGAAGGTCCCGTACTCTCATAAGCCTCACCCCACCTAGCTATGAAGAACTAGTGTAGAGCATCCAAGTAAGCCATTAGAACGATTAGTTGCAGAGATTAAACATACCTGGTTGCCAACCGTGATCAAGCGGATGAAAACCATCAAGACAATCGTCAAGAACCAGGAAAATAAGCCGGCAGCGCGAATGTAGGTCATGTAGGTTCGCATGGACACCCGGCCTTCGGCACGGGCTTCAGCCTCGACGAGCTTACCGTTGGCTGGTTTAGATATAGATTGACCTTCTTGGTGACCATTCACCAAATCTGCTTCGTTGCCGGTTTCAGTAGCCGAAGATTGAAGATCTTCTTCGGCCACAATGTCTTCCGCTGCTACAAGCTTCTCGAGTTGGCCTTGTAGTTGAAGGTCCTCGGTGGACCCCTGACGAATGATCTTACCATTGGATAGCTCGACGAGATGTGAGGCTATCGGAAGACAGAGGCTGATATGATGTGTCACCAGGATGATTGTCCGATCGCGAGCCAACTCTCCTGAAAGAGCTTTTTTGGCCAGGTGTTGTGCGGTATGCATATCGACAGCCGCTAGACTGTCCGTGTGGTTAAATCAGGCTATGAACATATCAATGCAGCCGCTCACGGATCATCAAGCAGGATACACTACCATGTAGTGAATACCATGCTTCGTGAAGTCGAGTCTAAAGATCACTCACCGTAGCTCGAGAGTAAAGAGCTCGCGCCAGGGCTATCCTAGCCCTCTGACCACCGGATAATGTGATTCCCTTTTCACCAATTTCTGTATTGCCGAGTTAAATACTGAACACCAAATGAAAATCCCATGGTCACCTGTCATGTCGCCTGCATCAAAGATCTCTAGATCCCTCTTCAAAGCGCAAGCCTCAATCACCATCTGGTATCGTCGCTCGTCATACCCATATGCCGACCCGAATATGATGTTGTCGCGGATTGTTGCGTGCTCAAGCCCTGCCATAAATTAGCACACCGTGTACAATATCACGTCGACCGCCGCCGCTACTCACATGGGTTCTGTGCGCAGTATGCAACTTGATGTCCTGCCTTGTTCAAAGTCACTTTCCCAGAAGTGCAATGCATTTCTAGAGTATTTCTTGAGCAGAAGTTGCGTATTGAGCAAGCATATGAACTTAACGTACCTCCCAGCAGAGCAGCGAGCAGCGCACTTTTTCCTGACCCGGTCGCTCCACTTACCAGAGTGAGTTTTCCTGTAGGAAAATCGACGTCGAGAGGGCCGAGCTCGAATCTTGAAGGTGCGTCTTTCGGATAAACGTCCCATCCGAAAGAAGCGTCCGAGAACCCGACTTTTCCGGAGCGAAAAGCCTGTGCATTAGAGGACATCTTCAAAGAAGAGGCCCAATCCGACACCTCTGCTTCCCCAAGGAAGACCTCAATACGCTGCATGCTCACATAAGCTGACTTCCGATCTCAGCTTCTTCGTGTAGTTTTCTGGGTGGCGAGAATCACTGACCATGAAGCAGAGCAAAGATCTGTCCCGGCAATGCCGTCATAGGCTCTTGCAGGTACGAGAATAGTGCGATCGAAGTGAAGGCTTTCGCTACTGTCAGTCTCTCTCCTGCTATCAGAGTGTAGCACAGGAAGGTTGAGACAGCGGTTGCGGAAGGAATCCATGTCCAGATGAAAGAAATGATGACTGAGACAACGTTATCCTTGACGCGCCAACTCAGTTCGATCTCCCTCGCCTCGCGTACTCGATTCGCCCACCGTGTCTCTGAGAAAGACTGTAAGAAACCATTGCACTCCAATGCAACGTTAACGCACCCCAACCGTAGAATTTTAGGAAACGGACATTCTGAAACAGCTCATTTACCAGACTCATCCGACGATCTCTGGCTTTCCACGAGTGTCGTGTGACCTTGTAGCATATCAGTATCGTCCATCTATATAATTACGTGAGGACTCACGTAAATATTGTATTTTGCCAACGGATAGTTCAGAATGTAGGCGACGACAACGACTGCCACAGCCGCGAGAGAACTCCAGCCCAAAATACTGTATGTCTGTTGGTGAGATAGTAGGACAATATGTGGATAATCGCGCACCGATACAAGAAAACCATCGCGATGACTAAACGAACTGGGGCAGCAAAAACTTTGGAGAATTCCCAAAATCGAAGGGCAACGGAATACGCATCACCCCTTCGTGATGGAAATATGAGTATGAAGCGTTCTGGACTGGATATGCGACATACTGCATCAGGTTCACAATCTTGCCTAGATCGGCACTCCCCCCGCCCTGCTCCTGATCTGGACTATCATGTACATCGCGCCGTGTCAGTGCCCTGTACAGATATCTCCGTCTGTTAGAGCCATTACACGCCAAGAAAGAACCCACTTGTAATGAAGCGCACAGAACAGCTGACCGCGCGTACGCTCGTAACAGCGGCGAGTGTACCATGTTTGGTAGAGGTCCACTTGCGCAAACGACAAGTTCGCTATGAACGCAGCACATGCAAAGAGGAAGGCTCTGCGCTTTGACTCGGGCGATGGATCGGCGAGTGCGGAGAGAATTTCCTGTAGGGCATAAGGCGGAACGAAGCCTAGGGTAAGATGAGCTAAATGAGATACCTCCGCAGAACAAAACACTCACCGAAGACAGCACTCCACATCTCTAACAGGACATCTAGGATCAGATCTAAAGAGTTGGAAACAATGAGAAAGCGCAGCAACGAGTGCGTAGGATGTCTGCAGATCGCTGAGCTCCAAGACATCTAGATGAACCTATTGCATACGTACTCTTCGCGATACTTTAAGTACTTGTGAAACAGGTTCTTATGCGTAAAGTATGGAGACAACGCCCAGACGTCGCCTTCATTTAACGTGCGCTCTCCTGCCAGTGGGAAAATTGGCTCTATGAAGGAGAATGTCGACCAGGACCACAAGTTCACGCTATCCTCCGGCATGGATAGTCCACTCGAAGGAGCCTGGAAACCTCTAAGCACAACTGCAAGAATCATGAAGTGGTCCTCCTGGTCCACTCACCTCGGTGCCCTTGGCGACATTCTTCGCGGGCAGCATAAGCTGTAACGGCAAAGTTCCAGCTATCCAAGCAAGGCCAGTCGGCCAGATAATTCGAACCATGTCAAGCGCAACTAGCTCGGGGCGGACCTCGCTTTCCATAAGTCTAAGAAGTGTGTCTGCCAGCGCAACCCCCGCATGTGTCAGGTAGAACAGGATCAAAAGGTATGGTGGTGTAGATGGCGGTCGGAATAACAGTCTAAAGAGTGCATATAGCTAGTGTTCGTGAGTCTTAAATTCGAACTTTGTAAGACTGGATACACATACCCAGGTTATGGACGCAACGACGAGTTCCCTCAGTACGCTGGGCTGACCATTCACTATCCCCGCATAAGCTAGTACAGTCACATATGCCGCACATTCTACCAAAGTACCGATTGCCAGAGCTCTACATGTCCAGGCTGGTGGGCTGCTTATGGGCTCTGAGGGACCTTCTAGATCGTCCAGAGTAAGGAAATTTCTGAACGGCGAGGTGAACGCCCTCAACGCCTTCCGGAAGCATTTTGGATAGCGAACAGCGGAGAGGATATCGTTGAATAGTAGAAGCAGTCCTACGCACACGGGAACGAGGGTACCAAGGATAAATTCAGGCTGTCCTAGTTGCACCTTCGGGGCGACAAAGTCAACATTCAGGCTGCCATTCTCGAGATATCTCTCGATTGACAAGAGCTGCTGGTCCCAGATCATTACAGAACATAGACTAATTGTCCAAGGTAAGTGGAGGTTGGTCGGCGTCGCCAGAGACCAATTGGCAGACTCCAGCTCGATCCGCACAACCGTACCCCCGTATACAGGCTGTAATGGTTCACACGTTTCTCGCACCAGGAATATGACGTACAAGCATGGCGTAATCGCAGTATAATTGCCGTATTGTAGTATTGTACGAATGTAAGTATGCAGTTGTACGTAGATTTACGTACACACGTATTCCAAAGTTGATCTGCATCGTACCTACATGAAAAAGCCGGAAAACAAAGTACTGTAAATGTGAGCGACGAGCAACAAAAACACCACAAGGCCGAGAACAATCTGTCCCTGGCCGACTTGACGTCAAGATAAGTCGGCGGTAGTCGCGGCGGTAAGACACTGAGCCATGCGGAGGAAGCGTGGCGGTAGAGCGTAAAGACTTGCAGCCGGCTCCGTCAGAAGAGCAGGGACTTTGAGCCCTCAGTCTTCTCTTCTACGTTGTCATCACTGATTATAATTGGCTAGTGAATCTATGACGCCAGTAAAACGTGTATAATTCGTCGCTGATCGTAAATCTGACTCCAAGCGGAGGGATGAATCTGAAAGGAATACACAAACTCGGAATGGGTGATCGCAAACCCGCAGTTTGATTCGGGTCTGCACGCCTTTGTACGCGCATAGTAATATCTGACCGCGGGCAATTGTCTCGCCGAAATCAGCTCACACTTATGGAACAAACCGAGTCACTCAGTAAATGACAAAGGCGTATTAGGACGTGTCAGCGGCCATGTGAACTAAAATTCGAGCAATGCGGTATATGTACCTGATGCAGAGTGGGAACCTGCGTTGAGATGTCACGTCGAGAGTCTACTAGCACGGGAATGAGACGAGGCGTGGCAAGAAATCATGCCACTGACGGATCGGAGCAAGAGAAAACCAGCGTCTGGCACAGCGGGTTGTACAACCCCGACTGGCTGTGTCGACCAAGGCATCAGACAGTGTGTTTTGTGCCGACAGCGGGACCAGGAATAGTAGATGCCATGTGCAGAGTCCGGAGAAAGAGCGACAAGAAAACAGATCTCGGCCTGTTCGCGGTGCTTGTGCGAAAAGTGCCTGTCAATTTCCAATTAAACGTGGGCCTGAGTGTGCCAGAATTCCCAGCAACCGAATAATATCTGCCAGTTGAGCGGCAACCAGGCGGTCAGCTGGTGCGGGGTAAGAGCGCTGAAAGGCGGAGAGAGCGACCGCAGCTGAAGTATAAAGACAGGTCGAGCAAACTAACAGCGGTGTACGACATTCCGAGCACGATAGCGGCAGACCAGGAGAAAGGTTGCAGAGCGAGACTCGGAAAGGCAGGCCACGGTTTGTTATTGAGCGCGCGCTTGTTCGCCTGCCGGAAGTGCGAGCCGCGTTCTCCTTCCCCCCTTCATAATCTTTCTTGCCACTCCACCCACTCTTGACCCTATACCTCATAATTACCTGTCCTCGCCCACTCATCGTTGTCGAGACCATCATACCCTCTTTTTCTCTTTTCTCTATCTGCCTACTGCTCAGCTACATAACCCCAGCATTCGAGCGCTCCTGAACCACCGTTTCATTATATCACCCCACTCCCGTCGTTGTCTCATCCTTTGTCCGTCCCAGTGTCGTCGCCTGCATCACATACTGTGCAACGGTTGAACATGGCACCAGCATTAAATCACCCTACGGGCGTGAACTTTGTCGACGAGCATCGTCCTGTAAACGCGGATGCAGCGACATACTACGGGGGCGAGGAACAATTCAGTCGCTCACGAACATACAGTGCGGTGAGCTCAAGAGCTTTTCTCTCCTGCAGAATGTATTCATATTTACTCTCTTCCAGTCGTTTGCTCACGGATATAACCCTAAGCGTGCGGCCTTCGACAACGACTGGGTGCGCAGACAAAGACGCATGTCCCACGATGAGAAGAGCACCGGTCCCCGGCGCTTCCTCATTGACGTGGAAGAGACAATTCGCGTAATTCTTGAACAAGAAGATACCGACGGAGACTTCCAAATTAGCGTCACTGATGCCGGTCCCAAACTCATGTCCCTCGGCACCGCGACGAGTAATGGCTTCAAGAGCTTCGACATTCGGGTGCGTCTATCGATGAGACACAATTAGCAATCACTGATGTGTGTTCAGGGCACGTACATGTTGTCCAACCTCTTGCAAGAGCTCGCTCTTGCCCGTGACCATAACCGAAAGCGCATTGTCCTAGACGAAGCGCGCCTTACCGAGAACCCCGTCGATCGGCTATCGCGTATGATCAAGAACTCATTCTGGCATGCACTAACGCGCCGAATCGATGGAGACGGTCTTGAGATCATCTGTGCAGACCCGAAGAACCGCACCGGGCGCGTGAACCCGCGGATATACGTGCCCCACGGTGAGCCGGCGATGGCAGAGTACTACAGGAAGGTTGCGATGCAGAAACCGCACCTGAATTTGGACGTGCAAGTCCTACCTGCGAAGCCGGACGACCCGCACTTCGTGAAGAGCTTGAACAATAAGCCGGGCATTCTTGCACTTGCAATGAACGAGGTCAATGATGCCACGGGCGGCAAGACGCTCAAGGGTATTCCATTTATCGTTCCTGGGGCTCGTTTCAACGAGGTGCGTGCAATGGCTACCTAGCTGTGTAGCATACCGCTGATACGTGAACAGCTCTATAACTGGGATTCATACTTCATCTCGCTTGGGCTGCTCGTCGACGGGTACGTAAACATGGCGAAGGGCATGGTGGACCACTTCATCTTCGAGATAACCCACTATGGCAAGATCCTCAATGGTAGCCGGAGTTACTACCTTTGCCGAACGCAACCTCCATTCCTGACCGACATGGCGTTGCAGATCTACAATCAACTCGATCGGTCAGATATGGATGCCAACCGTGCATGGCTGAAGCGTGCCATCCGAGCCGCCATTAAGGAATATCACACTATCTGGGTCGCGGAGCCACGCATGGATCCGAAGACTGGACTGTCACGATACCGCCCCGATGGACTCGGTATCCCTCCTGAGACAGAAGCGACGCACTTTACTCATATCCTGGAACCGTACGCGGCAAAGCACGGGCTATCCGTGCTCGAGTTCAGCGAGCGATATAACGATGGAACGATCAAAGAGCCGGAGCTGGATGAATACTTCCTACACGATCGCGCCGTGCGTGAGTCTGGACATGACACGACGTACCGGTTTGAAAAGCGCTGTGCGAATCTTGGTACGATTGACCTGCAGGCTCTACTGTACAAGTACGAGGTGGACATTGGGACGGCTATCCGGGAGGTGTTTGATGACGAGCTCGAGTTGGAACAAGATTTCCCACTAGCGCCATTTCCGCCATCACCCGAAGCATACGCGAACCCCCACCGGGTGAGCTCTAAGGCACGGCCGCAGACAAGCGCCATCTGGTTCGAGCGGGCAGAGTTCAGGAAGAATATGATTGACAAGTACTGCTGGAATGAGAGCAAGAGCTTGTACTTTGATTACGATACTGTCCAGGAGAGGCAGATCTTGTATGAGAGTGTTACCGCATTTTGGACGCTCTGGGCAGGGTGTGCGAGTGAGGAGCAGTGCTGGAAGCTGATGTGCGTAATCATCCCCCTTATATCCATCCCGAAGTGAATTACTCCACTTACGCCGTCGATCGCAGTTCGAACTCCCTCAAGAAGTTCGAGGTGCTCGGGGGATTGGTCTCCGGAACAGAAGAATCGCGGGGAAAGATATCTCTGGACAGGCCGAACCGTCAGTGGGACTACCCGTGAGTCCGTTCTCACTGACTCTGGCATTACCGCACTGATTCTCAGCATTCTTTAGCTATGCATGGTTAGCTTGTTCTCTCGATCTGTCAAGAATTTCTATTGAATTGCGTAAATTTTCAGGCCTCCTCATCAAATCATGACGTGGGTGGGCCTCGAACGGTACGGTTACCTCGAAGATGCGCAGAGGCTAGCGTACAGGTGGCTCTATATGTGGGTCTCATCCACCCAAGGAATCGACGTAGTGTGTGCTGACAGACATGTCACAGGATGACGACTGCCTTCGTCGATTTCAATGGAGTAGTCCCCGAGAAGGTCGGTAGTTTTATGCGTGTATTTGTCTGATTTTGGCTCAAAGCAGCCCATGTCAGTTCGACGCAGTCAAACTTTCCCATCTCGTGGATGCCGAATATGGCAACCAGGGTGTCGACTTCAAGATGGTACCAAGAGAAGGTTTCGGTTGGATGAATGGCAAGTGCATATATACTGAAACTATGAGACATTGATGTTGAAAATCGACTGTAGCTGCCTACCAAGTCGGTCTGTCATTCCTTTCGACCGGTATGCGGCGCGCTGTCTCCGCGTGCACCTCGCCCGAAGTCGTCTTTGGCATCCCATCGGGTCAGCAGCAGACGAACACGCAAGCATATCCGACTGGTGGTACGGACCCTCTCGACCTAGCTATGGAGCACCTCCAGCTGTCGGCCCCTCATCCAGGCTTTCCCTCTGCGTGAGGGAAACCATCGAAGGAGTTCATCTCTTCTTTTCCCTACTGCCGCGCTATCCTAATCCAGCATCCTCGACATCGGGGTAATCCTATAAGTTTTATTGCCGACGCACTTTTTCCAAGTCACCCGAATTCCTGCGATGCCCCAGCGTTAGAACGTAGATGTCGCTTCCACCGTGTACAATACCCGCATTCTTGTCTCACAGATATTTCATGCAACATAGATTCAATGATTTTGAGATCTCGTCCCCAGACGTGTTGAAAGCACCGTTTTTGTCGAGTAACCGATTTTATTCCAATCTCCATATGTGGCTGGCTGGGGTGGCGCGGCTAAAGGGTTCACTCACAATTGTCGTGGCGGTATGTCTCTCAATGCTCCCTTCGACATTGACTGCGTTGCTCGCCCCGGCCGTCGCGCTTTTCTCCCTTAATGTGAACTCTGCATTGCCACCTAAGAATCCTGATGTGTTGCAATTCGAACTGCGTCAATATCACGCAGTGTCTCCGGGGGCACAGGTCCTCTTCCATAATACACCACTCAACTCATTATCCGAGAACTCTAGGACAACGCATCGTCTTCGTTCGAAGCTTGTGAAGTCTCATCGCCCATCTTCTTCAGCCGCATTCGCCCATGCTCGAGCACGGTCGATCAGGTTTGCGGAGAGCGTTTCTCTTGATTGGGACGAGGATGAGATAGTCGGGCCCGATGTCGAGAGGCGGGAGACGCTGCTGGAGCTGGCGAAGATGACGAATAACGCATACTTGGAGCCGAGTGAGTCCGGCTGGTATGACCTCGACGGCAAATGGAATGTGGTGAGTTGGCGTTCAATGAGCACGCGAGCGTTTGGCCAGTGGGCTGTTGTCTCTCTCGCCTTTTGTTCTCTCTTTACTGAACGAATCTTTGCGGTGTTTTCAGAGCTACCCTGTGGGATGGGAACCGGATGCGGACGGTTTCCGAGGGCATGTATTTGCGACTCCCGACAACTCGACGGTCGTGGTCTCGATCAAGGGAACATCCGCTGGGTTTGTCGGTGGAGGGGGGCCTACCTCTAAGAAAGATAAACTTAACGACAACCTGCTTTTCAGCTGCTGCTGCGCTCGGATAGATTGGACGTGGACGACGGTGTGTGACTGCTATCGTGGTGGATGGAAGTGCAATCAGGAATGCCTGGAGACATCCCTAGTGGAGGAGAGCTTATTCTATTCTGTCGGAATCGTGCGTACTAGCGATCTTCTTATGCGCTGGAATTGACTTATGCGCATGGTGGACGCAGAACTTATACAATAATATCACCTACATGTATCCCGAGGCTAACATATGGGTTGTTGGGCACTCCCTCGGCGGTGCGCTCGCGTCGCTGCTCGGAGTCACCTTTGGTGCACCGGTTGTAACAATGGAATCACCAGGCGAGAAGATGGCAGCACGGAGATTGCATCTACCATCGCCCGTGAGTAAGCTGCGTTTAATCCTATGACTTTCCTCATCTCGCCCCAATCCGCAGCCCGAAGTCCAGCATATCACACATGTATATCACACAGCGGATCCAATCGCGATGGGCACCTGCAATGGGGTACTGTCTACATGCGCCCTTGGTGGATATGCAATGGAGAGTCGGTGCGTAGACACGCTTCCGACTGATGCAGATCCTGTTGATGTGACTTGTACAAGATGTCATCTGGGCCTTTCAATTGTTTACGACACAGTCTCGAATTTGTCATGGGCTGTCGATATACGCACTCACGGTATCGTAAATGTAATTGAGAAAATTCTCTCTCAGCCATGGCCACCAAGCGTCGAATCAGGGAGGGAGGTCCCTCAAGCGAAGGCAGAGGAAGATTGTGTAGTAAGTCGCTGCACAATCTAAGACCCACGGCGAGAACGCTGCATACGATTGGATATTGATGTGCTCTCTTTTCTGCAGGAATGTTTCAGCTGGGAGTTTGGTGATTTTCCATAACCTTTTGATTTAGAGCTCAAGATCGTTCCGACGCGAATGCACGAGATATTGAAACCAGTTTTCATTCAGTTTGGCACATACATGTTCATCCACACATCCCTGAAAGTCAAAGTGTTTGACGTCATAGGCAATGTGCTAGATCACTCTATGTATACAAGGTAAAGTGAGGCTTTTCCGCACATCGTTGTACAATATAGTCGAGGACCTAAAACCTATAATTCCGTTGTGAAAATGTGCCTATACATGTCTTTTAATTCTTCCCAAGCATCCTGCTCTTCAGAATCACGACAACATATTTTTAACGAGACGCCCTCGTCCATTGTCTTGAGCAGACTTCCTAGTGGAAGCTTTTCATCAAGTTGCTTGGTCATGGCTAGGAGTCCAGTGCACCATCGTGTTGTGAACCCAATGTCATAGGGTAGCTCGCGAGCATTCCGATCTCGAAAATATACCTCTATGTCTTCCATCCAATCCTCCAGCCAAATACGACGAAAACCTTCAAACTCTCGTGCGGTCAATTTCAGCGCGGGCAAGCGTCCTAGAGCAACTGCACATGACATGCAGAACATTTCTAGGTCACTTCGACTAAGCGCATCTTTAGCACAAGTCAATATATTGCCAATGCCTGTGCTCATCACACGTAAGATATTGTTGGTGTGTAACATATCATAATCATATCTCACCATCTGGACAGAAATGGAGATTGCATCCTGAGGAGGTCATGTCCCACAAGAGGTGCAAGGAGGCACGTTGAACAGGGATGGGTTCCCAGTAGTTGACAAGCTCGATGAGATCTGAAAGGGCTTGACGATGGAGTTCGCTATCGCAGAAAGACGAAGCTGACCGCATGAGAAGCTGGCGTAAGATGCAGATAGCGTCAAGCACGTTGACTATGGTCGAAACCGTGTCATGGGGGATCTTCGGTAGGATACAGAGCAGCATCCTGATCGTCCTCGCCGTTCCTCTTGGGCCAATAACCAGAGCCAACACGTCGGAGAGAGGCTCTGAGCCAGAATCACGGATACTGCTGATGAGGGTGGTAACCGAACAGCCCGCTGCTTCAGCGACTTTCTGGAAGACGAAGGAGACGGCCATCGCTGGCTTGAGATCTTCCAGAGCTGGCGTGATTGAATCTAACATGTCCTGGTCCGATGACGAACTATGGCACCAGGCAAAAGCGTCTCTATCAAGTAGGCCTCGGCGGCCCTGCAAAGACTTCATATCGCGCTCCCGCCATCCCTCGGGGAACGAAGAAGCTGTTTTTCCTTGACCCATCTCCATCACCGCTTCGTATAATAGTTCCCACATAAGGAAAATACCCCACGATCTGGGAGACTTGTATGGACAAGTGGCCAAAATAGCTGGCAGAATAGAGGTGGCCACGTAGAGCAACAGCGAAGTGACTATGAGAGCAGTAACAACTTCGGCCACCACCCGGTGTAAGGACCAAAGCAGCTCGATAAGCCCCAAGAGAAAGAGGATCAGTGATGCTTCAAGAAGGAGGGGTAAAGATGCTATAATGCCTGGAACCTGCCAGCGTATCAAATTATTGTAGCGATGCTGTCGTAGCCGAACAGCCTCTCGAGAAGAGGATGAACCTTCAGTTGTATATTCCCGAAGCCATTGTTTGGCCAGTATACCAGTGAGGGCAGTAACTAGGCTGCATACAAGGCTGGAAAACCAGAGAATATTCAAACGGACGGCAGAGGAAGGAGGCTGGAAGGTGCTCGGGGATGTGCTTGAATTAATCTGCAACATGGTATACGATTGGGCGCTGAATGTAGATACTACAGCGGACAACAAGCCCGCCTGGAAATTTGTCAGTTGTGCTGGCACGAATTGGCAAATATACTTACGAATACAAGCAGAGTGTCAATGTCATCCTTCCACATTTTGACACGCTCAGTATCATACTGTTTCATGAGACTGGCGCAAGCCGACCAGCCAGCAGATCTCGCCGAAAGCTGAGGATCTGCCGCTGATTTATCCATCTACACGATAAGTCTTGTACGTACATCAGATACAGGTGATGCACTCACATTCAGCGGCTGAGATTTCATAGATACTGTGTCGTAACCAGGATCCCGCTTTGTGAGTTGCGATGGCATGGTGCACAAGTGTAAGAGCTTGGAAATCAAGATCGGGTCAAAGAAATCCTGCACACGACAAAGGGATGCAATAGCAGGCTATGTACGCCTCGACAACTGAATGATATTGGGGACTTCATGAAGCCTATGACTCAGGATGTCCAAAGTCGACAGTTGCGATAGTAACCGTGATGGAAGAGGAAAATTTGCGAATTAGCTGTTCAACAATAGATGTCAGAACAGCAAGGCAGTGAGGATTCCAGTAAGCACGCCACCAATGACAAGTGGTTCGATGCATTCCATCAGCTGAGGTATTTGCATCCGTGGGAGAGGATATCACTAAAACTCCCGCCCCGATGCTACACTGTCCTGTGTTCAAGCTGACGAACGAACCGGGACAGTGGCCTTTAATGTACTACACAGCACGATCAACATCAGTGATGCTCGAAGCTGGAGTCTGACGCTCATGAATTGACCACTTCATAAACGTTCTTGGAATACAATGGCATATCGAAGGAAGGCCAACGCTGGATCTACGACGAATACAATCTAACTGAGTGCACGCGGCTTGCAAGAGGATAAGCCGGCAGGCCGAGCGTGGCCAATATTAGTAGCGTCCTGTCCATCGACGCGCTCGGTACTCACGGTTCTTCCATAGATATCTAACCCCTACCAGGCCGGCTCATGCAGTCGCACGCGCTGCTGTTGGCTCATACGGTCAATAGAAGGGAGACCATGTTCTGAACTCACCATCTGAACTCGCACAAAAGATCTCCACGAAAGTGCTACCCAAGATCCCGCGTCCTGATGCGCGCAAGATGCTGAGCGGTGGCCTTAGTATTGGCCAGGCGAAGGCTCGCAGTGGCGTATCCCGGCCTGCCCTAAACTTCCCACGGCCGATTCTTTTTATGCAGTCTTGCGATTCTTTTTGCCCTTCGTGCGGCGACACGGCCATATCTTCCCCATGTTGCTCATAGCTGCGACTTCCACGCGGCCGTTCGAGTGTCAGGCTGTGTCAAGAGCGATTCGGACGTCTCAGCACCTAATGTTCTCTCTGCTGTCGCAGCTCTCTGGCTCTTTCGGGATCTGGAGTTGTTTGTGTGCGGAGCCGGACGGGTCGGTGGTTCGTATATATCTAGCATTTTGATCAATAGCATTGTGTCTACTAAGCTACGCTGTTGTGCTGGTCCTCCTTCACTGTCGGCCACTCACTTGAGCTGTCATCTGGTCTGAAATTTTGTGGGCGCAGTAGGACATATGTTTTGTCATCTCACGCTCGTTGTGTCCAGTCAAGTCTGCCAAGTCTGCTAGGGTGCACTTAAGGTATCAATGTAACGCGAGGTCAGCTTGGTATTTATGAGTGAGTTACGGACGGCAAGTGGGAGCACTCAAGGTAGCCGCCTCATTGATTCATGAAATCAGGAAGAGTGGCTCCCAACGGTCCATCAGGTCTGGGCTGTAATTTTCCATCTCCGTTGAAAAGCTTACAGTTCCTTTCTGTCATTCATCATGCCATGTACCCTTGCACCTCCAATTTTCGACGAAGAATTGGGTGACATAGATGAGTGTACTGTGCAGAACGTTGACTGATTCCGTACCAAACGTTACGGCGTCGGGCGCAAGCTAGCGAGGCTTTGATTGTAAAAATCATGATATCGTCCGTGGGTTGATAGATTTCAAACCCAGGCGCCGGCCCCCGAAGGTGCGACTGCGCGGCGACCATGTATGAAAATCCGACTGATAGAAGCAACGAAGATTTGTCTAGTCATAATATGGCCCCTGCCGCAGGGCGAGAGTTGGCGAGAAACCATGAAGCGGGGCCAGACTAACCTCGACAAGATAGACACTTCAATGCAGTGATGAAAATATCATATTGTGTGTTTGAGAGGAGACCTATGCGTTTGGGTAACGGCTAATTCTACGTAGTAAACTCTCTCTCCTCCTAGATGATGACATGTGTCTAGAACCACGATCTAGCTACGGAATGGAGGTGAGGTCGTCCTGGGACCCGGGCAGAAAAAGATTATGAATGAAGGTTTAATTATACCAGATACTACGTTCTAGACACGCAGACAAATTCTCATGATGTGTTTGGAAGGATTGCAGTAACGAGGAGCCTGTGGTGGGTGCGATTGGTGGCATGCAGGACTACCTATCTGCGACACTCGCCGGACAAGAGGTTCCACAATCGCGATCACCCGCTGCTCGCGCTTCATCGGAACCGATAGGAACAACTTTGCAAGCTAGGTATAAATCGTCATAGCGGCGTAGCCAAACCCAGAACGCATTCGAGTGATATACACGGGGTCTCCGCTGGTGAAGGTTGGAGAGCACGCTACCCTACGTAGTCCGGGAGTTCGCGTGGTTTTGACAGTCTTCCGACTTCTAGCGAAGAATCGTGCTCGAATGTATTCTGGTCACCTGGCGCAGCGGAGGCGCGTGTGATATAGGCGTGTGTCCTCGGCATGAATCGCGATCCGTGGATGTCGATGTCAATCTCATCTGCACTCGAGGGTCAGAACGCTCGCAGAATCAATTGTTCAGGATCCGGGCCTCAGGGCGTTTGCGCGCGATGAACGCTACTGTAAACGTACCCTTACGGAGCTTCAGGTTTCGTGTGGGAATCACTGAAAGCAACAAGACTGAATTTCTACACAGAGAATCAGTCTGCACTGAATTTTATGACCTGATTTGAAGTACGTACTTGGTCACCGGATGCCAGTCCCTGCACATAAGTAACTGAATGGGATGATTTGGTGATCACCCAATCCCTTGCGCGTCAAGAGCGATTCGGTCTGGGTAAGCAAGGAACGCGCCTGTGCAAATACTGACTGTTCTTACCCTGACTAACAGCTCGCGCTGCTGTTATTGGCTTGTGAATGAAGTGCTTGATTTCAGCAGTAAGATTCTCGGATCATGGATGAACGACGAACGCGTGAGATGTCGCGTAGCAATGCGAGCAAGACCCAACGTCCAATACATATCTGCGCTTACAGTGAATGCAAAGTATATGCGAGTTGGGAAACTCCGAAACCAAGTGCTGACCGGTAAGATCCCTTACCGCGTAAATCGGCATTCATTCCCGCTCGATGACAGGTTGCATTAGCTGTTATCCTAAACATTTAAATCCTCTACTTCTGACAAATGACACAAACCTCGGGGTCGATGGCAACAGTCTGCATCAAGAAAGCATGTGAGTGAGTCAGCATGCCCAGACGAGGATCCGGACGACAAACGGCACGCCACTTGTAATTTTAATGGAAGAGAATCGCAGCAAGATGTAGTGCGGGTTCGCGTAAACCGAGGCTCTCGAGATAAACAGCTATGCACACGAGCGAGCCCAGAAGACTGGTTGCACTCGTGTAGGTTTACAAACAAGACTACGTAACCGCTCCACTGGGTGCGAGATGCTCCCTAGGGCAAATCCGCGAACCCGGCCGGGGTCTGCTGACCTGCAGAATCTCGGCAACGTGCAGTGCGGAAGCAAATGAGAAGTGTGGGGTTCAGGGGCAAGCCGGTAGAGTGCGGACAGGCCAGCACGTTTTGCACATGTACTTACAATTCACTTTCTGCAGCTGGAAAACTCTGAGGACATACACTGCATGTTGCCGTAGTGCCAGGGTTGGGTTGCGCTGTGGTGGGCTCATCCCATGCGATTCAGCAGTATGGGCGGGTGTGGTATAGGGGCGGCAGTGGCAAGAAGTGTCCACTGCTACGCAGCGTGGTGAGCTTGTAAAATGAGCCAGAGATAGCGAGAGAAGACGCAGACCAAGTTAGCGGTGGAGGGGCGGAGTAAAAATGGAGTGTTTGTGGAAGAGGAATAAGTCGCAGCAACTGTCCTGCTTTTGATCGGAGTTTGTTGCGCCTTCCTCATAAGCCCCCGCCGCCGGTCAGAAGACCCCTCCCATTCTCTTTCCCGTCCTCCGCTCTCTCTGCCCTCGTTCGCAACATCCAAACCATGGCCCCCGTCAACAACAGCAACAATCAGCCCACCCTCCCTATTCCCATCGAAGGCCACCACGGTCGTCGCCGCTCAAATTCATCCTCTGACGACTCCGATTCGTCCAATTCGCCCACCACTCCTCTCAGCTCTGCTACTCCTTTCCCTACCCCTGCGGCAGGTCTACCTCCCCGTGTTGCTCCCATCTCGCCATCTGCATCCCCTATTCTCTCCTACTTCTTAAATCAGCCGTCGCCCAAGTCGCCCACAAATACCTTCCCATTCCGGAGGAATTTCGGTCCGCCTGTTATTGAAGGTGCGCTTCTCCGCGTCTATCTCACCTCGCGAGGTGAGATCTCACTCGTTGAACAGACGATGAACCAGAGAGCGCTCCCGCATCTAACAAGCATGCCCGCCGTGCGAGCAATGCGTGGAGTGGTAGCGAGCGGTTCACTCAGCCACCTACGGTGCCAGCGCCCGGCGGCCAGCAGGAACGGGCCGTCGGTATTATGCGTCGTCTCTCGCTTGGGGGAGCTTTAGCTAGAGTGTGTACTCGCCGCTCTCATCTGGTCTTTCGGGATTTTAACTCCGTTTGCAGCCGCAGATCCCTAACTTCAAACCGACGGGTGGTCAGGATGACCGGCCTCAGGCCCAGCGTAGTGCCACTCCTCCCGGACGGTCCACGCCCTCGGCGGATACCCCGCGTAAGGCACGACGAGCAAACACGTTGGCACCTGGAACAGCTAGGCCTCCACATCGTGCGCCGTCTCCGATGGGCGAGCGCATCCTCAAGGGCCATTTCGACGGTTTCAACTGAGGAATGATACTCCGAGTCTTCACGCAGTCCACCGTTCATCAGTATCTCGCGTGTGCTGGACTTCCTGCCCCGTCATTTGTCGCCGCTAATTGTTTGTCATGATTCGACCTCTCACCATGTTCATGGTTGTGTATGATATCCCCGCACTGAACCCTACCCCGTGGTCCTCATAGACGCCGCACGCTGAGGTCTCTCTTGCCTTGATGCTTTCGCTTCGGGACACGACTCCGCCTAATCCCACTTCCTTCTCAATTGTACGTTCCTTGTGCGCGATCCCCTATCGCCGCCCAACCGCTGCATGGGTCAGCTTGTCCCGCTGTGCCTATCGCCGCAACCTCGCATCTTCACTCACCTACCTACATCTTAGCCGTGATCCTGTCTCGCCCCATCGTTATCCTTGCAGGAGCCATTCAAGGTTCGAAAGTATATCACCTCCCGCTTTAATGGTACTCGGACATCTGGTCCTAACTGCGTGTAACATTAATATGGTTTGATTCAGCTCGAAGGTAGTTCGCTTGTTTCATATAGTGGTTGTGTTTTCTTTGCGTAGGTATTTATTCTGTTTACGATTTGTAACTTTAGGTGTATGTATGTACGACTACGACCATGACACCCGTAAGCTGGATTTGCGATATAGGACCATCTTATGTCCCATCAGGCACTGATTGTCCGTTCAAGTTAGTCCTCTAAACACTGTCGTGAAGCCTATTCAGTGCTGACATTGTTGAGAACGAAAGCGTGCATCAAGGTAACTGAGGACGACATGCCGATTGCCAGTTCACCCGGGCTTTCAGTGCATAGATTGCAAATCTTGTGAGTGAGATATAAGATAAACGACTAACGTTACGAAAATGTATGTAGGGTATCACATTCAGGAACGAAAGAAGCAGATAGCGACTGGATTAGTAGAACTGATGTTCGAATTTAAAACCCGCAAGTCAGTAATCGTCCGTATGCAAATCGAACGTGATCGTAGACGAGAAACGAAGGAATGGCAAAGGTCCACAGCCGCAGCTGCGCATAGTGTAAGGATCAATTCCAAGCTGGAGATGTTCATATATACAACTGCCGCGACAAATACTAAAGACGAATCATTGCGTGGACGATGGAGAGACCTGGACGACAAGACAGTACCTACCAGACTTGTAATGCATTCGACGAGAAACCCGGCACCACACCGCGTCAGCCTATACCTCTCACTTCCCCTCCAAGCTTACAGCCCTCATCCAAGTTAATCTTCATCGGGTATATCCATCACCTCGTCAGGGATGCTGACGACGCTCACCGGGCGCGGCTGTGCCTCGAGCATATGAATCAAATCCTCTAAGTCTGTTCCCTTTCCCCCTATAGGCGTCGGTGTAGAGGCACCGTCAACATGCAAAATTGCGTCTGGAACCTCCACTTCTGGTTGAGCGGATTCTTCTACATGAGCCGCATCCGGCTCTGGGGCGAGTTGGTGGCTTTCTGGCTCCACATGTTCTTCGGGCGCGGGGACCGCCTCCGTTTCCTCGGGTTCGACATGCGACTCCTCTCGTGCCTCTGCTAGAATTTCTACTTCTGCAGGCTCTTGCTTATCCTCATGATGCGCCTCAGCTAGTTCCTTGGCGGCCGCCTCCTCGTGAAACTCCTCTGGCTCAACCAGCTGAGCCGCCTCTGCCTCCAAGTCTTCCTCCTTAGCGTTCAGGATGACCTCAGCAGTCTCTTCTGCTGCCACGTGTACGGTAGGTTCATCCGTAAGACCTATCAAGGCGTGCTGGGGTTCGTCGATGAGTGTGCTTTCTGAGCTCTCGAGTTCGTGCGTCGCTTGATCATGTTCAATCGGGCTGGCGAGGATCTCGGGCTCCTCTACATGATCGTGATGTTCTTCGATCGCTCCCTGCTGTTCACCTCCCAAATCGGAAGACTGAGCTACCACCGGCGCACCTGGTGCAGCCTTGATCTTTGCGCCCGCCGCAGCACCTCGCATCTTCATAGTCGCACCCTTTGGTAACGCAGTCCCCCGGGTGGCTACGGTCCCTCTTGTTGCATGCGCACCTCTCACAGTCGCGCCCCTCGTCGTTCCTCGTGCGGGACTGCCGCCCCGTGTCGGCGACGGGACCACTGACTTGCTCAGGCTAGCCGCTGTGGGCTTGCTCAGACGCTCCATCACTCCCGGTCCGGAACTTAGTTTCCTGACTGGAACGGGCACAGGCTCTGCTGCGTTGCGCGCTTTTGCAAGCGACGCCGCTGTGGGCGCAAAGAGACCTGAGGCGGGCGTCTTGGGGCGCCCAGGTGTCGTAGGCGTGATTGTTGCAGCAGAGGAGGGCGTCTTGGGTCGGAGCGACGGCGTCTTGGAGCGCGCCGGCGTGATTGAAGCACGAGATAAAGGGCGCGGACGGGATGGGGTAGAGGTTGAAGTCGACTTAGTAGAAGCGGGGGCCTTCGCAGGTGTCGAGGAGGACGTGGAACCAGAGGGTGCGCCGTGGAATGAAGTGGGTGGGGACTTGGCTGCAGGGCGAGCCGGGGTGCGCGTTGTGGTTATGCTCGACCGGGATGACGCGGTCTTCGACGGTGTACCAGGTGTTCGTGTAGGCATAGTAATAGAGCCCACGCTCGACTGTCGTGTTGGTATAGGTTTTGCAATCGGCACTGCCACTTCTGGTGGGGGAGGTGGGGGTACTTCCTGGGACTCCACCGCGGGCATGAGTGCATCCGGCTGCACCTGCCCTTTGCCGTCGTCTGTGTTTCGAGGCGACTCGGTGATATGTCTACTCGTCTCGATCACTTCAGATTTTGGCTTTGGTGGCCATTCGCGCTTTTCCTTGATCTCCTCCTTCACGGAATCGCCTGTATGATGAGATGCAACGCTCGATGTCCGAGGGGGCGTTGGAGTCACCGACTGCCGTTTGTTCTGCTGCTCGAACCGTCCAATGAGGTTGGCAACGCTCTGTCGAGGACGCTCATCGGGCAGCGGCCTGGTCCCAGTAATTAGTGTTTGATGATATGCAAGACCGGCATACAGTGGGAGCGTACATTCTGGTGACGATCTCGAGTTAAATTTGTAAAAAGGCAGCGTTTGCGCGATACCTCTGTAGAAGTGGACACGCAGCTCTCGCCTGCGAGAGCGATGGTGGTATACTTCACAATAGCAGCGACAGCAAAGATGGGGACGAGGTTCAACGTTCAACAGCTAGCAGACGCTGGGTGGAATGCCGATATAATGACTCGCGATAGTAGTGACGCATACAAATGGGAAAGCGCTGCCTAATCGGAGATTGAATGAGTAGCTGATCTTTTCTAATCAACTCTGAAGGATTACAGTTTCCGGGAGCAGACTCGGATCATAATGCAGCTGCTTGCATGCAGTGCTCTTCGCCCTGAATACTTTCCCTGTTGATCCAGCTTTAGTTATCGACTCGTTGCGCATCAGGCTATGTGCGACGCAGTGCGTGAAGGATGGCACAGCCGGCAAGATCATATTGATACTCTCCAGCAGTTCCACGATCGTATAGTACATTATGCTCTGAACTCAGTCCGGATAAATGACATTCATGATTCGGCAACGCTTCGTGGAGTTGACTCTCGCAAAAAAAAACATGTCGATGATTTGGACGCACAACTTCCGACCTTGAATCCAGCTATCGAAGCTTGAGAGATCTTGAGACATGGACTCCCTCGGACAAGCGCTGATGTATATGTATCATCATCATCTTATAGTTGCTATGTTAGCTGGTGCTGAGCTTCGAATTCTGGGTCCGCCTGCTGATACTGTACCTGCTTCGCTTGCCAGTTGGGTACTGTAGCTTCTTGATGGAGTGGAGCCTTAATTATTTAACCAAGTATGGCCATCCACCTTGCTCTCGACCACGACGACGGCCACTCAGCCACACTAAATTCGACGAACCTCCTTGTGGCTTGCTCTCCTTAACACGTACTGTCTGACACGCTCTTTTTGGACGACCTTCCTTTCATATATCGCGATGACTTTCAAGCTTGGCCGTGTCGTTAGAACGGTAACTGTTTTGGGTGTCCTGTATGCCAGTGCAAGCGATGCTGCAGCACCGACGCTCAAGGTGCCATTAACGTCCAAGCTGGCGTGCGTTCTGTTATTTTTTACTGTCTTGTCGCGGCCTAATGAGTACCATAGCCCAAATTTTGCGGGTTTCTACAGTGCATTTACTTCCATCGAGTTTTCTTACACATGCTAAAACAGGTTCAGATTCGTCGGCACCCTTGACTAATGCTGCATTGAAAGTGGTTACATCCGGTACGTGTTCAACCTTAGGGCTTTCAGGTGGCTCGCGTTGGCAACTGTGTGTTGATCTTGCACGCACAGTACAAACTGGAGATGATCAAACATTTTCCGATATTCTCATTGATACTGGTAGCGCGATTCTCTGGGTTGGCGGTCAAGAAAAGTATATCCCCGGAAATTATACCCACGAGTGAGTCAGCTGTGACAGCTTGTGGCACTGTATAAATTGAGATGTCGTCAATCTGCCGTTAGGATCAACCAAACATTCAGCGTTGGGTTTGTCTCATAAACCTTGTCGTGAGGGTTCCTGTGGGTGTTCACGATACTACAGGTACGGCACAGGTGGCGTGAGTGGTACTGCATATGTCGACCGAGTCACTATCGGTACTGCAACTGTTGATTCCCAAATCATTGGAGACGCGAACTACACGGACGGCTTCACGCTTGTCGAACCCCTCAATGGCATTAGTAAGTTGATTTGAAACATGGCACTTCACACACAATCCTCGAAACTGACACCTTCCATGCAGTCGGTCTTGGCCCCGTAGGCTCGAACTACGGCGAAGTTTCAGGGTTTAATACCACACCAACTTTTGTTCAAAATTTGTACACGGAAGGGAAAATCTCGCACATGATTTTTGGCATCTATATCACATCACTCAGCGAGAGTGGTATACCCGAAGGGACTGGCGAGATCACCTTCGGTGGGGTTGACCAGAGTCGCCTAAGCGGTGGGTTGATCTATGTGGTGTACTGGTTTGAGACTGACTGACCCGCGTTCAAGGAGATATTACGTGGCTTCCACAGAATGAACCCTTAGACTTTCACTGGGAATTCAATGTACGCTATCAGGGTTATGCAGTAATGGGAACTTCCAGCTAACATTCCTCAATATAATACAAAGGCTTCTACTCTATCTTGGGGTGATAAACTTCTTGTTACTGGTCCCATATATTCTCGCACCGATACCGGAGTGTTGCCCATCGCCATACCTTCGTACGTTGAAGTATACGAATCATCATTAGACTCTAACACTCCATCTTCACAGAGAGGCGTTCTTTGACATCTTGGACGATGTACCTGGTACCAATGTCGATTCGTCCTCTGCTCTTGAGGGTTGTTTGATCTTCCCCTCGAACGCCACCGCAAATTCTTTGCCCCCGCTTGAGATCGGCATCGGCAATCTAAACTTCTCCATTCCTGCTTCCAGGTGAGTCTACGTAGCTATCCGCGAGCGATCAACTCCTGACCAAGGCATCTGCATGCCTAGCTACATAGTGCCACCGACCCTCTACTCTGCACTGAATATCACTGCTGACAACATGACACATACGTTTATCGCTCCTGGCGGTTTCGGTGCATTTGATCTGGGGCAAAAGTTTTTGGAGAACGCGTACTCTGCGTATGACAGTGCGTGTCTCGTTTCTTCGTTAGTACAATGCTGGCTGCTTAACTCGATCCGATCAATAGTGGAAAACCATAGTGAGTAATCTTTTCCCCTGTTCATTCTGATTGACTGCTTATGTGTTGCCTCACAGTGATTGGCTTCGCTCTCCTCGCATAAGTTCATGGACATTTAGCAATCCAATATCGGACACGTTTACAATGGACTTAGATTATGCATTCTTATGTTGCTTCACAGTTGAATAATGAAAATTCATCTTGAAGCCGATACTCCGACTGCGCTCGTCTTTTAGCCCCACGGGGAACAATTGCGGTTTGCAAGGGAATCAAGGATATGGTTTCTCTGGTTTTGGGTTCGCGTCGGCGACTGTTTACGACTTGCGAGATCAGCTCCTGACGATGGAGATGTCATTTCTTACACCTAAGTGTTCTGTGCTTGCCTGGGACTATTGCTATGAAAATTGTATGTAATACATTACAAGGTCGGTCTTAGATCCCGCAGCTGACCTATTCTATTCTACCACTACGGCGAGGGCGGCGTGCCCGATGTCATGTTTTGATCATGTTTCGCGTAAAAGATCATCTGCAGCAAGTTGAGTCGCTAAAGAGAACGTCACCCGCCAGAAGTGACTTACAAGACATCTCCAATCCCCTTCTTGATCGCTTTATAGGAACAGTTAAATGCCTCCGCTGGACACCGTAGGGAGCGGTAGATTGTCTGCATGATACGACGGTCCCTCGACATCCTCCTCGTTTTCGTCCTGCATGGGAGACGCGAAAGACATCACAAGCGTATTTGATTCGATCTGCAGAAATTCCTCTGTATGAATGCAGGAGGGTGGACGAGAGCCGATCCAAACATCAGTGGAAACGGCAGCCCGCAGATGGAGCAAGAAGCGGTGGAGAAGAATCGCGCATACACTGATAATATTGAGAATAAGCAAAAATGCAAGCCTGAAAACAAGTGTCAAGACGAACGGGGTAAGAAATACTGTGATATCTGGGAATCCCTATGCACGTCATGGTGAGCACATCTTTGGGAAGGCAATACAGGGTTATGGGAACGTACGTAATCAACCCAATGTAGAATGGTATCGGCTAATAGCAAGAAGAACCGCACTCTGCAGACCCAAAATTGTTAAAGCCAGCCATTACAGAATCGTATCGTATCACATACATGAAATAGAATATTCCTGGTGGGCACGTAGCTTAGTTCTGATGCGGCATGGTAGCAAGCACACAACGTACCATCTCTCAGAAGGAGTTTCGCGAGTGTGAATTTAACGCCGCTTATATTTCGAATTGATAGCTCGCCAGAGTCGAATGCGTAGTACCAGACAAGTATGACAACTATTGCATCAGATATTATAGCACATGCTCGTGATGCAGTAGCATCTGCAATATGGCAATAATCAGTGACACATCAAGGAGAGCCCTATAATGCCTTTACTTCTGCGAAAGTGACATGTTTAGTTGTAGGAGCATGTATGGAATGCGTCTGACATACCTATTCAAAATCTTATCAGAGGCATTAACGGGAAGTTCACATATTGGGAATGAAGGATAATATTCGACGCTAAAAGTGGTCAAGCAATACTGAAACTGACCGCGACTGGGCGATTAATTATTTGCCATGGATTAACATGATTTGACCTACAAGGCTCGTACCAACTGGAACGAGACCCAACGCCAACGTCAACGATGTTAACAACTTATTGGAGTTGGTGACAGCCATCACCCGAAGAGCTGCAAACACTGAAAATTTATCTGAGTGAAAGGAGTGCGAGATTTGGCATTTCCCCCGTACCTGCGCTGAGAGTAATGCCGAGGATCCCAAATATCATAATGGACACATTGACACCGGCGCAACTAGTGTCCACATCAATCAGCAGCAATCCTTTTGGATGAACGGTTATGCCTGCCTCTACCGGACAGAGTCAGCCTTCCGAACAAAAGTGAAAATCAGAATGCATATACTGATACTGTATCCCACCGCAGGATCGAAAGTATGTACGTAATAGCCAATCCCATCATATCCGCAAAATTGAGTAGAAATAAAATGGCGGACAAGCTGCTGTTGCCTCGAAAGAACCAGATCTTGTTGATTGTGAGCATTAGTTCATAAACGATCAAAGCTGATCAGATCACAATCGCGTGAGTCCACTGATCATGCGTCGGGAATCTCCTAGGCTCACCAAACATCGCCACGGTGTAGCAATTGCTGATAATGCTAGCCACGTCTCGTTCAGATTGGCAATGGCTTTGTTGATAACCATGTCCACAAAGTTACTTACGCGGTATTTGCAGCCGCCTGGACATCGATCGTCGCCATCATAATAGACGCACTTGATAATGTGGCAGCTTAGAGAAAGCTAGAGTAAGGTGCCCCGCCCCTCACCGTAGGTAGTGATAGATGACAGAGTGAGGGTCCTGAGGAATTCCACAAATTACGACTTCCATTCTTGCTACATCTTAAATGTTCCGAGTCGAGGGTCATGCCGAAACCTCGTGGTCCCAGGCCACTTGCAGAATCATGGACACACACCATCACCAGACCACCGAGTGACAATGACCTCGTTGGTATCGAGGAACGCAAGTGTAGTAAAATCGATTTAATTCCCGTTTGACCGTCGTATCAATTTTAAGGCTAACGTAGGTGGTCCACTTCGTGCAAATTACCCCTTCGGCTAGAATCCCGGAAATTTTCTAAGATTCAATCGTTACGTTATTGTAAACTCCAAAAAAGACCATGAAAGCCATACCGCTTTTGGCATGCTCGGCATCATGCGCCCATCTCCGAAGCCGTTGCGGCAACGCGCCCCTCAAGAAAACCCAGAATTGCTGGTGCACAAACGGGAACGCTGGAATTCCAATAAATAATCAACAATTCTCCTTTAATTTATTGATCATACTACGGCGAAGATCCCACATGAATGATTTTGAGCACAAGTCGATCAGATACTATTGGGGCAGTATGTTGAACGTGTGCGGTACAAATTCGGAATCTTCCGAACATGTGGTACAGCGGTGACAGTTAGAGACCACCGAGCAGCCTAAAACCACACCTCCAATTTTATCCGATCGGATTGAGTGCAGATTTCCAGCTTGGTATTGTGATATGCCTGTATTGAAACCAGGAAGCATGTGCATCACCGACGAGATCTGGAGCGCAATGATGAACCAACGATGTAATATCATGCAAGATGCGCACATACCAGGACCACTCATTACAATCAATGTGAACAGCAATATCATCTCCGTATGGCCAACGATCGATGGCAAACACACGTACGTCGGGAAGACACCAGTGCAGGATCCAGCGCAGCTAGCACTAGGGCACCCTCCGGCTAGCTAGGGAGCAATGAAAGTACTAAGTTGTCCTAGCAAATGACTCGCATTGCGAGTTTGATGGTTCAGCCAAAATGTGCACATAGCCTCAAAACAAATTAAGATCAACTTGATGTACAGCAATGATGACTGTGATGCAATCAGTGGAAACCTCGTGTACGATCTACTCGAACCATGATTCTACCCAAATCACGGAAAAGAGCGTGATGAGGAAGATTTCGCGAACAGAGCCCTAAGTCGAAGACTCACCGTACCTCCAACCTAACCTCTAGAAAGTGACAGCCACGATATCAGCGGGTCCGAGGACCTGTCATAATGACAGCCACGCCTCCAGAGCAGCTAGAAGCCTGCTCGCTGCACCTCGCTCTCGCCAGAAATGTGATGCATTCTCCACCTTCACGATCTGGAGCTTCGCCTCCCTGTCCAACTCGCATTGCAGCTTCTTCACCCACTGCTCGTAGTTCTCCACTGATGTAAAGTCGTCTTGGTCGCCATACAGTACTAGGACGTTGGAACGGGGATCGCGGAGCAGAGTATTCAGTTCCTCGGTGTAAGTCTTCCCATGAAAGGCGGTAAGCCAATGTCGAGGTCCGAGAGGATATGAAATAAGAACGTGTGAGACTTGCAATTCGGGGAGAACTGGGTGCAGGGAAGCAATTAATGAGCCGTATGAATAGCCCTGTTTAGGATAGGCCCTATGAGCAGAGATCAGTTCAATGAGGATAATCGTACCACAATAACGACCGACGTAACGGAGGGGATCCGTTGAACAGTCCATTGGACTAATTCCCGTAAATCCAAACCTTCTCGAGATCCTGTTAGCGATGGCCATCCCGAAGATTTACCCACTCCTCGAGAGTTATATCGTATAACGTAGTAGTTTTGTGAACATAGCGGGTCTACTAGGAGTTGCAGAACACTGAGGCGATATGAAAGGAAACACTCAGATACAACTGGGTCACGTAAAATAACAAAGTAGTTGCACGTACGGATCATTCATAGTACCACCTAGCCAAGGCCAAGGATGCAAGCAAACAGCCAGCTTCGGAGCTCCCAGGTCATCAATTCTTTCAGATGAGGGGTAGGTGGAAGCTGAGGGAAATGATATGTCGCATTCCAAACATGTCCCGCATGCAAGCTCGATGGTTTGATGTCCACTCCTGAATCCTTCATGAAATTTCATGTTTCATTCGATTTGGTCAGTCAATCGGTGACAGCATTAAATAGAACTTTGAAGTGGTAACGGTTACGAAAACTGTAGGCGTGATGGGCGAGGACACCCTAGTCACACAGTCACGGGGATGCCACAGGCGCGTCAAGGTTCGCGTCGAGACTCCATTGAGGACGCGTCAAGCTGTAGTCGAGGTCGAACAGCGAACGGCCGTGAACGAGGGCCTCTTGTGTCTTCGAGACGATTCTGCATTATGACAATTTCCATTAATATCTTCCATGCTGACTCTTTGAGCTCGACTCGGACTTTCTCACCCCAGCTGGCTCAGTTCGGTGGCGATGAGATGGTGTTAATCGAGATGCAAGGGTCATTAGAGGTGGAAGGAAACAAGGATGGCCAGACTGTTGGGAAGCTGCGTATCGACGAGATAACGGTGAGTAATACAACCAGTCTCACTGGCAGCATCTACCAATTCTATCTAAAGCTGCTCAGGCGTAAGAACTAACCGCTAATTATAGAAAAAACCTACTCTTCTTATCGGCCATCATCTACTGGAAGGAAAACTCGTAAATCTCCCTAAGCCTCTTGCTGTGCTCCACCGTCAAGCGCATGGGCGAAGTAGAACCGAAGACGTAGAAATGGAGGATGATATTAGAACGCTGAAGGTCGAGGCGGAGTGGGACATTGTAGCAGTCGTGAAGCGCAAAATGATCTTCTCAAAACGACCTATGCCAATGGTAGGCAAACATAGCACTGCGTCGGAGACAAAGCCTATAGCGCAAAAGACATAATATACACCATGCTCCATACTCTCTACTAGTGTCGCTTCAAGATTGATGTCGCAGCAGAGAACTGGACTATACGACTCCATAACGCATAGCCATGACAGACGACAAACTTATCTCATGCACATTCACTGGACTAGCCTGGATAAGCCTCAAGGCTCACACCCCCATAAAAGTATTAACACCAAAGGACATTTGATTCACCAAATGACCAACAAGGTTAAATATTTAAAAGTAGAATGAAGTGACAAAATCACTTTGTATACATGACAGCTAAAAAGATGTTGGTTTCCTCCAGTAGAGACACCCATCCTTCCAATCCACCAACACTTGTCATGAGCGCCAGCCGAAGCGATGCCTCCAAAGAGTTGGAAAATTAGTCAACGCGGATAAAGTGCCAAATCACCGGAGAAAAACTCAATGCCTCCAAGAAGGCATTGGTCGATTTGTTCTAGAGGACTGGAACGCGGACAAGGAGACGGAAGAGCGACCACCGAGCCCGAACTTTTGTGTCCGCATGGATTTGTTCGAAGAAAACCGTCAACGCGAGGTCCTTGTTTATAAGGACTGTACATTAATTAGGTAAGCTTTTCCCAGCCCCAGACCTACCGGCATCCTCCATACGTCACGCGTCTATCGTCACGCGCGCCGGGCGCTCCTCCGCACGGAGTCGACGGTCCCATTTCTGTGTGAAGTCAGGACAGGCTTCATGGTTTTCAGCCCAGTGCCCATCTACTGCTAACATCTGCTGCTTTATCAGTGCAACCATCTACGCGTATACGCGCTCAAATTTGGGAAATGTCTCGCTCATCAAAGTCACTTACTCTCTCTCGGATTGAAGATCTGACCCTTGGTTCATTCGCTTTCGTACCCACCTCAGAAACAGTCGATCACCTCGTCAGATATCTGAGCACATGGAGTGGCAGCGAGTGAGTGTATCTCTTTCAATGCATATGATTTTGCACCTAACATGTTCACTACAGCAAGTTCTTCATGGTCGGTTCATTGTCCTGACGGTGTTACCGTGTCGTGCAGGACACTCAGCATATTTCGTCCATAGATAATCCAACATACACTGAAGCTTTTGGTACCATTTCTGCACTTCCGCGCGCGCATGCAACATCGTGCGGGCCTGCGAAAGGAGCCCATTAGCTCTGCTGCAGAGAGCTTAGTCAAGTTCAGTAACATTATAAGCGATGCTAGGATGTTCTTCCGCATATGGGGTACGCTCACCTTCCTCTAAACCGAGTCCCACTCATGATATGCGTAGGCCTTTTACCCATTATCCAGTGGCTCACTTCGATTGAGCGCAAGCAGCCACCGACTCGTCGCATCCTCACAATCGAACGATTACAGGGATGGTCAATGCTCGCCTATTACCCCCTTGAGCACTTATACTATTTGGTTGCGCATTCCATTGTTCCTTCCAAGCTTTCTGCAGTGTCTCTATTATCACTCTTACCATCCTTGGGATCGAAGCCGGGCGACAAGAGCATCACTTTGGACGCAAAGTCCTTAGGGATGTGGTCATGCCGCTTCTGGAGTCTTTATGTTGCGTTGCAGTTTGCGCATCTCCTCGAGGACAGGAAGCTACTAAAAACACGAGAACGTACGGTGTCCAAGACCAAGGTACGCAGCGTACTGAACCTGAAGACACTATTTCCATTCCTCATTCCTGTGCTAGTCTGTGGTTGCAGAGTCAGAGAAGGAGGAACTGAAGAAAAGATGGGATTCTTTCTGGAGCGAGGTGATTGTCAACTTGGGCAACCTACCGACGGCCATTCATTGGTGCGTGTACCGTTTCCATATTCTTTCTGTCCCTCGGCGCGCGTATGAACATCAATCGAGGGTTGTTTGCTTGCGAGACCTGCATACTGCACGTTACATTGTGGACTGTATGCATTTTCCGGCAGAAGCACATGGTTCTCGTCTACGTTTCTGGCTGAACGCCTTGCTGGCGGTAATTTTATTTCATGTTGCATCGGGCTGTGCAATCAGTTTCAAATTTATATCTTGCCGAATATCTTCTTGACTGGAGCCCCGCCCTGAACTTGGTCATTCTCGTGGGAGCTCCGCGTTCCAGCTGGAAGACCTGATGCTGTCTGCAGGACACTTGTCCCGTTTTATCGACGGGGCTGTGCTGCACATGACACTTCATCTTCCACCAGTTCCTTAGCCCCTCCTTTTCGTCCCTCCGACATATCTTAGGGTTCCGTGGAGCGCCCCATTTCCACCTTGGGGAGCCTGTTATCTCATGGCGGTGCATACCATTGAACCGGGAGTATTCCAAGCGACGGCTCTCGTACCATGACAGTTCGAGATCCCTTTGCGCTCCACTCGTCTAGCGTGGTGGAGGATATAATTGACTTCGCATACCCTGCGAAACGATGTGCGATATGGTCGTGTGTCGCATTACTATTCAGGGTGCTGTGGATCGTATAGCATCCCTCTAATGTCATGTCTCGATATTATGGATCCAGTGTCCACCAAACTCTAATCACGGGTAAATCGGCTCGGGAATGGGGCAATTCTCGCAATGGATGAAACATCATGCATGCACGCGCCGTGTTCGGCTGGATTTTACTAGGGTACATTCATCGGCGACGGCAACTCCGTAGCTGTGCATGATATGCCGTTTCTCCATACTTTCCGGTCTTTTTAGGCGTCATGTACATTGATGTGACTCATTACTGACAGATGTGAACCTCGTTTATCGACAGGTCACTGGAACGAGGTCTCTTTGCTAGCGATGTACGTCCGATTTGCCAATCGATTGCCCTCAAAGACTGTCTTGTTTCATTGTCTCAAGCCTTTCGAACATCTCAGACGTGCATATTGTTGCTGCATAGCTTCGGGGCCCATCTCTTATGTGCTCAGGATTGGACAGTGTCTCTTCATTTCATTATGAGGGCTGTCATTCTCAATCAGTACTCATTATTGTACTTCCTAGATTTGGCTTGACGCCTTTGGTCTCGTAGCCGGCTTGGCATCTTGGAGGAGCGGCTGGAAGGCAACAGCGCTACCTATCGTACCACCTGCATCAGAGGCCCCAGACCTGTCATCAACAGAGCCTTCAGCACATTCTTCTATGACTTTGGACCCAGATATTGTGGCGCCGCCCCTCAACGATTCCGTCACAGGATACTAAGGTGCTGAATATACCCTTTTACATCTCTAGTGGACGTTGAAAACTGTAAGTCGGCGGTTGTTTCAGATTCTTTAGAGACTATGACGCTCATGCTATAGTACTACCCGTAGAGCTCGTTGCAGCACTCTCTGACATATACGATTTCCTATTGCTAAGTCGAAAGTTGTGGATTCTATTGTACAGTATAATGGCTACGTATTCTTCTGAGATTCACTTGTCGCTCGTGAAGTACATTTGTCCACAGAAATATGATTCCTGGACAGTCGCTATGATTTGTCGTATTGGTGTATGGTGACTGTTTTTACACCGTTATAGTCGTTTTAATATGAATTCGATTTGCGTATGGAGGAGCGATGACCCTGTTGACTCAGACAGCGAACATTGTTCACACTGCCTAATTCAATTGGATTCCTCGCCTTCGAGACTGATTGTACTGGTGGTGTTAGGGAACCGATTCTGTAGTGATTCTATAGTCCGAGACCTGCTGAGTACAGTCCGCCTGGTAGTCGATGATTGCATATACTCAGGATTGTCATATTTTTCTGGAACTTAATGGAACGGTGGGCATGTGGCGGATGCTCAGGCTGGTCCAGATGCTCAAGCATGGATTGTTTAGTACGACCTTGCACGACAGCCAATATAATTCCAAAATACATATCTTGCTTGAACGTACCCCCCTCCGCCCGCACGTCGTCGTGTGCCTCACAAAGAGAGGCACATTTGTCTGACGACTATTGGCTATTGCACAAGCGTTAACGAACCACGACGCCTTCCTAATCTGGGATTTCGGATCCGCAGTTTAGCCGCTGGCATGGCCGCAGTGCGCACAGCCTCCACGCCCAAGCATTCTCGACTCCAATATATGCTCATCCCTACTCCAAATTTCAGACAGGTGTCCGGCGGCTCGAGCCTGCACCCGATGGGACGACCCCTATCCATATTTGACCGGTGCAAGTTGCAAGTTGCAAGTTGCAGTGCAGGCGCGTTTTGTCTGGCATACTCTGGAACCTTCTAGGATAGTTGCCTTGGCTCAAATTTCTGCTATTGGCGGTGTTTTCTTGGAAAGTTGCATTCTGGGGCCTTCTGTATTCATGGAGAGCGCTGGTGACACATGCTACGTGCACAGTCTTGTGGATTCGGTGTGGTAGAGTCACGTCTTCGTTTGACTCGTCAGTCGTTTGCTTGAGCCCCACATAGCCCCACATACTTAGCTATATGTTCTCCATGCTGTGCTTAAATACTCTATGACTGACTCAGCATTTCGCAGAAACCGTGCAGGAATCTCGGATCTTGCTGTCTTCAGAACCCACAGAGCGCGCGTGCCTCTTAACCCCCCTGTCGGAATACCGAGGTGATTTATACCTGTGCAAAAGCAATGATGCGCAGTAGGTGATTAGTGAGTGCCCACCTTCCTTTATGTCGAACTCCACAGCTTCGGGTTACCCGTCCCGTCAACTCAATATCGAAAAACCCCATGCTGACGTGGCTTCTCCATTGAAAATTTTCAGTGGACTGTGAGACCTGTGCTCGACCCGATTTCGCGCGCAAGATGTGCCGCCTTTCATATTGGACACGGCGTTTCTACTCCCACAAAGATTGCCGCAGCAGCATAAGTACCAGTTTTTCCCGCCAGTGAGTAAGTAGCTTACAATCATGGTTTTAATTTTATTTAACCTCTCAGAACTTTGTCGACAGGCATTTAGATGATATACACTCGTCGTCGTGGGTGTCCTCGCTCCATGTTGAACATTATTTAGCGCCCAGATAACCCGAGTTCAACACTCAGGAGCTATATGGATCAAGTTCCGGAAGATTAATCATAGGCTTGGCTATGCCCTTCATGCGCTGAATGCACTGAATCACGGTATATTCCATACCACAGATGCTGTTCAAACGACGATGGCACGCGTATTCGTTCCCATATATCACGCAAATTGGTAAAATGCGATTTTGATATCCTCTCGTATATCAAATCCGATTGACCATTCCGCAAACACAAACACTGCTGCAGTCGCCAGGACACCGGTTGCCCTGCGAGCGACGTTTCCGCAGTTGGCAAATGGGTTTCTCCTATTTCCCTCGATGGCCCTACGAGCTTAATGCATTGCAAATTGAAGACCTATGTGACAGCTATGCCGTGCAGGCCTCTCCCAGATTTGTCAGCCATTACATCCTACAATCTGGTCACTCGACTCCGGCGCCGGTCTTTACAAGACCGGATGAAGTGCGTTGCCGATGCGGCTGCTTGCATAGGGTGATTCGTTATTACAGTGTATCTGCACATCACTAGCAACCAGCTAGGCCTCATCATCCCGAACCCAGCAGTTCGCAAGAGTGCCGCCTACGCCGTTCCGCTGAGCCGTGATACCATAATCCACATCCCTAATATACCGCCGCAGATAGTATGATCGAGTCGCATCGCGCGGGTGATGCACTAGTATTAGTCTGCCAACCACAACTTCATAGTTAATCAAGCAACACTTCGCTGTATACGATCAGCCTTCCTGGCCGCACTACAGACATAATCCTAATACCCACCCTCTTCCCCGACTCCCTGGTATCCCCGGCTGTGCGGCCGGGCAGCCGATGAGAAATTCTGCTGTATGTCATCAGCTTCTCAACAGCAGACTAGCCAGTTGTCTCTGGCTGTAGGCGATCGTACAGCCCCGACAAGTAGCTGGGTGCCGTAATCCCCTTCTCAGTCTTATGTGAGATGCATTGCGGCACTCCGCCTGCAGGCTGAAAACGTGGGGGCCTGCATGTCGGACTGCGGCCCCAATGTGGACCTGCAGTTGTCGTCGTATTCGCGATGGTGAGTTTTGCCTCCTGTGACTCCTCCCCAGCTGGAATTACTGACAAGCGTCGAATCAGATTGCGACTAGCTTGAAGCACGCTGAATGGGCGAGCGAGTGTCAAGACGCCACTCCCGTCATGATCCTGCGTAATCGGGACCCGTTAGCGATCTGAACCTGCATGAGAGATTGACGCACAGGGTGCTAGCAAGGGCCCCGACGGCTACAGTGCGCGTGCACTCACTGGATGATCGTTTCGGTGTGGAGCGCGCTTGCGGGGGGCCAAGGCGGAAGTGTTCTGCAACTATGTGTCGCCGCGTCAGAGGCGAGGATCGACGCCCTCCCCGAGAAGCCACCACCCGCACACCCCCCACCGCAAAGACCAATTGTCCAGCACTGGAAGTGGGGAAACGACCTGCACCGAGATTCCATGCGCGAAGAATGGCCTGTTATGACCCACCGCACCCCGAGTCGCGCTCGCAGATATTCCGCAGCAACCAAGCCGGCAACTGGGGCGCATCTTCACCCCCCTTCTGTTCGAACATGCACTCCGCGCTTCCCGAAATTGCTTGACGCTGCCTGCAGATATATAGTTGCCGGGAGCGCGTCCGGCATGTCATGCTCCGACGTACCGTAATCCTGTGCATGAAGGTTTACTGGCCCCGCGGCGGCGCGGCCCGCCATGGTGCAACCGGCGCGAGCGCGCTGATTGGCCTGGGCCGACTGCATCCCGCGGCCGGTGTGAGACATGGAGGCCAAGTTAAACGGCACTCCTCCGAGGCGCCTGTGATACGCCTCTGAGATATCACAGATCTGAGGGTGTAGACTGAAGAGGCTTTTGGGCTGCTGGCGGGGTGCGGATTTGCCATCTGCGTCTCCGACGAATGACGGAGCAGGAATATTATGCGGATGTTCGCGTTCGATTGCGCCCGCCTGGACTGGATGGGGATTCTCGCCGCCCTCCTGCCGGGCGGCGCAGCGCTTCCCACAGTGGGCCCGAACAGGCTCGAGCGTTCCCTGCAGGATTCAACCTGGGGTGTCCATGGGAGGGAACGTCGTGGCACTACACAAGATGATGAGTCCGCCGTGAGTGTCATCATCAAGTACTCACTGGGAGAGACCCGGTCGCCGCGAGCGAAGACCTGATGCCGGACCGCCCCCGACAGAGCGCTCGCTGGCAGATGCAATATGAACGCGCCGCGCACGTTCGCTGCGAGCTTGCCGCAGCGCGGTTCCGGCCGCTTCGACTAGTTCTGCTGGGACAAGAGCATCAGCTTGAGCCCAGGGAACTGAACCTTGGAGCAGCTTGGCTGCTGCCAGAAGCTGCCATTGGCAGATGATCAGCCGGGATCCGGCTCAGATGCATAGGCTGGAGCGGATGCATATGGGCCGAGGCTGGGTGCGATCATCGCGAGCCATGATATAGCCCATGGCGCCATGCACCTCATCGAGCACCTGTGCCGGTGCGCCTGTGCGCAGCAGCCAGTTGGCCCAAAGTGGCCGTGTGCGGCGGTCTTGCTACGGCTTCGGATAGGCTCTTTGTGGGCAGCGTGCGGATGCAGCGTAGCAGCTGATTTGAAGACGCGCGGGGATGTGTGAGGTGGTGCACTTCGCTGCAGGGTACCACTGGCCACTCCGAGTCGGATCGACGCTGAACCACCGCGCGCCGCTCTGGTGGCATGCTCGAGATGGGTGCGGTTGTCGACACGGCAGTTGTGATATGGATCCCGGAGCCTTGACAAAGTACACGCACGTATATGTAGTGTAGATGTCGGACGGTACATGTACTGCACCAGCGCGCGCAAAGTTCCGAGCGTCCAGCCGGTCGGTCGCTCCTGGCTCCGAGTTACTTGCCCCGTACCTGAGATAAGTGCGCCATGGCGACGGTGTTGAACGTAGCCCTGACAGATTCTAAAGCAGCGCGTCGGGGTCAGCGATATAATACCAGACTGCACGGCCCAGCCTACTACGGCCACCGTCGTGCCAGCGCTCGCGTGCACGAGGCCACTAGACGCACAATGTGCACTCGTGTGTGTCTTCGCGCCACAGACACCAGACACCATCGAGCCCACATCTTCCGCCGAGTACGTCCACTGGATGTCTGACAGGCATAAATAGCCATGTTGTGGGTGTCCGCAATGGACCGTCGGGTAGCCACGCTATTACGTCAGTAGAGGGTCCCGCTCTCGATTAGATCGCCCCTGTGTTCTGGCCATGTCTGCTCTGGTGAAGCGCGGGCGAGCGGGAGCGGGTCCGCGCCCCGCAGCCGAGAGGCTATCGGTCCCGAGGCTCGAGCGGGGCGGGATTGTCGAGGCTCTGCAATTCCGGCGGGCGGGCTGTAAGCACATAGGAAAGGCCAGGGCGCGCGGGAGTGATCAGGACGAATCTTGCCGCGAGAAGAAGATGGCATCACGCAGGAAATTTGAATGTGGGGTGCAAGATGTCTTCTTCCGCGGGAGACGTAAGAGTAAGAACGGTGGTGCTGGCAGGGATGGGATCGCGACGCGGGCCTCCGCGGACGTCGTCCTCGCGTCTTGCGCGTGCCAGCGCCACTGCACTTCGTCAAATTCGACCGCCCGGGTGCGCTCACGTCGAGGCAGGCTCCATGGCTGCCGTTGTTATGGCCCTGGCAGCTGACGCAATGACGGCCGTGTGTGGGTCAGTCCAATGTCATATCGACAGGCTGCGATATCTGCCTGGCAGGCTTTCGTGGGAGGGGATGATGTCACCCCGTTGCGCACCCCCACCGCAAGGTTTAGATTGGCAAGGGAACTCGAATGCACTGAGGTCCAGCTTCCAGGCCCGATGTCCGGATGCAGTCCGGTCACAATGCCGGCATGGAGAGGAAGCAGCACACGGGACCCATGCGACGCTCTTGGCTGGGCTAATATGGGCGCCTGCAATGAACTTTACAGACGACTTGGAATTTCGAGACGAAGTAGGCCCTGTGGATTTCGCAGACTAGCTCGGGCGACAGTGGTTAGGAATTGAATTCTTTCTACTTCTAGTGAGCTCGAGCGCCATGATCGGACTGATCTGAGAGCGCGGTTGATAAGATCGCTATCTGAAGTCTCGGCTACTTGGCGCGGCGGGCGCCTCTGGGATGGCGCCCACGATAGCGTGCCAGCACTATGAAGCGTGCTCGCCGCGTGCGCGGTACCAACGGTACGCCCTTCAAGAGCTGCAGGTGGTGGGAGGTGTGAGTGCGGGTGCGGCATGGTGATCAGGCTTGTCAGATAGCCTATCGCATGATGCGGTAGGCGACAGGGCATGGGCGTATACCAGCAGAGTGCGGAGACGGCAAGGACGAACAATGAGATGGACAAAAAGGCTTGGAGAACAAGGGAATGCATGTGGCAGGACGGAGGCCGCGAGTGGCAGCACAACCAGGGACGCAGCATGGCGTGACGGAGGATCACGACGGCCTCCCGCGAGTGACTCTCGTGAACGGAGGTGGACAAAGCTCGGGCAGATCATCCTGGGTGTCCTTACCACATCCGCACTATATTTTACTTACTGAAGCACGCCGCATGTTGGCGGAATACGTACAGAGAGCTTTGTGACTGCGAGCGGGGCGAGGTCTGAGTGTGAACGCAGGCAGCGCGGCCATATGGGGAGGCGGTGCTGGAACGAGGATCACGAGCTGCAGACACGAAGAGGAGGCTTGGCTCTCTCCGTACGGAAACGGGTGACTGGGCTCGCTCGCTGGGCGGGCCGCGCCTAAGGGTTCTCGCAGCGACAGGCACACGCTGTACTGGGACTCTGCCTGGCGATCTGCGGACGGTCAATGCACACTGATGGTGCACAGTGAGGTGCTGTGGAATGAGTGGTCGCGGATATGGGACACACGACAAGGGCCTAGGGTCGGGCCGAGGGAGGACCTCGGGCAGCAAGGTTGAGTACAATCACGTTCTCGAAGGACCAGTGTACTAGGGACGCAGGTGCGGAATGATGCGGCCTGCACATGCGAGGACAGAGACGGCGGATATGCCAGATACCCTACGAGGCAGAGTGCATGCACAGCACGGGGACAAGAGCATCGGGTTTGACTACGCAAGGAATGCTGGAAAAAGTCCAAGACAGCGAAAATTGGAGAGCACAGCCAGGGATTAGAGGGGCTCGGGTGGAGAGCTTGTTATGTGTGTACGCAGTGCAGGCTGACTGAGACTGAGGGAAGTTAAGCCCCGGGCGGGCCCAGACGCCGATGCGAGGCAGGGATTGCACAGGGCAGGGAGACGGGGCAGGTCTGGGCGACAGGCGGACGGCACTCGAGTCGGTGGAAGTCACTTATGAGGAGGAGCAGGCGGCGTCGGGATCCGGGGAAGCCGAGGCCGGCCGGCAGGGCAACTGCCGAAAGAGGAAATCAACGGGGCGATGGGGCGATGCTTCCGCTCAGGCACGCACGATGACGACGTAGGGCGGGGCGGCGGAGACGTGGGGCCGCGTCGGGCGGGGCGCGGACGGGGCGGGGCTGGGACGCGCAGGAATCCGGGGGCTGAGGCCGAGGGAGGAGAGGAGAGGGGTTCGTTCGCTGGTGAGTGAGTATGCTTGGCAGATCAAAGGCCCGATTTGGGCGAGGCGGTGCTTTCCTCGAGAAACATCCAAGCCTCGCATGTTCAAATAGCTGCCTCCCTTCTCCGCCTCCCTTTAAGCCCTCGCCGCCCTCTTCAATGCGCCTTTCTCTCCCGCCATCCCCTCCCCCAGTGTCATGTCCCTCCCCCAGATCCCTTCCATTGTAACTACAGATCTCAGCTCCTCTCTCGACCTCCCCGACGACCATCTCCACCCCTCCTCCTCTCAGTCCCCCCATTCTCCTTCAGTCCTCCATCCGTTTGCTCCTCATACTCGACTCTCCGCGAACCCGGACTTGCTTTCTCCTACTCCCATTCCCCGCCCTCCGGCACGCTCTTCGCTCGACGTTCCGTACTCACCCGCCCTATCACCCTCCATAGGTCTTCGTTCGCCCTCACCCTCACCCTCTTGTGCAGGCTCCATCGGTGGCTCCTCCAGCCATAGCCACGTTCCGCCCTCTCCTACTCTCTCTGCGCACTCGCAGCATTCCGTGCACTTTGCCAGCACGCTTGCCCTCCGAGACAATAAGCCAGAACAAAGAGACGGCATCACGTCCCTCCATTTATTGAAGCCCTATCCGCACACGCATCGCCGCAAAGGTAGCGTAAGTAGCTCCATTTCTGTCGAGGGCTCCACCGACGGTACAGAGCCCGATTCACACATCACCCAGTATGGCATGGCCACTCTCGGCGCGCCCTCACAGACCCCCCCAGACTGGCGTCTGCTCTCGCCCCCATCTGCGTCGCCCACCCACCCACACTTCGATACCGCCTCCTTCTCCGGCGTATCCGCGTCTGAATTTTCCGGCACGACCGTCCGGTCCCGTTCGGGCTCCGTGCACAGCCGTGCCAAGCTTATTGACGACCCCACTCTCCCGCGCACCAGCAGAGACGGCGACGCAGGCGATGCTCGGCGTGGCTCTCCCGACGGCACAAACGGCACCAGCACCGCCGTCGGCACGCCGCCATCAGACGCGGACCAGCCGCGCCCCGCGCTCGACCTCTCTGCAGACGACGCGATTGACGCGGGCCCATTCGCGTTCAAGCCATACCGCCTCGCGGGGCTCGTCGACCCCAAGTCCCTCGATACGCTCGAGGCTATGGGTGGTGTACGTGCGCTCCTCCGCGGGCTCGGTACGGACGCGAAACACGGGCTCTCCGCGCATGCGCTCGCGCACGACCAGCTGTATGCGCACGAGCGCGACCACGATCGTGGAAAGGGAGACGAGGGTGGGGAGTCGCGCCCCGACACACCCGTGTCAAAGGCGCGGGACTCGCGCCCGGGAGCGGGCGGTCTGCAAGGGGCGGGCGAGGGTGCGAGCCAGCGCCACGACCGACCACAGCCTGATCCTGGCGGAGGGATGTCTGTGGCGGCTGTGCCGGGAATCGTCGTCACCGGCCCCGGGGACGGCGAAAGTGGCGCGTCAAAGGCTGACTTGCACGACTTGGAACCGCCGGATGAAGACGAGATGCCGAGGGCGATGGCGTTTGAGGAAGACGGTACAAGCGAAGCGTATGCGGCGTCGCTAGAGGAGCGGCAGCGTGTATACGGCGTAAATGTCCTCCCCACGCGTAAGACAAAGAGCCTGCTGCAATTAATGTGGCTCGCACTCAAGGACAAAGTTTTGGTGCGCATATATGCGCCTCTGAGCGCGTTTTTGACCGTGCTGAATTTTGCTGCGTGCTGTGCAGATACTTTTGAGCATTGCCGCGGTTGTGTCGCTCGCACTTGGATTTTTCCAGGACTTTGGTACCCCACGGCCGCCTGGCGAGCCGCCGGTAGATTGGGTCGAAGGCGTCGCGATTATAGTCGCGATTCTCATCGTCGTAAGTATACAGCCTTCCATCGTTCTTCTCACCGTACTGACCATCTTTGCGTTCTCTACACCTGCCCCTTTCGGCCGCCCATTCATCCGGCAATCCCCGCCTCCCATCACCGCATCAACAGGTCCTCGTCGGGTCGATCAACGATTGGCAGAAGGAACGGCAGTTCCAGACTCTCAACGAGAAGAAGGAAGAGCGCGGGGTGAAGGTTATCCGCGCCGGCGTCGAGCGCGTCGTTGATGTACACGAAGTTGTCGTCGGCGACGTCGCGATGCTCGAACCCGGCGAGATTATTCCATGCGACGGCGTCTTCCTTGGTGGACACAACGTTCGGTGCGACGAGTCGGGCGCGACTGGCGAGAGTGATGCAATCCGTAAAATCGATTACGACGAGGCGTTGCAGTTGTCAGAGGCGCACGGTAAGGACACACACGGTGGTGCCCATGGCCATTCACACGCAGATTGCTTTGTCATAAGCGGCAGCAAGGTTTTGGAGGGTTATGGCAGCTACGTCGTTATTGCGGTTGGCCCACGCAGCTTTAATGGGCGCATCATGATGGGTACGTCTCTTATCGATCATGTTCACCCTTCCCCATGCGATTTTTCGGGCATTCTCACCGCCCGAACCACATCACCACGTGGTTGATTGACTTTGTACTGACTACGAACGTTGTCTCCACAGCGCTTCGCGGCGACACGGAGAATACGCCGCTGCAGCTGAAGCTGAATGTCCTCGCGGAGCTCATTGCGAAAGTGGGGAGTATCGCGGGCCTGCTGCTGTTCACGGCGCTTATGATCCGGTTTTTCGTGCAACTGGGCACGAACGAGCCTGTGCGCACGGCGAACCAGAAGGGCATCGCGTTTGTCCAGATCCTGATCATCTCGGTCACGTTGATTGTCGTGGCAGTTCCCGAAGGTGCGTGCATGCGGGCATCACATACATATGGATGCGCGAGATGCTTAACGGCCGTGTCGCATATACAGGACTTCCGCTTGCAGTGACGCTCGCGCTAGCGTTCGCCACGAAGCGAATGACGAAGGAGAAGCTCCTCGTGCGCGTGCTGGGGTCTTGTGAGACGATGGCGAATGCGAGCGTTGTGTGCACGGATAAGACCGGCACATTGACGCAGAATAGCATGACGGTCGTCGCTGGAGCCATCGGCATCCACTGCAAGTTCGTGCGCCTCTTCGAAGACAACAAGGCGCGCTCGAACGCGCATGGAGAAGATATAGACTCGAGCAAGGACACGAACGCTGGCACTTCAGCTATGAGTGATCCACACCGGCCGAACCCGAACAGGCGACACACGGAAGACTTTGCGATAGATCAGCGCGAGCTGAACGACGTGCTGACGCCCCAGCTGTGCTCGCTGTTCAACGCGGCGATTGCGATCAACTCAACCGCGTTCGAGGACACGGACCCAGAGACGGGCGCGCTGGCATTTGTGGGGAGCAAGACGGAGACGGCGCTGCTCAAGTTCGCGAAGGAGAACGCGTGGGCAGATTACAAGCGCACGCGCGAGGCGGCGGACATCGTGCAGATGGTGCCGTTCTCGAGCGCGCGCAAGGCGATGGGTGTCGTCGTGAAGATGCCCGAGGGGCACTGGCGCCTGCACTTGAAGGGCGCGAGCGAGCTGCTGACGAAGCGCTGTACACGGCATGTTGCGGTGAGCAGGGACGGGAAGGAGCCGGAGCTGCAGGGCGAGGAGGTGGAGACGAGGGCGATCGACGACCTTGCGAGCGACAATATCTCGCGGACGACGATATTCTACGCGAACCAGATGCTCCGAGCTATTGCGCTGTGTTACAGGGATTTTGACCACTGGCCGCCACCCGGGATGCGGTTCACAGCGGATGACGAGGTGTGTCTGGCTTTCCGTCTCAATGAATGGGGTTTGATTTACTCACACGGCGATCAGGTCGAGTACGAAGATATGGCGCAGGATCTAACGCTGCTTGCCATCGTCGGTATCGAGGATCCGCTACGCGAGGGTGTGCGGGAGGCTGTCGCAGACTGCCACAGAGCCGGGGTCACCGTGAAGATGTGCACAGGCGACAACGTGCTGACCGCGCGTTCAATCGCCACGCAGTGTGGTATCTACACTGCGGGCGGTATCATCATGGAGGGGCCGCAGTTCAGGAAGCTCAACCGCAAGGAGCTTTTGGACGCTGTTCCGCGGCTCCAGGTGCTTGCTCGATCCTCACCTGAAGACAAGAAACTGCTTGTGGAGACGCTACGGGACCTCGGCGAGATCGTTGGTGTCACTGGAGACGGAACGAACGACGGGCCTGCGCTCAAGACAGCCGATGTCGGCTTCTCCATGGGCGTCGCGGGCACAGAGGTTGCGAAGGAGGCGTCGGACATTATTCTGATGGACGACAACTTTGCGTCGATCGTGAAGGCTATCATGTGGGGCCGCTGCGTGAACGATGCGGTGCGCAAGTTTCTGCAGTTCCAGATATCGACGAACGTCACTGCGGTGGTCGTCACCTTTGTCACTGCGGTTGCTTCCGCGTCAGAGTCGTCCGTCCTCTCTGCCGTGCAGCTGCTTTGGATCAACATTATTATGGACACGTTCGCTGCGCTCGCGCTCGCGACCGACCCGGCGTCGCCCGCGCTCCTGGAGCGCAAGCCCGACAAGAAGACGGCACCCCTTTTCTCCGTGGACATGTACAAGCAGATCATCGGACAGTCGACGTATCAGATCTTCATTGTGCTCATCTTCCACTTCTTGGGGACCCAGATCCTGAGCTTCGACTCGGCGGTGAACGGCGACGTGGTGCAGACGCTGGTCTTCAACATTTTCGTCTTTGCACAGATTGCCAATTCGTTCAATTGTCGCCGGCTTGATAACAAGCTGAACATTTTTGAGGGTATGACCAGGAACTATTATTTCATGGGAATTACCTTTATCGGTGCGTTTCTAGTGTTGCAGCGGCCACCGCTAGACGCTCACCGTCCCCTTAGAAATTGCCGTGCAAGTTCTCATTGTCTTCGTTGGCGGTGCCGCGTTTCAGGTTACCCATATCGGTGGGCCCGAATGGGGTATCGGACTTGCGCTCGGCTTGGTTTCTATTCCGCTTGGCGCACTCATTCGCTGCATTCCTAACGCACCTTGTGAACGGGCGCTGATCGCGTTGCGCATCCTGCCCAACCCTGCAGTCCTTCCCACGATACGGCCGGACGACGAGTGGAACGCGGCGATTGAGCTTGTCAGGGACAACCTCAGCACGTTTGCACAGGTCCGTGGCGGCCGTGTGCGCGCGTCGTCGTACGTAGGCAAGAGTCGCAGGGCGCGACAACCACCGGAGCACCGCATGACTTTGTGCGTTGCTGTCCCTATTCACCACATGGCACCGGCTGACGTGTTTGTGCAGACCTTCTCTTATGACTATGGTTCCGACAATAGTAGCTTCGTCGATCGGTGCTGGGTTGACACCGCCGATTCCTCATGGCGGCCTTTCTCATCCAACTCATTTTGACCCCTCTAAGTCATCGGCCGCGCTGTGGGCAGGCCATATACAAGTCCATCCAGATACAAAACCCGATGATCCAGCCCAGCGATGGGGCGCGCGACACTCGGTCTAATCCATATTACTTTCATATAACTTCGTTTTACTCACTCGGACGCGGTCCTCTCGCGATGCTCTTTACGACTCTGTGCGCAACGCTGCCCACACTGCATATACCTTTTTGCCGCATATCATACATGATCGACACTTCTCATGATCTCACGACCCGAACGATGACACACGTGCATATTTTTCTCTACTCACATCCTCCTAATGTGCCGTCGCATTTGGTGCATCCATGAAAGCAATCTGCCGTCACAGTCTGTCTACACTTCGTGCTTAGGTTTATATACTTACTCCGTCGCCGTGCAAGCATGCTATATTTCTTACAACCATGCTTCACACCTATTCAAGCCAACCTATCTAGATTTACTTGACTCGAATATGATAATTGGATCGTGATCTCAAACGTATGTGACTGATGGCGGACCAGCAAGCTAACTCGCAAAGGCCAAAAGAGATAAATTTGGCTGATGACCTGGAGTAATTATGATACGTGGGACAGACAGGGAAATCTCACTCCGACAACCGACGACGTCATGACTATTGGGAGAATATTCAGAAGACACCGCTGCTTTTGATGATCCCGGCCCAACTTCTACCGATATATTTTGCATATGCCTCGGTATTAACGAGGGTGTTCTCGATATTGGATGACGAACTCAAGAGGCTCTCCAAGAACTCATAAGCAGTCGCCGGAGAAGCCAGCTGGTGAAGTTCTGCAATTGGGTCGAGGGTCGTTAGCAGTGCAGGAAAATCGGGCAAGGCGCTGCAGAAATACCTGCGGCTCCGTAGACGGCGGCGACTGATGCTCTCCGTGCATACCAAGACAGCTGCAGCATTCATCAGTCGCACGGTAAGCGATGTTTCGAGCGACCAAATGTCCAACGTACGCCAAGGGACGTGTCGCCGACGATGTGGCATGCTTCGTCTGCGATGCTGGCGACGTGTTTCAGTGCCGGCGAGGGGTCGAGAGGTGGGACGCCGGACGGCGGGGATATGAGCAGGCCAAACGCCTTCGCGGTCCTCCGGTCAAATCCAGTGCGGCAGCCTGCTCAGGGACACTCGCACCTCGGGAAGCCACCGCAGTATGGGCTCGTTCCGCCTCAAGCGGGAGGCCAGCACATCCTTCATGATTGGCGATGGCGCCGACTTCATGTCTGTTCGCGCGTCGTCCAGCCATGCGTCGAGCAGTGTTCTCCGCGCATTGTCTCCGTCTCCAAATAGGGCGGAGATCGCGGTCTCGGACAGCGGCTCTGCGTGGGGCGTGCCGGGAAGGTAGAGCACTGAGCGAGAAAGTGCCTCCCGCGTGAATCCGTGCGTCTTCACCAGCGGTAGCGCTAGCTTGAGTAGCTGTGCTCTATTCTCAGTAATTACGCTCAGCGAGTGATTCAGTAAGAGAGAAAGAGAATACCAACCTCGACATGGTGTGATGGTCAAGACGACTGTATAAAGGCGAACCTCTGTAGACTGCGAGTCTTCGACTCTTTGGGTCCTCAGTGTCACAGAATTAGCGCGACCCACGTGATATGGGTCACACCGTGTTATCGGGTGCAGACGACTTGAGATAACCCGCCCATTTGGAATCATGCGTTGAACGGGTCCAGTTCGGTTGCGCTACAATGTCTCCATATGCACTTCCGTCCATTCTGCAGCTATTTCAACACTTAGGTCCTAGGCTCAGGAAGGATTCAATTAGGCCTCGGTTCTAGACTTGTCGCGGCACATCTGGCAGGACCGGGCCCTGACGGTAGATGGGGCTGTGAGAGAGTGTGATACTCCCATTGCTCGCCGCGCGCACGACTGATTCAACAAGAATCTGAATACTGTAAGTACGACGGTTGTGTTTGGATACCATGGATACGTATCCAGTTGTTACCATAGACATTCCATGCCGAAGCTGTACGAATGTCGATGCTATATCCCATCGCATTTGATAACCAAGGAACGGAAGAATTCGCATGTGCTCACTAGGCACATGCGGACCCTTCCTCCGTTCGCTCGTTTGCGTGCCATCAAAGCTCTCGGCAGATCACAGGCTATTTGGAATTCGTCTCAGACATTGAAATATCGTCGCTTCTTCGTTGGTGTCTGTCAAATAGCCTTCAATGTCTTTCACGAAGCAAGATGTCGACAGTCTTCAATCCAAGTATGTCTTGGCTATGTTTCATTATCAGGGGGTGATAGATTTCCTTCTATAGGATCACCAGCAACACTTTAGGTGTGGCGATCTTCAGTATGTTATTCAAAATCTGCCGCTTTTGTGCTTTATCTAAGTTTTAATAGCCCTAATTGTGTACGAAGAGCTTGTCGCGTTCGATGAGATCGTGGCCTTGTTTAGGGAGAAGGGACGAGTGTCCATCACCGTGTTTACACTGAACCAGCTGAACATGTCTGTGTATGCTCTCGCGAATATCCTGTGCGTGCCATCTTGGGGTACTGTCGCTGTAAGTGTCGATTATCTTGATCAGTTGCATGGCTAATTATCTTATAATAATCAGAGGTCCAAATCTTTCTTTCCCGAGGATCGTCACTTGTCACTGAGTCCATCATAGTTGTGAAGGATTCTTTGTCTTTTACTTCGGCACCTCGATCATAAGTGCCGGTATAATTTCCAGTGAGTTCGTCGGGGTGTTCTGGCTCGGCATTAACCCATTTTTTAATTTAAAAAATCTGCAGCCGCAAAGTTTCTGCTCGTACTGGCCATCAGTGGTAAACAACGATGCCTTGCCATAGTGACCTTGGTGCTTGGCTTGGCACCTTTGGGAATTCACCTGGTGCGTTGTTTGGTTCCATATGCACATTCACCAACACGCTCAAGACTGTGACATCTAGTCCAATGGTATCATGATGTCGTTCCGTACCTCAGACATTGCATCGTTTTCCGTATGTGTGGTAGATGCAATGACACCGCACAGTACAGCTGCAATGTGCGTATGCGAAAGATCTGTACTAACGTCTGTTCTACATCTCTGACTGCTCAGCTCCTAGGCGTAAGCCGTCAGTTGTGTTCTGATCGTCTATCCGTTTTAATGTTTTCATAGTTGGTACCCTGGCACAATCATGTACAGTGGCTGGTGATCTAGTGGTAGTTGCCGTCACCTGGATCTCCTTGTATCGATCAGATCAATTTCTCCCAGACAGCTATTTCAGGGTGCCAGGTACACTGGCAAGGCTACTGCTGAGAGACGGTAAGTAGTATAAATTTCGTGAGTTTTGACCGTTCGGGATGATTTTTTGAATACAGGGACAATATACTTCTTGTATGCATTAAAGCCTTCTCATTCGAAGTTTCGATTGACGATAACTTCTAGGGCTTTATCAGTCCTCAACCTTGTAGACATTATCACGTATTGGTCAGATCATGTATGATGCCTTGTAATCTTGCATTCATGGGCGTTCCTCACATGGATTCTCAGTCTTTCCAATACGTTCGTATCTTCAACCTCCCGTAATTCCCCTGTCTCTTTCTTTGGTTGCTCACTGACACGGTATATCATCTGATAGACTCTCATCCATCCTCATATCACGCCTTGTCCTGCATCTGCGAGAGATGTATGCCAAGAATGCGTATTTTAATTCACAGAGTATATCTGTAGTCCGGACGCAGGACGTTGAGCAGATTGGTGAAGAGGTTCCGAAAGCTAGTATCACATATGCTAATGCATATACGGAAAGTGCTTCTAACCAGCACTAGGGAGCATGGATAACGTGTTCGTGAGCAATCGCCGCATTGGTTTTGGCCAAAATTATCAGCACCCTATTTACGGCGTCACAGCTTACAGTATCTCTATGGACTCTGTGCTTGTCAAACAGGGGCTCTATTTGATGTTCAAAATCAACCTCCATCCCAAGTAGCCTATATGATCTATCTGCGCATTTTTGCTTTTCTCTCTTTGCTTCCCTATGCTCATTGTCATCAAAATTGACATGCTATTGAATTTGTTATACTCATTGTCGACCAGATTGAGCTTGATAAACTTCCATAACCAGGAACATAACCATGCGGCTTCGACGTTAGTAAACGGATTGGTGAAGAGTCTTATGTGCCGTGGAGAGATATTTTTGCCCATTAGTACGTGTCTCCATTGCGATCGGGTATTAGCTGATGTCATAGTTCCAAAATGAGGCATTTTTGGCAGTATTCACGGCGTAGTAGAGCTCCCCGGCCGACACTGAGGTGTTGGAAGATTTAGGGTACCCGAATCGTCGTTATCGTTTTTCGTCATGTACGACTAACCCTTATTCATTTGTTCCGTGTCACACTCACTGATGCGTCAATCACTTCCTCTCCATCCTCTGGTGTCTTGGATCAAATATCATGTGTGCTTATACCGTTCCGATGTACGTGAACAGTCATCTAGACATTTTTATGCATCGCTTTCAGCGATGTCAAGCGCTGAGATGACATACTAAACCTTGAGTTGACCAATCAACTAGGAGGTGCTATTGCTAGGCATTGGAGAGGCTGGTCATCATGAGCGCTCGCGTGGTCTCGCCACAGACACCTCATGTCCGGCATACTACGGCAGTTGGTCCAGCTGCACTGTGTCCAAAATACATCTTGCTGTTATCGTTGAATGGAACAGGGTAAAGGATGATCCGAATGGTGACTCCTACAATTCTAGGATATGAATATGCAGCGGGACGATATTTCTCACTTCCTCATCCCCATACAGCTATTCGTTCTCACTACTGAGAAGTTGAAAATGTCCTACACCAACCAAGACACTAGTAATGTCCATGACCAGTACGCCCATTTTTCCCTCATCATGATGCAGATATTCATCTCTTGTCTGATATACAGGATCCTTACTGCTTGCTCCTCAGTAGCGGTCTTTGGTGAATCCCTGGAATCATTTGTGGTGTGATTGCGACCTAAATTTTGATTACGTCTCGCCCATAGTACTATTGCATATGAGCAACTTCTGACGTTCGATGAGATGATCTCTTTATTCCAAGGGAGCAGGCGGATTCCCATCGTCATTTTTTCACTCAGTCAATTCAACATGTTGGTATTTGCCATTGCCAATCTACTGTAGATTCTATCCTGGAGCACTATTGCGGCGAGAGGTCTAATTTGGCTTCGTGAATATTGTGTCATCTTGGTTGTGTTCTGCAGAGGTGTGGTTTATCTGTGACTGGAACGTCCAACTTTTCTAACTGTTCCCCAGCTGTGAAGGAACGTACATGTTCTTCCTCGTGATTACGATCATCGACATCGTGACTAACGCTGATAAGCTGTTGATCCATTTCGATATGCTATACTTGAGCCTTATGGAGGCCCTTCTAGTTGTGTGTTTTCTGATCGTGTTAGCCGTTAGTGGTCGGAGTCGGTTGTGCACTTTCGTGAATCTCGGATTCGGGGTCTTACCCATAGCAAACACATTAGTACGTTGTGACAATGCTGCATGAATTGAGCTTATCGTCCTCATGAGTTCAGTTTAATGCATGCACAACTTCGTGTGCGACTGTGCGTGTGGGATCAATTTTCATATGTGAGCGAAATACCATAGGTCTACGATCGACAATCGCATTGTATGTTGAATCGCCTAAATTGGATAGTCCATCAACTCACGTATGCTGCTCTTTTAGACGTGAGTTGATTCAGTTGATTGTGTAAAATGTTTCGAGATTGACGATGATAGTGACCACTTTGACTCGTGCATGTGCAATCGCATGTGATTTGTCTGTTGTTGGAGTTATATGGCACTCACTTCATCGCTCTGAACATTTCTTTCCGGGGACGCCTTTGAGGACACCTGGTGCGCTAGCAATCTTTTTACTTCGAGACGGTGAGCTGCTAGTTCCGCATTGAGAACGCGCACTTTGACACCTCGATCTCTCGAAGGTATCGCATATTTTGTGTAAGAATCATTTCATCGCATGCTCTGTATTCTCCTCAATCGTTATAGTATTTTGTCACTTCTCAATTTGATTCACATTATTATCTACTGGGCAGACGATGTACGCTTTTCTCATCCGCTTCACAGATTTTTTGTCCCGTGCTTATTTTTGTTCATAGTTTTTCCCATACGTGAATTTTTTCATAATTCCGTACGTTCCAGTGTTATTGTCAATTTCTGTTCCCTCCGAGCTAATTTCGAACAGCGTGTCCAATATTTTCGTCTCCCGCTTGCTGTTGCACCTCCAAAAGACATGCCCTGGGACTGTGTGCCTTGACTCACAGCTCGTGTCAGTAATGAGAACATGGGACATTATCATGCAGACCTCACCACAATTGGATTTCGCTGGCGCAGCCGAAGTATTCAGTGACAGTAGCGGGGATATTGAGCTTGCGCCCATGTATTAAATGGCGATGGAAGTATTGGAAAGGGAGGCTTGGGGCTTCCACCGTGAGTAAGTCAATATGCCTCCGCGCTCAGCTTCTTCCTTTCTCTATGCTTTTCTCAGAGCGGGCGGCCAGTATTGTCTCTTCATGGCTAGCCTCCATTCAAGGTTCTTTTTGAATCAATTTCTTTTGCCGCGCGCCCATTCGTCGAGCATTTAGTCGCAGTCTTGCAGCTCTCAATCGTCGTTGCAATGATACAAGAATGACGAGTCCACAGCCATCTTACCCAGAGGTGCAATTGTTTAGAAGCTCACTTTGTCGGACATCTTAGTATGGAAACGCCGTGCCGCACTCTTAACTTCTTCTGCAGATAAAGTATGAGGGTCGGATCTCTCTCATCCTTTTGGCAAGCTATGATAGATGTTTGTGTGTACTGGTGCACGAACCGTCGAGGACCATTGACACAGCTCCCTCCCGATTTAGCTGTTCTTGCCGTTCGAGTTTCACCTCTTCCATTTATCGTTCGGAATGCGGGGATAACTGCTAGGTCGAAGCTGATGACTGGTGTGCCGTGTCAACGATTGCTACGACAATGCAGATGGGAAAAACCACTTGGGCAAATTTTTGATCAAATATCAAGTGCCAGAGAACCTTTTCTGGTCCTTTTACCTTTCACTTCGCCGAAAAAGCGGAAAAGGAGGATATATGCCGAAGTGGTCGCATTCGGTGGCATACAACACCGAGATGCAGTGTGCCAAGACTATAGACGCTGGCGCGTTTACCTAGTCACGGTGGTCCTCCCTTCTGATCGTTGACAAGATAGAGCGGTCTAACACCCTTCCATGGGACACGGAAGCCTCTGTTAACAAGGACCGGTCCGAAAAACGTCAGTAAGTGGGCAAGATAGACGTATATGGGCAGTGCATAGGTGTCAGCGCGAGTGTGGTATAATATGTTCATGGGAGCTTTAGCTCCCTCACTGCGGGACTGCCCATCTCCCTGAACCATTGATTCCCTCGCAGCTAGATGGCAAACGCCTCAAGTTCTGTCGAAATCCAAGCCATTAGTGATTTCCAAAACCTGTATGTTCTCTCAGACTCCTTGGATTTCAAAATATAGAGCACTGATTCATGACATGCCATCGGGTATAGAATTATTGAGAATGATGTCTCGCTCGTCATCTTTGGCAAGTTTGAATTTCGGTGGCTCACGTAAAGGTTCTAATTATTTGGATTTCGATAGCTCTGATTGTCTATGAGCAATTGTTGACCTTCAACAAAGTAATTCGACTATTCCGGAGAGGCAGACTAGTCCCGACGATTTTATTTTCCCTCAACCATTTGAGCATGCTTGGACTTGCTCTATCAGCCCTATTCGACGTACTCCCATGGACTACGGCCGCTGTGAGTAACTGCCCTGCACAAAGGTATATTTGGCTCACGTTTACAGAGGTTAGGATTTTTAAGTCTCCTGGAAGATAATTGTGCGTTGACATTCTCTTAGCTGCAAAGGCGTGGGAATCTTCGAAATTGCTGCAATTATCATTAATATGGGGGTGAACGCAGGTAGGCGTGGAATTCTTCTACCTGTGACACTCCATGTAACATCCTGTAGTTGTTGCATCTTTGGTTGTTCGAGCCATCAGCGAAGGAAACCGGATACTATTCACTATCACACTGGCACTCGGCGTGACGCCAATTGTGGCCAACTTGGTATGTGTTCACCTTCGTTACAACAAGTGTATTCTTAAACAATTGCGTGAAGTATAGCAATGTTGCGCAGTCGTTCGCTGTCGATGATGACATATGTGTGGCATTTGGGCCGGTTTATGTAGCGTATGTTGTTGATTTGTTTGTGTCAATCGCTTCATTGACCTCATTTCGTCCAGATGTAAGCCAGCAGAAAGTTTGGCCCGTCTTGCTATTGACTGTCCTCCAGTGGATGTTGTTACTCGTATATGCGCTACTGGATGCGATCTAATGGCGGTTTTCACTGCGTGGAAGTACCTCCATCATCCTATCCGGCATTCTTACAAGAGCATCGTCCAACCGCGCATCAAACTCGCTAATCTCGTCCTGAGGGATGGCAAGTAACTTGAACTCTGTCGGATAGTTGCACTCGCTGACCTAATTGTGGTTAGGAACAATATATTTTGCGTGTGTGATTGTTGTATCTTGTTCGCGATCTAACTTATCATTTCCTGTAGGGTGTTGGCCCTTTTCAACGTCGTGAGCGGCATCTGCAACTTCTACTATTACAGCGTATGAGATCTTATTGCTGCTTCATATTCAAATCATTGTTTATGTACTTTCCAGAGTCTATGGGCTTCTATGAGCCTGCTTCCTATGCTACTGTTCCCGTCAGTGCTCATTTAAGTCGTACCGAGGTAACTTATTGAATGTTTTCTGACAGGATGTCATCCATTGTGATGTCACGTTTGTTACTGCACATCTGGGAGATTGTATCCAAGAGCGGATACTATGATACACAGGCTGAGCCGTGGTTATGGACATCTACGGAAAGGATTTCTAGATCTATTGCATTCGCTGCACCCTCCCGCAGGGTGACATTGGCATTTGACGAGAGTCATGGTGTACCACAGCTGGGATATATGAGCGTTTCAAAGGATTATGACTCTGACGGAGAAGATGTAGAGTCGGTGCTCTGGATTAAATAACTACGTCCCAGATTATTATCAAGAAATCGATTCGCATGACGGTTAGTCATAGTCCAATTTCCTACGACCATCCTTTTCGAGCCTGAACGTTCATTCTCAGATCCATTGATTTAATTGCACTTTGAGTAGCAATGGACTGTAGTACTATAACATAAGGTTATATAATTTTGACCATCTCAACCTCGAGAAGAACTGACTAAAGCCCGCGTACTCTGGAAATTTGTGACGCTCGCCGCTGAATTCAATGACTTCAGATCATTGTGCGAATTATCCATTTGCGTATTCAGGAAGTCCAAGATTTAGTACATTCGACTACTATAGTAATCATCGCGATTCCAAGTTCAATCCAATGATCTCCGTCCCAACAGAGTAGTTATCTCTCTTCGCTCCTTCAACCACTCGGGAAACCTTGCTTGTGTTCTATTTCCTTCCGCCTCTCGCACTTCAATTAAGTAATTGGCGAAGACGATCAAAGTTCCGTAACGGTACCTACACCTGACTTAGAATTAACACGAATGTAGCATTAGAAAGAGACATACAGGTAGTTCACGCCAATATCCATCAGCTTGCGATGCTTCGCGCTGCCCTTCTCGCACGTGCTCACCTTGAGCTTGTAGCTTCAGGGAATAGAGAAGATTATTAACATGAAGCTACGTGAGAATAACCAACCAGAACATACTCATATATCGCTTTGCGGAGGTTTTGTACATCCTGCATTAGGTCAATTGCTCTATCCGTTAACCGTTTCGCCATCTTCCCATGGGAGAGCACTCCGACGAGTTGTAGAATAGTTTTGTATTCCCCTGGGTAAACGTAATCGCTATTCAGAGGCTGTCATATCGGATCCAATGACCTAAGGCGTACCTTGTAAATACGCCTCTTCTTCAGAAGGCCCGTCAATCAGATCATATCTTTCAAGCCCACTCTCGTAATCGTCGTCTTCAGCAGGCTGAACGAACATAGAACTTTCCAGTGCATGGTCCCAATGTATTGTGGTGGCTATGAGACATGCAGTGACCATCCCGGTGGTGGTGCGACCACGACCCATTTGACAGTTGAAAATCAAGTCTCCAGCCTCACCCGAGCGTAGCGCTGTGCGAACACGGTCCAGTAATTGAGCCAATGCACCCGGAAGTGGAGCCTGTTCATCAGTCTATGGGCAATGTCAAATGCACCCTCGCATTCAAGACCAAATCTTAGGCAGCTCACCACCGCAACCCTGTCATAGTTAACCTGTAAACGTGTCAACCATGACCCACGTCTCAGAGTAAAACCTATCTAAACATACCTTGTACCCTTCACGCGACATTAGCTCATAAACATCGCGTGGCGTCATGATATCGTCTTCTCGAACGTCTTCCCAGATGGGTATGATAGAAAATACGCCCGGACGCTCTTCTACCTCGTCATGCAGCAATATTCGCCCTCCTCCAGCACGTACCTCTCGCACAACATCTCGTTTGAAATTCTCCTCCATAGCTTCCACCATGCTAGTTGTCACGCCAGTTGCTCTGGGAAAAAATTGCAATTTCAGTATGATAGCGGGCATACCGTGCGACATACACATACTCGACATTCTCAAGTGGCTTGTCAACCAAGCGTAGTACATGAGGCCTTCCAGCAACATAAATGACAGGTTCCTGCACACGTGTAAAGGTGAGATCAAGTTTCAGCCTCTTGCTCTTCCTAATAGTACTTGCCTCTCTCAAAGAGGTCCAATACACCATGTTGCTTCCGTTGGGACCCGCGTCGACACGCATGAGACCTTGCCTCAGTCTATTGGTCACAGTCTCTCTGAAATCATTCATACGCAGCGTATTCTAGAACACTCACCCCTGGACCGTTGGCATCCCACTTAGGATGGGGCGTGAGCGCATGATGTCATCAGAAGACAAAAAACGTACCTGCCGCACACCCATTTATCATCCTTCACTGTTTCTGTCAAAACCTGCGCATCTTCTACAGGGGAAGGCGGCCCAGACGGCACAAGTCGAAGTGTGAGCGGCACACGTCGGAAATTTGGAGCACCTTCAATGCGCCTGGAAAAAAGATTGCCGTGCAGATCAGGCTAAGCACACGCCGAAGACTCCGTGTCGACAAACCACGCACTCAGGTAAGCTCATCTTCTGTAGATTCGAGAAGAAATCGCTCTTGAGAATCGTCGACGCCGAGAGAATGTTCCCGGCCCGGTTTGCGACGATCTTCCGCACTTCATCCGGGAGTGCAACACCGTCAGAAGCATCGACGCGTTCTAATGGCTTTAACGTGTTCATGTCATCAGATACTAGCTCTTTCTCAAAGGTCTTGATGACTGTCAGCACTACTATTAGCACGTGCATCATAAAGAAGGGTGAGGACGAAGGCATAAGCACGAACCCGGCCGGTTCTGAACGAAGGTCTCAAAACTCTCAATGTTGTGCATGGTATCCGGTTCGGTCGATTGTAGGTATGCCTGAAAGATGATCAGCTCGAAATATCGTCTAAGGTACTGTAGTCCTAGTCGTGTCTGTAAGGTTTGGAATCGTGCTTGATGTATGACAACCAGACTAACCTCTGTGCGCAAAATGCCGGCGCTGACGTTCTTCAGTAGCTTGTTCTGCCCTCGAACGCGCCTCCTCGATAGATTCCCGAAGGTTTACTACCTCTGCACACTGGTCAATTGCATCGTCTACTATGCGCTTTACCGCAGGGCCCTTGCGGATCACACGCAGAAGATCTACGAAACCTCTGAGTGCTGATATCGCTGACTAAAAGCACTAGTGAAACATACTGTTGATAACCTGATATGAGTGTCTGTGCGCACGGCTGTTGATGAGCCCGTCCGTCGATGACATCGATAAATTTGGCGCAGTTATTGACCGCGATGGACGTCTTGGAGACTGGGGTGATCTCATGTTCGCTGCATTCTCCAGCCATTGTTGTATGAGAACCAAGATGACCTGTGACCAGCATTTTATCAGATTAAACCCAGAACAATGATAAGTTTACCCACCGCCGTCATAGTACTTCGTCCACGTCCTAGCTGGCAGTTGATTACAATCGGAGCACCTGTCGCACTACTCCTGACCACCACGTCGATCAGCTCGCTCAGATCAGTGAAGTCAGGTGGACGCTCTGCTGTAATTGGTATGCGAGCGTATCCAATCTCGACATCCCCTACTACATGTTTGCGCGCGGCCATGATAGCCTTAAGGACAGATACGTTTTCGGTCTCGACCTCCTCCCAGACAGGCACGACGGATCCATCGGGTGTCTCTGTATGTAGTAGTAATCTGTGGAATAGGGTCGCATTTTCTCTTGTTGCTCCAAGATCTTTAAGCGCACCTTCCGCCGAATGCATTCAACTCAGCGATGACATCGTCGCGAAGACGATCTTCTAGAACTTCTAGTCGCGAAGCTGATATTCCACCATAGTCTGAAATGCAAGCGCAGAGTAACTGACTTTCAGACGACTTAACCAATATACTTCATCGCGGGTTCGCACCTTTCATGTTCCTCAGTGTAAATCTCTCCCGTCTCAAGCAATACGGCGCGCCATTTATATACACAATTGGCTCCTCTCTCAATGCGATCCACAAAATACGACCCGCGGAGGGATGCGCATTCCGCACACGCGCCACGACCTCGTCAATGGCCTCCAGCGTCGGCTGACCCAGCGCATATATCTTCGTGCCAGGGATATTGCGGAAGTTGATCGCGCCACGGACGCCGTGTGAGACTTGGGTAGACTGGCTAAGCCATTGGTCTGACTTCAGAAGAGTACTAGGATAGAAGTCTCAGCTATACACAGCCGCGAGATTACCATGCGCATACCCTTCTCTCAGAATGATTCCACTACGGTTCTAGTGAAAAAATATCGATGAGGGACGATGAGCCAGAGCTTTAGTAACACGCACTCGAATGACATGATCTGAATACTCATCGCCGAGGATTTGTCCCCCAGCTATAGCCAAGTCATTCCGCTGGCCAGCTACAAGTAATCCACCCTCAGCTCCTGATTTGGACAACTTCGAGAGATCGCTGATGGGTGCGAATACATTGAGCCGCGAACCGTATGACTTGCGCAGGAACATGACTTGGCTGATTTCACAAAAATGAGCACTAGTATTCTTCAAAAGCCGGCCAAACATAGCATCTCACTTCCAAATCTCTGTGCGCGCCTGACACGGATCAGAGCTATAATATGGAACGATGCGAATCTCAAAAGTCACCTTCAGCCAGGTCGAGAAGCTCTGCGCAAAATCCGATTGTGAGTCGATATACTCCGCGAAGGCGATGATAAAGAAACTGTCCTCGCGAGTATAGTTAGTGCACATCTCAGATGCAATATCAAGTGATTGCACGCACTACTTTTCCAAAGACCGAACAGCCTTGTTCAAATATATGTCCCTGTCTGTCTCGTCCATCGTTGTTGTCAGCGAATACTTGACGCGATGAACGAAGATATCTTCGCGAAGGTTCGTGACATGGTCACCTGCCCATCGCAACATGTGAGCTACATTGAGCTTACCAGAAGCATGATAATGGTAACTTACATAAATTGATTACTCGATCCACAAGTTTCTTCGATTTGAGCCCATGGTCCAAGCAACCGAGCAAGCTCAAGATGACGCCATAGTTGCCCATGTGCGCCTTGCGCAAACTCTCCAGCAGTGCGGGGTGAGATAAAAGTAATTCGATGGCTGTCTGTGAACTCTTCGCTGCTATACCTGCGGAGTACCAACATTGTCAGAGAAAATAGGTATTCTATGAGCATGATCTCGACTTACATTGCTGTAGGATAGATGTTATTTGGAGCAAGGATCGGTTCATGTCTTGTTGCGCGCTGACTTGCTCAAGCGCCTGTTGGAGTTTCTCAGCCGACGGCTTCCAACATATAAAATTCGGTTATCTGCCATCCAAAGTATATTGGACTCAACCAACACACCTTGTTTCCCAGTGGCTAGCGGGGGGTGTCATCAGACTTATCTGGAAATGGTAACGACGTTGGAGCTCACCGTATTCACCCCCGATGCGGGCACAACAGCCTTACTGACATATGGGTCGTCTACGCCGCGTGTCATGAGCTGCTTCCTGCGGATGATGCAAGCTGCCACCATCGCGAATGTGGTACGGACGGCTCCCATTCCGCAGTTGAAAACAAGCGCTGTTGTCGACGGATCTGTTTGCTTGATCACATCCAGGTACGCATCTAGGTAGTTGTCCTGTCTTTCTGGTCAGAAAGGTACGCTAGATAGTACAGACTGAGACGCACTTCGACGGGCCGATCTGGCGAAATGGGTATCCTGTAGTTGCGTCAAGTAATAAATAAAGAAATAGCAGTGTATGCGCACCGGTGGTACTATGACAAAGAACTACATCAGCGAAAAACGATAATATTCTGGTAGCAATACTTGCCTCGACATTCCAACCATCTTTACGCATATTTTCCATAAGCTCGCGCGTAGTCCGTACGTTCGTCGTGTCTACTGCGGTCCATGTAGGGAGAATTGCACCCTCGCCCGCGTCAGACGCTACAACACAAGTCCAGTACCAGATATGATAACTATATGCGGTATCCACTCACCGACTTCATTGTGCGTTAAGACCAGACCACCGAATCTGCAAAAATTAAATATTTTAGAGGATATATACATCAAACACTTACTTGCTGGCTTCAGTAAGGATATCATTCTTCAGGCGCATTTCTATTGCTTCCAAGTTTTCGGCACGATCAGAAAGCCTCAAAGCACGTCGGGGCTCGGAAGCATCCCGAAGGACGAATGGACGACCGGATATGTATACTGAAATGTAACACCATTGTCAAAAATGGCTCAGTATCAACGATGATCTAACAGCAGTCTTTCCGATCCCCTAACTACATCCGATGATCACAGAAAATCGATGCGAGTGTCATTGAACAACGCAATGCTATGTTTGGCGGAAGATTATGTGACTAGAAATTAATCAGACCATCTTGGTCCTTCAATGTATTCTCATCAACCCTGGTGCACGATATATGCATTCTACAGCATCGCAGGCATCCACTATACGCGCGACGCTTGCAATAGAGAAGACCCGGAATGCACGAAAAACCGTTCGCACTGGCGAACCGTATATAGAATGAGATGGGAGACCGAGCTCGAATTGGCCAAACACCATCACTCTTAGACGAGTGAAGCTCTAGGTAGGATCGTGACACGGTCTGGAGCTTAAACGACATACCTATAGGCTCCTCCCGAGTGCAAAACCATACCACATGCGTAGGATTAGCAATGTTAGGCCTACAACGTAGCACAGATAAGATTCCACGAAGGCCCTGCGTACGTGGCTGGGCTACACCGAAGACATTCAAGTTGCTATTCCTGGGCGCTCTAAAGTTGGGTGCACCATGGACATTCAGGTCAAGGTCAAGAGCACGACCTACAGAAGGAATACGTTCAAATGCGGTGACATACATCAGATACCGGCACGTACCTGATGGGTAATGGTCTGTCTTGAGAATGAATCCTCTCGAGAGTACACTTCCGGTGCGCGTCTTCACGACAGATGGTCCCGACCGCTGGAGCTGCGGCATAATATCGAGCGGTGCGCCTCCGTAGAGTCCAGTAGAATCCGTGCGTTGCTGAGACTCGCTTGGTGGTCGATGCAGGGGAGAGTTTGCACTGAGGCGAGCGGGGACGGAGGAGAGTGGCCTATCAGGATCTGGGGGAGCCGAGGAGGAGCGTCCATTTTGCAGCTGGTGTTGGGTAGAAGAATGTATAGATTGGTGCGGCATTGCGGAAAGAGGAAGATAACATACAAAGCGCGACGCTCGTCCGACGGTCACCTCGATGCAGTTGAGCGCATAGGCTCGACGCGCCTATAAATAACACGCGGCGAGGGCGCGTCGTATCACGCGCTTGATCTGCTCCACCTACATATCGCAGTTTGCGGTCGCTGAGCCAGTCTGACGCTGTTGATTCTTACAGATCCCTACCCATCCGACCGGTCGATATCAACCCGGGCACTGCTCTCCAAGTTCAATTCCTGCTCACGGGAAAGCCTACAAATGTTCTTCGTATCATACTCGGAACACGCCCTCTTGTGAGCTGTAGATGATCACTCCATATAGGCTGGTTCAAACTCCCACTTGCCTCTGGATTCCATGTTCGTCGGGTCACCACTTACACCGGAGTTCCCACTCTCACTCTACATGCTCAAGTTTGTGACACCCCGGCGACCCCGTGTGCCAAATGTTGATTCGACTCCTAGCTGGTTTTTGTGCAATGAGGTATGACTCCGGCCCTTGAGACATCTATCTAGACGACGAAACTAGGCCGCTTTTATCCTAATACGCTCAGGTACACCATGTTCAATTTTCCAGCCACTTGTCAGTGTTGGTCCGTGCTGGGGTAGCGCTAGTGTAAGTTATTTCGATCTCAAATTATTGGTGCCCACAGTGCATAATCGAGGGGGATATAGAGACAGATATCGCGTGCTGATCTACATCGACAAGATACAATATTTATGGATACACAGATGTCGCTGTTCTACGATATATCCAACAGATGCGAACCGAATACAGATACCCTGGTAAACAGAAGTGTTCGATGTCATCATGCCCAGCTGTCGATAAGGGAGTCGCGCATCTCGCCAATGGCCGCCGCAGAGCTCTGGCCTTGGAGTTCTGTGTAACTATATCAGCATAATATACAACGTAGAAGGTTCAAAGAACATACTAAACGCCGCTTCAATCACGCTGATCTCTGTCGCCGTTGTGTCAAGACCCGTAAACGCACACCAGTCATTGACCACCAGTCCTGCGCCAATGACATCCGATCCACGATTGACTGTACCAGCCTGTCCACCATCATGAATTACAAACTCATTCATAGTATTCACAGCAACACACTCACCACCAAAGGTACTTGCAGCAAACTGCTCAATTCGTCCTGGTCCGCTACGCTCGTTTTTGGATGGACTAGCCCACCCTGGTTTGTGATCGCGCAATAGCTGCCTACAAGGACATTATCTGCGATCATCTGGCGGAAGACTTCGACTTTGAGCACGTCTGCGATGATCTCCTCCGTCTCGCGGTCGACATCTGGGTGCACGAGCGCAACGTAGTCGTTACACGCGATCACATTCCCGAGCGCAGACAGCCGTTCTTCCACGCGCTGGACCGCAATCGCATCCGGCAGCGAGTTCCGCAGGTGCTGTAGCTCCTGGTCTGTCGTCGTCGAAGGGACAAGCAGGCCGTGTCGATTCCCTAAGATCCTTATTAGAATGCGTGCGCCGGTTGCTTAATCGGGATGCAGACGCACCTGCAGTGAGCCGGCCCACTATCCGTGTGCCTCCAATACTTGTATGCACGATCGGGATGACATCGCCGAGCTCGCTCTCGAAAGCAGAGTAAAAGTTCGTACTGCCTTGGATAGCACAGAGACAATAGCTGTTCGTCAGCTTGGAGAATACTCCAATGTCGCTGTTGTTTTCAAATTGGATACCTATAGAATATGAAGATGAGATCGAGCACGTAAGTTATGACTCTTGAGATATGATCGTACGAGTAGCCATGAAGGCGGGGTATTGGACTAGTTCGTTAGATGCTAAAGGAGCTTTGGTTAAAGAAGACGATTTGTGCACCTGTTGTGCACAGAGCAAGCAACTGAGAGCGTGTGAGGCAAGATCGAAAGTTTCAGCGTATAAATGCGAAAAAGAATTGTCGATCAAGTCACAACGATACGGTCACGGTACCGAGATTGCGACCTCCGCATTGACGCTCGAGTTCGTATAGTAACAGTTCCGCCGCCTCCGATGAAGTTTGACTCACAGTGACTCTATATCAGTAGCGTGTCTTGCCATCTGGACGGTACCAAAGCGGACTTTACGGCCTACAGGAGTCAAAATGCTGAGTGCTCTAGGCTGGAGGCGTTGCCTTCTCGCTCCTCGGCAGCGGTGTAAAAGGGTACCGGAATCTTTGCCAGCATGTAGGGCATACGTCACAAAACCACATTTGCCTACCACCAAAGTGGAGAAAATCCTACTAGACACTATCAAAGTAGGGTCACATTCGATGTATCTCAATCGTCTCACTGAATACTACTAGGCTTCCGGACCTATCTCGCTCGCAACTTACATGCAAATGTGTCTTTCACATCCTACTGAAGGGTACTACATGAACCCTTTGAATCCTGTTCTCGGCACCGAGGGAGATTTTACTACCAGTCCGGAGATAAGTCAAGTTTTTGGCGAGGTGCGTGTAAACAAGTCACACTGAGTGGCTTTGGAGGTAACGAACTATCAGTGGTGAGAGCAGCTTCTTGCTGTTTGGCTTCTCTCGCAGTGGCTTCATGTAGGCAAAGTGCGGAAGATTCGCCTCGTTGAGCTTGGTCCCGGGCGTGGAACATTGACGCATGACATTCTACGGGTCAGTGCCGTCACCTATCTCGAGCGAATGTATTTCCGACATCCGAGTAGGTGTTGTCGCAATTCCCATCGGCACGAGAGGCAGTTGAGGAGGTTCACCTAGTCGAAACAAGTCTGTCTATGCGCTCCAGACAGGAGGGAAAGCTGGTGACTTATTCACAAGAATACGGTTGGGCATTGAACTGGCATGGATCGATTGATGACGTTTCACCGGACGCAAGCAAATACACGATGATTGTTGCACACGAATTTTTCGATGCGCTACCATTCCATCTCATCCAGGTAAATATGACTCCAATTAGCCATGCGCTTGTTTCATATGCACCGCCGTAGAAAACTCAACAAGGATGGCAAGAAATTCTGATAACCTCTACACCGGACCCAGCGGCATGCACAGTTCTTCAACCGTCTCGGGCAACCAATCTCGACTTCACGACGACCGATCCAACACCTACCTTAAGTTCCCCATCAACGACTCGTTTTCGCCGTATCCTCTCACCAACTCCAACACCGTCGTCAACCCTTCTAGGGCTATCCTCGAACAGATTCAAACAGCTCCCGGTTGGTAGCCAGATCGAGGTCTCACCAGCGGCGTTCAAAATTGCAAGACGAGTCGGTGAGCTCGTGTGTGAGGCTGGAGGTTCGGGAGTAGCAGGTAGTGCGCTGATTGTTGACTACGGAGGCGACAGGGCGTACGGGAACTCATTCCGGGTATGTGCTCCTTCTATGGTGCTGGGGTTGATAACCACTGGCTGAGTACATGCGATGAACAAATGCGCAGGCATTTAAGGAGCACAAAATTGTAGACGTATTTCATCGCCCCGGCGAATGCGATTTGACCACAAACGTGGACTTCGCGTACCTCAAAGAAGCCACTGCTGACTTGGGTGCGTCGAATCTCAATAGCTTCGCCATCATTGACAAACGAAGTTGCTTGTGCCATACTCATGTGAAGCATTGTCGCTCGGCCCTCTCTCTCAAGCTGCCTTCCTGACTCGTATGGGTCTCCCATCACGTGTCGAAGCATTGAAGAAGTCTGCGTCCAGCCAAGAAAGGGGTGATGCAATTGAAAAAGCCGCACAGCGCCTTGTTGACCCAACTAGAATGGGCGCTGAATACAAAATTATGGCCATGACTGGGCGACGAGATATTGAGCCCAACATACAGGAGAGGTGGCCATTCGTGGACGGGCTCTGATACGCCCACCAGCTTTGATTCGACGCTGCTTGTGATCGACTGCCTAGCCTCAATGTGGTTATGGCGGACAGCTGGCCGAGCGTGCAATATAGCGATCATGTTATATTTCCAATACATTAGCTTCAATAGAAGAGCATACAGCGGGTACTGTTCGCCTTCACATGTAGAGAGTGCGGAACCGAGTTGCAACGTTGGATGATGCTTACATTGTACTCAAGGCGACGTGCAGGGGTGTGCTCGGGGGATCCCAGACGGAAAGGAATGTGTAATTGTGCCACCGGCAGGCACCATACCGGGCTCAAGGGTCGCTCCGACTTGCAGCCAATAATTACGTCCAGATATAAATTTATCATCTATTGTCAAGTCGATCTGCCAGAAGAGAATGGCTGCTTGCATGTGGGGGGGGGTGGGATTGCGAGTGCTTTCTGCGCCGTTTATGACTTGCATCGCGTGTGAAGCCAGCTGGCTCTGTCCTCGAAGAGTTACGAGCAGGTTCTTCATCCACATTCCGTTTCCGTGTGAAATGCTCCTTTGGTTCCCCGCGCGAAAAAGCTCCCATGATTGTGTCCTCTGCTCTGCCTTTGCCAGCAGCTTGTTGCGCCTTTGTCTCTTCCTGAACCCTCTCCTTCTCCTTATTCCGCCTCCACATAAGTTTCTTCAAGCATTTATCACATAGCACTACCTTCACCAAAGCGAACTTAGTTTCCCCGTCTTCTATGTATGAGAATGGAAGTTCTATGGTCTTCACTAACAACATTTCTCCCTCTTGTTTTGTATGAAGAGTGCAGCGCGTGTTGCCGCAAGTGGTTTCACCTGCTCCGGAGATGACCTCGGACTCGGTGCGCCATCGTAATGCAAACTATTGGGGCAGATATTGAGTGAAATGATCATTCAATACGAAAGCGGGGCACTCACGTTTCCCGACTTGTAATGCTTCAAATCACATACGGCGAACTCGCGGTATAGATTGTGATAATATTTCTTCGCCAGTTGTTCATTCCAAGTAAGTGACTCCTGCTCGTCATCTTCACGTAAGAACCTTTGAGAGTTCATAACTATAGCTCGCAACTAAATCATACAAACATACTTATGTGATGCCTTCAGGATGTCAAATTCGCTCGTAGATGGTCCTGCTGCAGCTCTCGACGTGTCTCCGTATGGATTAAGTGCCATATAAGTGCGGAGATTGGTTTTAATAGTGCAATATGCACTATGGCTATAAGGATATATGGATTCCAAGGTTCAAACAGCAGAAAATGTTGGTGGCACTGAGATAAGAGGAATGTGCGGGAATTGGACGGGAATGAACGTCGAGGTCGTCACTGATTGTGACAATGTGACACATTATGTTACAATACCATACTGACGAGAGATATTATTCTCAATCAGTTCTTGATTGGATTTGACTCGGAGTTGAAACGGTTGGACTTTAAATTTCAAAGCTTCAAGCTCGAAGAGATCTCCATCACACACCTCCGGAAGGTGGCGCTTGACAGTCTGAGTTGCGGTAGACGATAATCTGGCTCACAAGATTAGAGAAGGCGAGTAAACTTTTCAAAAAATTCACAGCGCACGATCCAGCCTCAGCCCAGGGCGGCGAGCTTATTCTCCCCAACCCAGCCTGAGTTCAGCAATTGAAAGGGGTACTTATATTATAGTCTCGTACCAGGTGGGGGCGACTTATTTTATATCCACGACTCAGATATCGCTACAAAAGTGTCTAGGTAGTATTAACCATATAAGCATTACAGTGGTGCGTGACGGTCTAAAGATCCAAATGCATACCGACCCGACTCGTTAACGCGTTAACAACTGGTAAATCATCGTGCGCGATCCCGAATTTCGCACTTACCAGTTTACTTCATCTGTCTAGCCTTCGAGTGGTAATGTAATCGCTCTCTGACTGCAGAAAATCACACCTTGTGCGACAGCGTTACGCTCGAGTGGAATTTCCTAGTACCCATGATTGCTTCGCATCTCGTACGGCTGTCCATCGGCGATCCAAGACATACCCATAGGGCTTGAGTCCAGTCAAAGGAATGGTAATATACTGTATCTGCACTGATGTTACATGATGGCGTCGTCTTTGTAATACATTACTCCTCAGCTTAGAACTTTCCGAATACTCTCTTTCTGCGCGAGGGTCAATCTATCGGGGAACGTAACTTCCCACTTGATGATTAAGTCGCCTTTCCTTCGTGTGCTACCCTCTTTTCTGATCGGCATACCTTCGCCTGGCACAACTGTTTGTGAACCTGGCTTCACAATGCCACTGGGAATCGTAACCTGCAACTTCCGCCCATCCAGAGCCTCCACTGTGCGCTTTCCCCCATCGCCTGCAAGTGCATCGACGAGCGATATTGATAGATGGCTGACAAGGTCGTTACCATCGCGCACGAACCTGTCATGTGGCTTCTCCTCGACAACGAATACAAGGTCTTGTGCCTCCCCTGTTGGCAACTCGTTTCCTGCACGGGAGAAGCGGACTTTCGTCCCACTCTTCCAACCAGGCTGAACGTGAATATCAAGTACCTTGTCTTCGGTTCCGCCTGTGAGTAGCTTTCGTCCGACTTTGAGATGCTTTGTAGTGCCGGAGTAGAGATCTTCCAGCGAAACCTTGAGTGGTCGGGTAATTTCCGACTGGGCTGGTGATGATGGCCTCCCTGCTCCTCTCGGCGATGGTCGACCATTCGGCATTCCTCCTGGCATTCCTCCAAATGAGAAACTGCCCGTCCCATCGTCGTCGTCTCCAAACATGGTGCCCATCCGGTTCCGGGAACCACCAAAGCCTCCCATTCCGCCAAGACCACTCATTCCGAAAAATTGTCTAGAGCAATGTCAGCAACGGAAGGCAAAAGGGTTATACGTTAACACTTACTCGAAGATCGTTTGTGGATCCGTTGGCGAGAAACCCCCAGAACCAAAACCTGCACCACCTGGACTAGAAGTGAAGGTGTTGAATCTCGCACCGCCGCCTCCAGGGAAACTACTGAAGCCTGAGAAGCCTCCTGAACCCCCTGCGCCTGGCGGTGGTACTCCCCCGCCCTTCAGACCTTCTTCCCCGAACTGGTCATAGATCGTCCTCTTCTGTTTGTCGCTAAGAACCTCGAAAGCTTCTGAGATCTTCACTCCAAAGAGCAACGATGAGAACTATGTTCAGCATGCAAATAGGGATTAGTCTACCTCTTTAAACTTCTTTGAGGCTTCCTCTGATCCTGCGTTGCGATCAGGATGCCATTTCAAGGCCTGGTTGAAATGGATGAGGTTCTAGGGATACAGCACACATTCCGAACAGCACGCACCATCTTCTTGTATGCCTTTTTGATTTCATCCTCGCTGGCATTCTTGTCTATGCCAAGTAACTTGTAATAGTCGGTGCCCATGGTGTAAAGTCGGTCGGACTGAAGGGGCGTCGTGCGTGATGGGAACTTTCGTAAAAGTAGGCAGCGATGGTGTTATGTATTAGAGTTGACAAGAAGTAGTGACTAGAGGACTCACCAGTCATATCGAGGTTACCAGAATATACTAGAACGCTCTACGGATCACATTGCAGCCACCGTGACGTCGGCGTCGGTCCCCCAGGCCTCCACCCAGCCCCCCAGGGAGTCGGCTTGCAGCGCCACCCGGGTCCCCTGCGCCTGTAGTCTCAGCCACTAGCCTGAGTGTGCGCTCGCCACTCAGTTTTCGCTCATGGCTTCAACCTCGGAGACGACCCCGCTCATTAGCAGCGACAGTGCTCATAACGACGAACAGACCAACTCTCTTATTCGGCGATCATGGCATGCGATGTCAGACTTGCTATTTCCTTTCTCACCCTCTGCACTAGCCTCTCTTCCAAAGGCCACTTTTCGCAGACGGCCTCGGTATACTCGCAACGACAATGTTCCTGAGGCCAACCGTGATGATGACGGACAAATGCCTACTGTTCGTGACTACCACGCCATCAACAACTTCCCACCTCAAGTACGAGTGCCCAAGAAAATAGCAACGCCCATCAGAGTGGAAGGAAAGGTCTGGTTCGCGAATGAGAGAAGTCAGTAAACTTGCTTGCATTCCTCCATATATTTACCCAGAGGGTGGCGTCGCAGCATGGATCTCCTACCTGAATACGTCAGTCCTTGTTGGGACATTGGCTCTAGCCCTCTTCAATGCATCCAAGGATCATGTTGCCAGAAATTTTGCATATATCTACGCTCTCATAAGCGTCGGTGTCGTGGTATGCGCTATAAACTTGTTCAACATAAGATTCTCAAAAGCTCGTATACTATCCGACCTAGGTGTACGGATATGTCATTTACCAGCAGAGAATCACGATGATACGAAAGCGTGACCCCGGCTCGTTTGGTTAGTAGACCTATTCTTCGAGTTTTTATTCTCACAAGTGTATCCTCGAACTTTGAGCAGACCAGATAGTAGGACCTGTCGTCATCAGTGCCTTCCTATTCTTCGCCGTTCTCGCCAATTTCGTAATTCGGGGTAAGTTCAAAGGAGAGTTTATGATCCCAAATGCTAATGCCAGTCTTTGATTTATTAGTCCAAGAACTGTTTGTATTATATTCTCAGAATTTCTGCTCAGGTTATTGATCGTGTTTTGCAGGCAAAGACAAAACATACCTATCCCTGGACTAGCGTTATTCGCCCATCGGGGTCTCGAGTAATCGACACATGTGCTACGTCGTCCTTCGGTGTATTGATTTGATCTGTTCTCATCACCTTCTCATACTTCTTGTGCCTCTCCGATATTCGATAACATGCATTGCAAAGAATGCGGATTCACCATTTCGAAGATGTGAATCCCCAGAATATTTTCTCTCATCTGCTGCCCTAATGTCCGTCTTACTTCCGGTCTTCGCCTGTGATCATTCATGACTATATCTCGTTTATTAGTCAGGGTGCGTGCCCGTGTCGGTTCATTGTTATACTAAGAATGGCTCCGTGTAACCTACTGACTTTTCACAGCACCTGAGATTCTGACCATAACTCCGTGATTTCTCCCGAAATCTTCATCCCATGTAACCTGCGAAGTGGTACAGATAGTTCCATTTATGAAGTCCGTGCGAGCCTCTCACTGTACAGAGAACGGATGTACATCTCGAAATTACTGTGCCTGAAAGACCTAGCCTCGGGTGCTTTGACTACTTTGAGCCACCTCCGTATCCCGTCCTGAATTGTTGTCTTCGGCTACGGTTGGGCTGTCTTCAGTCGCTGTGAAGACATCCTCCCGCGGAGGGCTGCAGTTGCTCTCACTTGTCTCAGCGTCAGCATGATTGGTTCTTACGAACTCGTCTTGTCGTCAATTGCAATCTCACGTTCGTCAAAGCCGAAGGTCTATTGAAGTGCGAAGTGCAATGATCGGAGGTCGCGTAAAGTTCAAACTTCCTCAAGGAAGCATTCGCCATGCATTCTAGATTACCTTCGACGCATCTCCATCGGCAGATATTCCTATGGGATAGTGTGGGCTGTTGTCCGTAACAGGTCCTCTCATTTGTGGGCAAGATGATCATTACGATGTTGGTGAGTTTCCGTCGGTAATATTAGAAAATAATCACTCAACGCGCGTCACCATGCATCTTCCGTGCTAGATCCCGCACCTTTATTGCGTACGGCAATCTGCGCCCATGCAGGAGCCGTACGATGGTTCCGCCACGCTGTGGTCGTCCTAAATGTAGAGACCCTTCTCCATCCCCTGCCTCAAGGCCATTGACTACCGAGGTTGTTGCGATAGGCCGTTAATGCGCCATGTACGTCTTGGGTCATGGCCGTGCGGCTGCAGCTTATGGCATTGTAATAACAGGATTTAAATGTGGAGGTAGCGAATGTGTGTTCGATGGATAAGCATCTTGATCATAATGGAGATCGAGAAAGCGCTGTCAAGAATAATGTGATGCCTATTCAGTCTTCGAACCTCGCGCAATTGTATCACAGGTGGGTATCAGATTTGTTGCCTCTGAATCATGCTAAGTTGATAATATGCGTTTACGATACTCAGGTATCCCTGAATCTCGGAGCTTGTTATTTGTTATGAATACAACGTGATGTCCATACCTCATGCAGCACTATGATCCTATTCCGCTTTCGGGAAATGATTATGGTCCCTCTATCTCGGAGAATTGCTACCGCAACTTCTGAAGGCCCTGATGTTGGTACCAAAGGAAGGGTTCTCCTGATAAAGTTCTAGTTGGGATTCGAGGTCGACGGCCGCGAGTTCGCCGCCATTATCTGAGCGCTCTAAGAAAGTGAGATACATTCTGATGCTGGACGGCCCCCATTCGAAGCAAAGCGGTCTGGGGTCGGTGCGATCATATTGGTATGTCATGGGACGCTTACGATAGTTTATGTTTTCAGTGGTAATTTTCAAACTCTGTCATTGACCTTAGATCAATGATATGTCAAGCACAGTATCGGGTCCCCCAGCTTCTAGCTCTCCATCCGATCTGTGGTAAGGTGTGATGTGTATGGACGCTTTAGTAAACTAGCCGTGTCAAGTACTGTCAAGTTTGTCATCTCGTGCTCAATACTAATGGTCGTGTATCAGATTCTAGGCGGAATATGCACAGACAAAACAGGACCAGGGCATTATGAATACTGCTCACCTCTCAGGCTGGCTGGCGTGATGTCGATTCCGTTGCTGGTTGTGTGACTGTGAAGGCAGCACTCGCTGATCGCAAAATGCATACAGCGTGCCAACCTCACGTTATCATTCGTCAGCGTGACTGCTTAAAAACTATTTCGAATGTAGAAGACTTTTAGGCGTGGCCGGAAGTTAACCTAACATGATCCGACCTGCCAACAGTATTTCACTGGCATTTAGTGTTCACAAATGACATGTACATTTTAGTTTTACTGAGTTACATTCTTATATCGTTCCAAGTCCTCGATGCAACTTGATCACAGCGGGGAGCATTTGTGCCGCAGCAGACACGCTAACGAGCTCGAGTATGAGATTGACTTGCTGACTGGTTCGAGAAACTTAACTAGTACGGCGAACGTTTCGCTCTCGGGGACTCTTCCCGGTTTACTTTCAGCTCAAAGGTCGAATACCCTCAAATAAGTTTGTCGCCTGGTGCAGATTTGCTATAAGCACAATGTTCTTGAGCCGGCGAGCCTAGTAGATGTATAGCCTGTGGAGACTATATTTAGGGCGTTTTGCCTAGCCGTTAGACGCGTGTAAGCCTCGTCAACCATGTACTTACGTCTGAAGTTCAGGTCGAGCCACGTTGGACTCTGATGTACTTCCACATCGTGCTCTTTCACTTATTTGGAATTATTTGGAATATCGCTCTTCTGCAAATCCGCTTGTTGCGGTCATGCATCCGTCTTCTTTATCGTCTCTATATAAGTAAGTTCTTCCACCCCTCATCTAAATCTCAGAGCTTCAGGCTAGTTGTGTGAAGCGGCAGTGAACCTAGAATTTTGAAGCCTGCAAGACTCTTGATTATACCTATGTGGCATGATGATGCGGTCGTGTGTCAGAATATTGTCATGATCCCGCGCATCATCTTAACCCAAGCGGGATCAATCCTCTGGGGACCAAGGTCACGGTAAGCAGCGACGTTTTCTTTGCGCATGGGTTGTGTAGTAACATCCTTGAGGATCACCAGTCATGTACATAGGGCCAACGTCAACATGAATCCCCGCAAAGAGGCGTGACGTGAACAGTGCGATAAGCTCTTCTACGAGAAGAACAAATGTCCGTATAAATCACATCCCAACTCACGCGCTGTCTGCTGATGCGAGTTCTTATCATTCAAATACAGAGTTCATATTAAGAAATTCCGCGAACGTGTCATTAGATTGACATAGCGTGGTACTCCAGGCCCGCTCGCGGTACTTGCGCAAAAGCTTCTACAGATTTACATGGTCAGCGGGCATCCATGCCCATTACTGGTGGGCCCTCTCCAACTTCCTTGACATTTCCGTTATTGCTGTCATTTGGGGCCAGAGTGCGCCTTTAGAGTGGTATTCTGGTGATTTGAATTTAGTTCCGCAGCTCCAGACAATCCAATAGTCGGTGGCAATTGGACAACATAGGCATTGCGCGGACGGAGGGGCCGGCCAGTCTGGGCCATAAAGGCAAAGTCTCGGCAACTTGCGGCCTAATTTTGGTGTCTGAATTTTTCACATGGCTGCAACCGCCGTCTTCAGGAGGTTCTTTGAACTGGGCCCACTTACAACATGGTCATGCATGGACTCGGATCAAGGGGTATAGCTGTTTCCGAACCACCCTGGATCTATTGTGGCGACTTGACGATACAGTTTCCATCGAATTCTTCCTTGGGGGCTGTATCATATGCCGCAACACGGACAAGTACTCTTGGTGCTCGTTTCGGGTATACTAAATTTGCAGCATTATTTTCCATTGTCGTTTCACACGCGACTGTTATGTTGTTGCTAATGCTTCTTCCTAGTGTGCTGACTCTTGACCGTATTGGATATTCGGGACAACTTCTCAAGCCCTTGCCGCGATCGCCTTAAGCGAGACCACCTGGGAAGAAGTTGGCTCTGATGGGTGAGAAGGTTTCTCGTGTGCGATTCACGCTCTGAAGGAGAAATCGCACATCTAGGCTGCAGTCACAAAAGCAATGTGGTGAATCATAAATTTCCCGGAACTTTCGGTCTCGTTTGCTTTCGCATGGCCTTCACGATCTGCTCTGCTGGCGACTAAATACGAACAGTGAGTAAGTGAAATCTATGGCGGTACATGATAGTGGTAAATACAAAATAACAGGTTACATAGTACTACAGATAAATTATAAAGAGCGTGAATATGTCTATTGCTGTTGTCTATGTGCGGTTGGCGGCGTCATTGGCATGTCCGTGGCTACAATAGCCAGTTTTACTATTCGTCGACTATCGATACTGGGATCCGATGATTCTGACTCGATACTAAACGTAGGTGATAAGTGCCTTGCTGTAGAACGGCTAGAAGTACCTCACTCACATAACATTCACAGATTTGTGCCGTTCAACTAGTATAGTTGATTCACCAGGCAGGCGTTTTCGAATATTTCGGATGACGTAGTATCCCCCGAGCATTCCGGCCTGTGAGAACGTTGGGTAAGTGGGCCCTAATCGCTGACAGTAGGTGTTCCGCTTACTCGGTTGCAGTCATCCCGCGGCACCTCTACTGCATTGTGCCATTCTACGGCTAGCCGGAACCCAGAATCTTCCACCATGGCCATAATCGCTTTTTGTAGGTGGGTCCGCGGCAGCGTTGTCCCATTTAATGTAAGGTCTATCCTTTGGGAGAAAGTGTCGTCGAGTGCTTGTCGGCAGTCCTCTGAAGACTTCGCCTCAAAGACACGCTGGATGTGTTCTCTTGACCACGTGTAGAATGTGGAGAGCATAGTGGCTGCTGGAAATGCAGAGTATGCTGCGAGGGCGTGGATTTTGTAAATGCAGACTTCGGGTGCGTGTCAGGCTCTCGCTCAGATTGCTTTTAAGTAGTCCCCGCTCTTCTAATAGGTCACCAAAGGACAGGTGTAGCGTGTGCGCCAATAAGCAGGATATTTGCTTCCCGTGAGATTGATACAAGCGTGACGGACCAGCCAGTGGGCATGAACGTGGAACCTGACAGATTCGCGAATCTCATGTCGGTTCTCCACATCAAATCTTCGGAGACTAGAGATTCCAATTCTTGGAGATCCGCCATCCGGATGTTTATGATGCATGCGTGAGGAGCTCGAGAGGATACATTTCGCCGTCCATGCCCAGGCTGCGTGCTTATGTATTTCAACATCGGACTTAGTGAGTCTTACATATGCTTCTGATCAGCTTTCAACGTGACTGGCGTCCGCACTGTTCGAAAGCTGGGTAAGATCTCGCCCTAGGCAAGCTCTCCCGCGAGTGTGATTGCGAGGAACGCGCATGATCAGTCAAAGTAGCAAGTTGTCGATGATCGTTGGAGTGCCACGAGGACGTGAATAGGCATACGCTTGCCATGGTCACCCTTGCTCGGATGAACGTCACCGCTGCTCCCGACTCCTGGCCTCCATCAACTTTGCGTTCGCCCTCAAATATTGAGCACGGTTGGCTTCATCTCCGTCATAACCTGTACAGCTCTAATTGTTATTTAGAATGGCTGTACCGACGTGACTCCGATATAATGATTCCGGCTCATATGGCCTTCATGCAAAGCCACAAGCCTGTGCGAGCGAATACTCGTCCAAATTTGGACTCGGGCATTTGGATGTCAATCTGACCTCACTGTAGGGAAATTAAGACTTATTCAGACGTCGACGCCGTAAGTCGTGTAAAAGTACGAGATCCATGGCATCGCCGTATGGATCCACGAAACTCGCTTACTGGATCATCCACTTATAGAAGACACAAGGCACGATGGCTGTTCTCGAGGTTCTGTACAGACCATCACTGTCAGAATACGGGACGGGTCCAGTGACCAGCGCAGAATAGGGAGACAAAGGTCAAAGGGTACAATAACGGATGCGGACCGCAGTACATCTAGGCATGCTTTGATATCTCTGAGGTTAGCTCACCACGCTATGCCCAATGTAGAGCAGAAGGGTAGCGTGGTATCTAAGCCAGGCAGCGAGACACGACTGCTCGGCGCCGACACGAGGCAGAATCAACAGGCGCATAGAGCAGAAGGTGTCGAGAGACATTGAATGTCCACATGACATCAGCTCTCTAGCTATCGCACAGATTTGAAGCTTGTCAAGCGAACGAACGCCAGTATCATATCAGTAGTGGGCCGACCCGCCTAACGCGTGATCGGAACAGCTTGGCGTCGTATGCCTGCCTGTCAAAAACTGCGGTAATTATCAGTATCCTGCCTCGAGCACAATTACCAGCCAGATGCATATTGATACCTACCGCATGTTCCGCTCATGGGAATGACTTTACTCGGCAAAGTCAACAATGGAATCAATTATCATTATCGGTCGGAGCTCGTGAAGATTGGTAGATGAATGGTATGCTACATGATAGAGACGATGATGGACCTCCAGAACCAGGATTACAAATATCATTTCAGCGCTTTCTTCATTTGCTGGAGGAGGGCGTAGATGAGTCTCCAGGTCCACGGAGCCCACGAGAGCTGACTCACCTCTTCCATTTCGTCCAGGTCATTGGTGGCGATTCGGATGATATGCTTACCAGTAGCCGCCTCAATCTGTTCCATCTGGGCCCAGGTAGCCTTGTCGTGGACAAAGTTGACTGATATGCCTTTCCGTCCGAATCGTCCAGTCCGACCTTTACAAATTCAAAATTGAATTAGTATCTGCGGTGAACGCCGAGCACAAACAGAAACACAGGTATTGGCTGGGCAAGAATACAGATGAAACCACACACCAATACGATGGATATAGGTCTCAATGTCAGGCCGTGCGTCCTCTTTGTTGGCCGAATTGTCTCGCTCATTCAAGAAAGGGAGATCGTAGTTGACAACCATGTTGACTTGCAAGATGTCGATGCCACGCGCAATGACATTGGTGGTAATCAGCACCTTATTCCTACCCTCCCGGAAGCCGTCAATAATAGCGTCACGTTCCGCCGCGTCTTTGGCGCCGTGCAACGACGCAACTTTATGTCCCTCGGCGGTCATTCGCTGTGAGATACGGTCGGCAGTATGTCGGTGCTAGAGTCGTAACAAAGGCGGGACGAGAGCTCAAACTAAAATTTATAAGGCAGCAAATGAGGAGTATTCGCTCACCTGACAGAAAATTATACTTTGCCCGATCGTTAGAAGATGGTACAATGACACGAGAACCTCATATTTGTGTTCCTCATTACGGCAGTCCATGTAGAACTGTCGGATGTTGTCCACGGAGAGCTCATTTTTCTTAAGCTCGATCTTGTTCGCGCTGGGCGCGAATTTGCTCGCGAAATTTCGCACGTGATCGGGGAAAGTTGCGGAGAAGAGGATAATTTGAACACTGTTCCGAGGTAACATGCTAAGGGACGGACGTGTGTCGTAAGCTCGGCGCGGTCGCAACAAATAAACGATAATTGGTCAGACATACTTTTTCACTCGAAGGGTCTGCTCTCCAAGCCCATCCTGATCCAACATGTTATCGGCCTCATCCAACACAAATACTTTCACTTCCGAGACGTCGAGCACCTTCCTCCTAATTAGATCTGTCATGGTCCCAGGTGTGCCAACAACAATATGGGCAGTGATTGGAGCAGCGCCTCTCGGCAGGTTGTCCTTGATCGCATATTCCGTCTGAACTGGTGTATACTTGCCCATCGCGACAACGACAGACATGATTTGTCTCGCTAACTCTCTCGCCGGTGCAAGACATAGCGCCTAAAGATTGACCCAACAACGATAGAACCACCTCGTAGGAATAATATTTTGGACAATTTACCTGTGGTTTGTTCTTTGAGAAATCAACACGGCTCAGCATCGTCAACACGAAGGCGGCCGTCTTCCCTGTTCCCGATTGCGACTGACCAATCATATTTTGTGGACTATCCATCGCCATGAATGAGTATGCATTAGCGGGATGAAGAGCAAAACAGTGCCACGCACGGATTTGATAATAGCAGCGGTAGTGCGCGTTCTTGAATCTTGGATGGCTTCGAAAAGCCCATAGCAAAAATACCCTTCAGTAAGTCGGCATGACTATGAATTATCACTGCGGGTCAGCTCCGTATGCTCGGTACAGTGGAGAAGCGTACAGTCCCAGCTGCTCGAAAGTCTTTACGCTATGTAGAGGTGAATTCGGATCTCCTTGTTGATCGGCGAGAGTGACCTGTAATCTTGTCCGTCAGGAAAGAAACCTCGGACGCTGAAAGCTCTGTGACACTCACCGAGACCTCGAATGTTGACTTAACGAGGTCTGTTGCTATACATATGGACACAGTCAGAGATGAGTGAGGATTGAGATTTGGCACCGTTTGCTCGTACCGGCCTCTTTGTCCTCTACACTTTGTTCTGGGGTCTTCTCCTTTGCTGATTGCGAGAGGTGAGACACAGAGGACAACCGAGAAAGACGGTGACCGACCTGCAGGAGCGGGGGTATAGAAGCCATCTGCATCCTTCTCCATCGTGCGGACGTTGAGCTTTGCGTCGCGGTCAGATATCGATGCTCTGAAAAGAGGCTGCGCGAGCCTGTGGCGCTCGCCCGACAGTCGCTTAGATCGGAGGCGAAATTCATCTT